ACACTTGATTTTTTTATTTCAATAATATTAGTCGCAAAAATATTTTATAAGTAAGTAAAACGAAAAAAATAACTATGAAAATAGTTTTGTTGTATTTCTAAATATTTTTAGTAAACCTTTTAATACTACATTTCTTATAATAAAATTGGATAATAAAGTTAAAGGCTTTTAGAATAGCTACCATTGTTTTTTATAAAACCTTTAGCTCGACGATTTCAACCTTAAAATAAGTACAAACATGTTATTTAAACGGGTTGATAATAAAGGATTTCAAAAGATTTCAACCTATAAGCGTTTTATATATAACATTTTATTGTATTAACTTTTATGAATTAAGGTTACTAATTTAATTTTAATAATTAAGGTTGATTTCGTTTTTCCATTTATTAATGCACATAATAGTTGTATCATTTTAATTATAAATTATAAATTATAAAGTCGGGGTTTGATAAAATGAAATGGCTTTAATCGTTTATATTATCGATTTCTTTTAACGGGACAAAGTATCAAAACTTATTAAATCGTCTTTTGGTTTAATTTGAAATTAGTTATTAATAAGTTCATAAATATAAACTATGAGAAATATATAACTTTCCTTTTTACGGCTGATATTATATAAGTCAAGTATATTATTTACAACTTATATATTTTTTATACCTTTTATGTAATTATTAAATATAAACGGTGAAAGGTTATTTAATTTATTAAAATAAAAAGGTTGTATAAATAATAAATTGGCTTAATAATAGCAAAACGTTTATAATACCTAGGACTATTTCTTTATCTATATTTTAACGCTAAGTAGCAACTAACATTATTTTAATAATGAATAATTTATTTATAAAAAAGTTTCAAAAAGTTTACATTTAAGCCCATCAATTAAAATAAGCTCGTTAAAAAAATGCGGGTTTAAATCTTTAAGTTTCTATTTGTACCTGGTTATTTTATATTATTAAATAAGCACGTATTATATGTACTTATAAGTTTATGATATAAAATTAATTCTTAGATGAGCAATCTTATATTTCTGTTATTATGGTTAACATTTATGATGTTTCTTTCCTTTTTGTTATATATTTCATAACAAAATAACCTAGCTTTTTTATAAAAGGTTAACAACAACTAACGTAATATTAAACTATAGTTATACTTGCATAATAATTAATCGACTTTTGGTTTGGATTAAAAAAAGTTCATATTAATATATATCACGTCAACTTTTTTTTTTAAGATTAAAAAAGTTCCGGCTTATTACCGATAAACGTTGAACCGAGCATAGTTTAGCTTATTAATATTTAAACTTATTAAGTAAAGTTGATTAATACAAGATTCAATATTTAAAAATATAAATAGGTTAAATAGCATGAAGTAGTAGTAATAATAATAATAATAATAATAATAATAATAATAATAATAATAATAATAATAATAATAATAATAATAATAATAATAATAATAATAATAATAATAATAATAATAATAATAATAATAATAATAATAATAATAATAATAATAATAATAATAATAATAATAATAATAATAATAATAATATACAATAAAGAAAGATTAAAAACGTAGAAGATTTAACTAATTAATATAAAGTTTTAATTAACATAAAATTAAGTTAATAAAGTTAAAATATTAAACTTAATTTATCAGGCTATTAGTTATTAAAGTTTAATTATTAAAATAAAATAAAACGTTCTATATTATGATTATATTATAATCATCTAATTTACATGAGAAACATAATAATATAGTACTCTTTACATAATATTCAGTTGACAATCTTATATTTATAAAATAACGCGTATATAAAAAGTTTTCATAAAATCTTTATTAAACAAATAAAGAACAAAAAAACGCCGATTATATAACTAATTAAATCGTGCATGTTTTAAATATAAGTCATAATATTAAACTTTTTTGATTAAAACTGTATATTGTATTTCAAAACTTAACGATTATGAATAAACGACGTTTATATATTTACTTTTTAGGTTATATTTGACTCAATATTAATACCGTTTATGTTATAATTAGTAGTCTTATTATTATATTTAAGTTATTTATTAACGAAATCGATATAAATTACGGCTTTTTTATTAAATTATTGGTTATATTACATCCGGTTTTATTTTATTTTTTATTGTTTTGTAATCTCGTTGAAGGTTTAATTTCTAATATATAATAGTATAAAATATAATTATGTCATTTGTTATAACGTCATACTTAATATTTACGTTGTTTATTAAGTTCAAATAAATATATTTTAAGTTAAATATTCATATCAGATTTAATCTAATAAAATAGTTACTTTAAAATAAAAAGATGGCTTGACAAAGAACGTATTAATAAGTACTATAAGTACAATATTGAATAGAACGGGTTATATTTAATTGGTTATAAATAACTTTCTAAAGCTATATTATATTATATACAATAAAAAGTCACGTTTTATCATAAGTTTGGTATTTTCAATACCGTTTTTTTTTTTATAACCGTTATTGTAACCAAGTTAAAATACTTATTCGTTTAATTTAAAAGTTTCAAACTTAAAATATTAAACGATAATAGTTTTTACAAGGTTATTAAAATAAGGTTTTGAAATTCTAGGATATATGCGTTATTATAAAAAAAACTACCCAAATACAATATTTTATTATTATAATTAACTTATTTTTATTTATAAATAAAGTATAAGTAAAGTATCGATTAATTAAAAAATATATGCGATATTACCGTCGTAAATAACCTTTTAAAGAGTAAAGAATATTTTAATTTTTTATAATGTACGATATTAGTTTTAAAATTTAAAATTTAAATTCTATAGTTTTTTAAGTAAATCCTTTTAGTTTAAATACCCTGAGATATATGTATAGCTTTTTAAAAAGCCTTTATTCAAATTAAAACCGTATTAATTAAAAATAAGCGGTAATATACTGAAACTGATATATAATCTAACATATCTTTTGTAGTTAACTCTTTTTATTCTTAGATATATCATAAAAACTATAAGATATTACGAATTAAATAATTTGATACAATTTTATAAAGGTTAAAATTTTGCTATTGTGCCGACCGTTATTTATTATAATATCTTAACGCGTTTTTAAAACGGTTCCGTTTTAATTAAAACTACCCGTTCAAAGCCTTATTTGTACCTTAGCCTGTAGTTTTTTTAAAAAATAAAACAAAACTTTACAAGTTATATATTTAAAGACTAATTATGGTTTATTCATAATAATTCAAAAACATTTAAAATATTTTCTTCTTCGTAAATTTAAAATCCAACTTAAGGTTTATTTACTTAATAATGAAAGGCTTATGGATTGTTTTTTACACTTTTTTAGCCCTTTCTTTATAAACTGATAAATGTACTTTATTAAATAATAATACTTTCAAAACATATATTATAACGTAAAAACTGGTAATATCTATTTCTTTTATTTTAAGTTTTATTCTTTCGCGCTAAATATTTATAAAGTTTAAATATTTTAAACCGTACAAAAATTCATATTTATAATAGTAAAGTTTTTATAGAAATACTTCTCGCTTATTTTAAATTTAAGGAAAAAAACATTATATATACGTTTTATATATTATTATGAATACTTTTATTTTAATTAATTAAGATTATAAAATATAGCTTTTCATTTTTATACTCTTTTTTACGTTCATATATAATAGCTATATTTGTTAGAAAGAACGTCAAACAATATTAACTATAATGAATTAATATCTTTTAAAAAGAAAGAAAGGCTTAATTATCGGGTTTAAAATTTAGTTCTGTTTGTATAAGATAATTTACCGTATTATATTCTATTTAAGTTTTCTTTAAAAACAAGCTATATATATATAATATCATTAAAAAGTTATGTATTATTACCTTAATCTAAGGCGTAATACTTTGAACTGTATTTATAAAGTTATAATTATCGTATTAAACAATAATCAGATTTATTTGTATTAAGTAAATATAGAGCAAATATAATTGTTTTTAATTAAACTGCATTATAATTTATGCCGTTATTACGTCCCAATTAATATTTAATACGTAATGTAATAAGTATTGTGATAGCCTATTTTTACGCGCTAATTAATATTAAATAAACACTAATTAATATAATAAAATAGGTATTATTATTTTCTAAATACTTTAAAGTATATAATAAAGATTATAAAGTGAAAAAAAAAGTAAATAAAATTTACTTTCATATTTTTAAGTAAATTTCACTGCTTTTTTATAGCTTTTAAAAAATATTTAAAAATTAACGATAATCTAAAAAAAGATTTATAGTTATATCAAAAAGCTAAATACGAATAAATAAATCTTAAAAAAGCTATTAGCTTGGCGTTTTGTATTATTATATATATAGATTAATATACCAAAGTAGTTATTTAAATATAAAGCTTTTAAAGGTAAATAACTTTAAATATTTATCAAATAATTTATTATACTTATGAATTTATTTATCTATATCTTAAGTTTAAGTTCAAATATCAATTAATAAAGAAGCGAAATTGAATTAAACGAAAAAATTAAACGAAAAAAATTAATTAAAATAGATATTACGGTTTTAATTAAAAGTATTGCGCTTTAAAATTTAAGCTTAAATCTTAAAAGATAATATATCGGTGTATAATTTTAAACTTCATATAACTTATATTATAATATATAAGCCGTATTATAATACTCTTAAAAAATATCATTTAATAACTAATAACTACATATAACGGTTTTATTAATAAATACATATTAAACTATCAAACGGCTTATTATTTTAAACCCAATAAAATCGTTTGAAAAAGGTGTTCTGGAAGAGACTACTTTTCGATATTTCTCGATACTTACGTACAGGCCACCTGGTGGTCTGAGCTTTTCTCAGGCAAAGATTCCCACAAACCTAACGGCCGCGAAACCGGTCAACTCCAGTATCTTTTCACACAATACTTCTTTGTTTGTTCGCTGGTCTGTGTTGTTCAAGATCAATGTATCAATGTCGAGGACAGATGGTGTTACGTACGCACTTTGAAACACGCTCATGACCCAATCCCGTCCAAGCTTTCATCCACGATTTGTTTCCTTTCAAATCTCAAGGCGGGAAGGAGGCCATCCCTCGGACGCCCCCGGACTTTTGAACTCCATAGTACATCCAAGACCACCAATCGCAGGCTCTACCAACTGCCCACGGGCTTATGCAGGCGGGATGGACTAACCTCCAAGTTCAAACGTGGCCTGCACCCCACAGAAGGACGAGGCCGAGGCTGACGTGCCGAGGAACTGGCTGGCCAATTGGCACCCGGGTGTCGATAGAGTGGGAGTTCGTGTGGGTGTGGGTGTGGAATCGTCCAAGTACCTGTACGAAGCCCGACGTCACTGTACCGTCGCCTCGGCTGAGTGGAACCCGGCCCATGTCGGGTTCTACATGAAGCCTCCAACGTCGAAAGTGTGGTACGAGAAGCCGATTGCATTGGAGATGGAAGATGGAGATGTGACTCTGACACGGAGAGCCAAACAAGGTTCCGTCCGCTGTTGCTTTCATCCATGGATCATCTGCACGAGCCCACGAGCCCAAGGATAGACCCAAGAGACCAGCGGTCAAGTACCTGCCAGGGAGGCTGTGCACTGGGTTGAACCAGTTGCACCTGGCCGCCCGAGCCACCCGAGCCACCCGAGCCACCGTCCAGCGGCGGGCGACCGTACCTTCGCCTGCGATGCCGCAATAACCCACGAGACTCGGCAAGTGCGGCTTACCTACGAGATGCCAGACATGCAACGCTGCTTTGTAAGAACAGGTATATCACACATGGAAGTGCGCGTATGGAGGGCACATGATACCTCAAAATCCCTACCGCATTCCCAGCTTGCATGCCAACCTGCCCATAGCCGTGACGAGGTAACACCCCCTGATTTCATGCGGTTCCGGGGATCCTCATCGTTTGGAGGTTGTACGGCAGCCGTTTGTACACATGGCTTGTGTGACGTGTAAGCTTGCTCCAAGGACTTCACACAACATCGTGGGCCGTGCATCCACAGAGCTGATTGAGGTCACCCTTCCCAGCTGCCAGCTTTCTCAAAAATGCCTCTGCCCTAGAAACAGATAACATACAAGGTAAAGAGCTGTCAGATCCAATCAGCTCGCTCACGCCGCCAGAAACCATATTCGGTTGCATCGTTGTCGATAGGCCGGAGCAACCACCATCTTTCACCCAAGTCCCAAGGAAACCCCTGAAGACTACCTTACCTACGCTGCTACGATCCAAGCGGGTTTTTGGAGAAACTTTAGCGGAGCAACGCCAGTTCTGCGTGCCACGCGGTTTGGGCCCTGGCGCCTACGTTGTACTCAACGGCCTCTCGTTTGCATGCCGCAGCAAACGTCAAGGGCACAGGCTGCTGCGTTGTTTCCACGCCCGTGGCCAGATTCTTGGACCAGCTGCCCTGTCGAATATTACGTACCGTATCCCGAGACCAGCCAAATCCAGTACGCGCTTACGTGACTACATCATCGGACGGCGCCTGAAAGCCGTCGAGGGTAGATATATACCCAAGTCAAGGTGTGTGGCAGGATATTGCGGCCCCGGGCGGGACGGAAGCTTCACACAAACCCACCTGAGTTAGGGTACATCCAGAATTCCGCCCATCCAGTCTAATAATACCGTGGATCGCGGCACATCCCAGGCTACCCTGGCTGCTTGAGCCGACAATTCCGCGTTATTGAACAGGCTCATATCAACTCACGCGATCCGTGTGCTGAGCTGACCCCATTCATCAACCGTTGCCGTGTTGCAGATTGACTGCAGTCCGAACTGGACTGATGAGGTGACCGGCAGCGAAGGACACAATCCAAGCCGCGGTGTGGTAGCCTGGACAGCGGTCTGGCCTTGGACTCTTGTCACTTCTGTACGGTAGCAGGCCTGCGCAGCCGTTGATCAGACTCTCGGGCCACCCCGTGCGGCGAGCCACCACGTTGGGATCTATCCGCTCCCTCTCCCTTGCTTGCCGCACTCCTTCCTGTCTAAGGACGCCCGCTAGTGGGAAAGGCGCTTGGAGAATTCCACCGCTTCAGCCCTTGCGACGCACGCTTTGGGAATCCTACTCAGCACTCGCAGGGGGGCGTGTTTACGGTACCAACATCCCAAACCAACAGAACAGGCCAACCAGGCCAACCAACGGGCGAGGCGACACGAGCTTAGCCAGTCCAGCTAAGAAGCCAGCAGCAGGCCAGGCGTTGATTGATTAAAGCAGCGGTGTGTGAGCAAACAGGCCGAGCAGGCGGGCGCATCAACGCATCACGCATCACGCATCAAGCAGACCCCTTAGACCCTTGTCTCGAGGGAGGAAGGGCAGGGGGAAGAAGAAAGCTGTGAGCCAAAGCCCTGGGACCAGCATCGGCAACGTGATTAGCTGACAGACAGGGGCCCCATCATCCCATCCGAACCTGAAAGGACTCACCCGTTGCGTTGCGTGCATCGGGTGGCTAGGCTAGCCTGCCAGCCAGGTCGCCCAGTGGGCTAGGTTGTTCTGCAGACTGGTGACTGGGTCCCAAGCGAGTCGAGGGCTGAGGAACATTCGTCGAGCAATTGTCCATCTTTGATCTTTGACATACGTCTCTCTGCCTGCGGTTGTACAGTACAAGCGACAAACTACACTCTCAAAGACTAGACACTTTGACTTGACTGACCTCGCAACTGGCGGCCCGGGCAAAAGTCCCCGTACCATACCTAGGTACCTTGGCCGTTTAGCTGCTCACCTCGAGTAGGGGCGCACTTTTATTCGGGGGTATCTAACCCCAGAACTACAGCAGGGCCAGGATCCAGCCTTGTTTGAGAACCATTGTACTGTATCTTGACGGTAAGCAAATCTGCTCACTCCATCTCACGGTTCAGCGAGTTCCTGGGCCTGATGGAGGAATAGAAGATTGACAGAAGGAAAGACACGCGGTCCCCCACATAGGGTTGACCATCATATTTCGCCATCCATCGACCATCCACACGAAACACCACACCACAGACCGACCTCAGCTCTCACGCCCAACTGCATGACACTACGTGACTCGGTCAAGACTTTCGCCTGCTGAAAGCGTCTTGCATGCACGCGACTGACCCGAGGCGTTTTCACCGACTCACAGGGTTCCTGGCAGCAACAGCAACAACGACAACATCCAGGCCAACAGCAACAGCAAACAACCGACGGTTCGCCGACGAGTATTTGGAAGTGCCTCTCGTGTCGGTCCCCAAGCGAGGCAACAAAACCGCTTCGCTACTGCTGTGCCCTTGAGCATTCGAAGCCAATCAGTTCAAACAGCAGCGATCCTCTCCGCTGTCCTATAAGCCCTCGTACGTGTTTACTCACGTAGTGCATTCACAGGACAAGCACCTGGAGATACGTCCAAGGACCGCTTCAATTGAATTGAACTTTGCATGCCATATGCCGGTGCCACGAATTGTGTACGTCAAGGAGACGCCTAAAACCTTATTGTTAGGGGTTCAGCTTGCTAGAGGTGAGCAAGATTGTACAGTGCAGGTTGGTGTCATCAAGGTGCACAATTGGGCAGCGAGAGACTTTGCCAAAGTAGAAGTACTGCATCAAAAGCGCGAAAAAGACAAATAACTGTACATTACAAAAGTCTTCGAACTCTAGCTATTTGTTTTCCTCAGGACGGCAAGTAAAAGGTAGGACTTCACGCTGTGTGGAATGTGGAAATTGTGAGCTTATCCGTTGATTGTCCAGGTCCAACCTTATCAGGCCTCTATTTCCCCGTCTTGACTCTTATCGAAAGGGAGGGTCCAAATCATCTCGAGTCTCCCTCCAGGCTCTGCGGCTTGTCCTGACTCCTGCGGCCTATCCTGCGGCCGTATACCCCATAGTACCAGACAGACGGGTTTCGGTTTCGGCCAGTCGGCGCGGCATAGGTCTGGAGCAGAAATATTCCAAGCCAAGCCCAAGCCCGACCAAGCCCACGCCCAAGCCCCAGCTTGACCGGGTTGAATTCCAATCCTGATCCGCCCGCTCAAAATTCTCCCATTTGACGACGGCCACGCTCGTACGACATACGCGGTGACTACCTTCAAAAGTACCACTATCACCACGACCACCATCAAGTACCGCAGTACTCGCCGTTCCTCCCCGGCCACTACCAACACCACCGTTCATCATCACTTCCTGCCTCCTGTCCTTATTCAATTCACCATACATCCAACCAACCATCTCGCCTCCGCCAGGGATAGGCTATTTGAAAGGGTTCTCGGTCCACGGGAAGAGAGGAAACCAAGGCAGCCGATGCAGGCCACAAATCAAAGACTCAGTACGGGGATAACCCAAGAACACCACAGCTCCCGTTGGAATTACATACTCGGTTAGCGGCTTGCTAGGCCATCCCAGCAGACTATTTGAGTCGGGAAAGCAAGAAGTTCGCCGACTCACCCACATAATCGACCACGAACTGGTCCGTCATCGGTCCCGTTCGTTGACTGGGGCGAATCACCATCTCAGGCCGCCCCAGGAACGCTGCCGCTAATATTTAGGCCGAGGCGAGAACGAGTCCGCCAGTCCACACACAGCCTGTCAGCACTCGACATCCAGAAGCCTGGAGGATCCTGAGAGGCGGTTATCCAGGGACTTCCCAAGTTCCCACGCTTGACCGGCTCGTGAGGAAGTGAGTCTTCGAAGTTCGGGAGGCAATCTGCGATCCACTTACACAAAAAGGCACGTCAGAGTTCCGTTCTTGTCGTCTTGCAGTCTCATGTCGTGCTACACGACGCAAAGCTGCTCAGCCTCGCCATGCATGGATGCGTTCCAGAAGCACACCCAGGTTCTCCCTGTAAATTCTTGTAGATCTTCCTGTACCTACTTCCCTTCTCGGACCCGGCTGCGTTGTGCGTTGTGCGGTGTTGCTGGCTCTCAAGTGCCAGTTGCAGTTGCGTTCGTGGGATCCAGCCAACTAACATAGTTGGCTGCTTCTGCTGTCATTCCAACACATACAATACTCACGGACGCATATTGCAATTTCTGTGTCTACTGCGAGTCCGACCAATTGGTACGCTTGTGCTACCTGGGCCGGAATCATCTTATTGCCACCGCTATCGTTCGTTTCTTGCTTACTTTTATACCAACTAGTTGTTGGTTGTCGTGTTTGCGGTTGGCAGACTGTTGTGTGCATATTGGGCAATCTTGTGGCTCCGAAAAGAGCATCCCATCTCCATCTCTTCCCACCCCTCTGCTAGGTGTTCTACCCGAACTCGTTGGGTCAGGACGATGGATGGAGGGATTGCTTCGCACTATGACCACAATCCAGTCTGTCGATATTTTTACGACTGGGATCTATTTTGCTCGGGATCCATTCCAGCCAGCCAGCTAACAGGTATTTTTTGGTCAGGTACTACTTCGTCGTCGAGTTGCGTGCAGCCCCCAAGACTTGAAGGGTGATCCGAGGGCCAAGGGTGATCCCGCTCCATTTATAGAAGAGTCAGGCGCTCCTCTCCCGGGACCACTAGCACTACTAGCACAGCTAGCCCGCCTAGGTGCCTGGGACTACCTGTGCGTTCTAGGGCGTGCATTAGAGTAGGTACTCCGCCGCAGCGGCGAGCCCTCCCGTCTCTGCCCTCCAGCTCGGCCCTCTGCACCTGCACCTGCACTTGCACCCACTGCCACCAGACACCCGGGCACCCACCCACAGGTGCCTGCCGCCTGCACATGTACCTACGGCCCCTACAACAAGCCCCCTACCAGCCCGCCCGGGTCAGCCAGCACACCCACCATCCACAGCGTTCAGCACTGAATACATCCCATCAGCGCACCCACCAGCGGCTAGCCCCGCCACTCTCCACCCAATTTCTTGCGCCGCACTCTCTTCCGTCTCGTCTCCTTTGGAACTCTTCTTTCCCGTCCCTGCACTTGCGTTTACGCCGCCCACGTCCACGCATCTTCACGCTCGACATCACCTCACCCTGTTTTAATTTCTTAACTTTGCTTCCAAGGTCGCGACCACTGCTCTTCCCCGTCCTGGTCGATTCACCTGTCGCCTGGTCGGACTTGCGACCCTCAGCTTCAAGTCCGATCTTTGCGACGTCGGCTGCGTGGGATCAACTGCATCCAACTTCATCCCGAGATATCGCCTTGCGCCAACCAAACACCACTGTGCGCAACCGACGATATCCAGGCTCGGACCCTGCCACGACTTGTGTCTGAATTTTATTTTTTCCTTCTTCTCTTACCCCCGGATCCAGATATATCTGGTATTCATCTTTTCTGCCGCCTTCACACTGTCCAGCATTGTGTGTTTGTACTCTTGAAGAGCTAGACCACAGCGCGAAATACACTCTACTAGACTTTGAACCACACGCCACTCAGACATCACCCGGAACCACCGCCTCGCGCTGCGCGCTTTTGTCGTCTTCTAATCTCAACCTGGCGCCCCTCAAGCGTCTGTCATTGTAGCATGGCTGGGGACCATCACCGGAAAAGGGGACACGCAAGACACGAGCACTACGACGATTCCCAGTATCCCCCTGTTCCTGGCGAGGAGGACGAACGCTCAAGAGCTATCCCCCATCACCCACGACCACAGATGGCATCCGCTGCGGTAACCCTACCGTCTATTCAGGACCCCCACGCTACCTATGGTCCCGGCAGTAGCAGATCTTGGGATTCTAGAACTTCTGGCTACGGCCCATCACCTACCTCTACGAATGGATATCCGCCCCCTCCAGGCAGCTCTAGTTATTCTCCTGTCGCCAGCAGCTCTGGCTATCCCACCCCAGGCTCAAATCACCAACCCTATCTACCACCTGTTCATGCACATGCTTCAAGCTCGAGAGGGGGCTATCCCGCCGACCCTCGAGCATCACAGCACTACGCAGCACCAGCACCTGGGTCCTACAATGGAGCCAGCGCTTACGACTACGCTTACCAACCGGAGCGTGGCCCACACGGTGGTTATGCTGACTACGCTGGACCGTCAGGCGCTGCCGTGATGCAACAATCTGCGCCGCGACAGCGAACATCAATTGCGTGCAAGTACTGTCGGCGGAGGAAGGTAAGACTTGGATAGGCAGGTTCGACATCATACGAGCAAGACTAATTCTAGTTCAGATTCGTTGTAGTGGCTTCCAGAATTCCCCTGGAGGGAAATGCACAAATTGCTTGAAGATGAATCAAGAGTGCCTTTTCCAGCCGGTTTCATCCTCGTCGTCCGCTGCCTTCGTCTCGGTGTCGGCTTTGACCAACGGCATCTCCCCTGGTATGCAAATTTATGGAGCATATGGGCAACCTTTGACGGCGGCATCGAATCATCCTCATGGCGGCGGTGGCTACGTCACGACGCCGCAGTACGATCAGCCGCTTCCATCGCCGACTGGCTCATATGCGTCTTACACCGAGGAGAGAGTTGAGACGGGCAGACGTCGCCACAGAACTTCGGATGATGATCATGGGCTACGACTCCCACCACCAAGCTCGTTCCCCGAAGACGGTACACGACGACGATCTCCGTCGAGCAGTAGCCCGGGCCATCTGCAGCCGTATCCGCAAATACCGGCTCAACCCGTGCCGCCTTATCGGTATGACAACCGGACGCCTGAACCCAGAGGGAGTCCGTCTGGTCCTCCCGCCGGCGGATCAGGGAACTCGGTCATGAGTCTGGGAAATATAATGGACGGTCCTCCATCGGCGAGAGACATCGACCAGAATATGCTGGGCCGACTGAATCGTCGGAAGCACAAATGAAGCGCTTTGTCTCTGTAATAATGGCCTGTGGATCAAGCAAGGGTCGGTGTATCCCTTGTAGGGGTCGGAAGGGGGTTCGAGAGCTCACACATGACTGGCTGGCCAGCTTGTTGCGAAGTTGTTGCGCCGGACGGCTCGACGATTCGAACGATTCGATTGCATGGCACGAAGAGAATGTCAACTTCGAATCGGTACACGGCCATCTGGGGCAGCACGTAGAGGACCGGACCACGGGCGTGGCTAGAGACGGTCTAGTTTGGCGACAGGCACCAGTCGACGCGTATATCCTCCGTTTGCTTTGTTTTGGCGGCGGCTTCATCAGGCTTCTACTTCGAGTTTTTTCCGAGAAGAATTCGGGTACAGGAAGGGGGAAAGACTGGCTTGCCTCACGGCACAAACCCGGACGTTTTGTTCATTTTCTTTGCTTTACATCTACCATTGTCGCTTCACAGCCGATTCGGGCGTTGGTACCGCGTTGTCATTCGAGATACTAGGTCGACATCGCGCAAGCGAGGGGGGCGGAACTCTGTTGCTTCTTCATATCCGTTGAGAAAAGTAGTCTCGATGCTTTTTTTCGGCTTTCTAGCAGCCATTCTATGGCCCCGGTGGTAATACAGATGGGATTCCTCGTGCCTTGATGTCTCTAAAGCATTTTTTGGCTGCTATTATCGCACTTTTAACAGTAACCCGGGGATCAGCAGGTTGTGAATCATGCTCGTCGAGTGACTACCCTACATAATATTCAGACGCGAAAGCTGCACGTGTCGGCGGGCAGGTCCCTAAAACCATTGCAGCTAGCTAGCTGTACAGGGGCCTTCTGCTGAGATGTATCACCGTTACACGCGTCGGTGACAGACGCGCAAGATAGTCAAGTGGATCTTGCGAGTGGACACATATATGTTTTGATAAGCAAGAGATGACACCGGATGGTGGATTTGCCTTGTAGTAGTCCGCGTGCGTGTGTTTGGGATTCCTATAATAATTTGACGCTGGCAGCGGTATCCCGGCTCGGTATCACCGGTTGCGGACTCTGCACTTCTGCTTGACAGATGGTATCGGTACAATGCTACGCGCATGCGGCAGTGCTGTCGCGTCGCGACCTCGTTTGTTGGAAAGGGCGAGGGGTGACTCGCGAGGGGCTAGAGGGACACAGCGGTACGGTCTCCTTGCTGTGGGTGATAATCGTTGCGTTGCAACGTTAATGTCTGCTGTGCTCAACGTCTACATCGCCTCTATCTGGCGCCTTCGGGACGCAGGTACGCCGGGCTACCATTCGTAGCTTGTAAATCAAATTTATTACAACTAGGTGTGTACTTGATACCTATTTCCTATCGAAGTCCAGAGCGAAATTAAAGTCTATCTCTCTCAGATGGATGTCTGGCCGGCCCCTGAACCTGAAATTGTCATGTCGTTGTGTGAGTACCTAAACTTGCACGTATTATTAGCTTCAGGGGTCTATCTTCTCTTTTATCCGGTATCAGATTGCGCCGCCGTTGTCTCGCGCCTGATGAGAATACTTGGTTGGTTGGTTAGTCAGTCAGTCAGAGTCAGTTAGTTGGTCACGACTCATATTGATGATGAGGTGTAATAATAAAACTGTTGCTTCCTATGGTAAGGTAGGCTGTAATAAAACAGGCTGCGGGCTTCTAGACTCTAGTCGCCAGCTAGTTGACTGTGATTCGATCTTGCGAGAGGCCATTTTAGATGATGCAGGCGTCGACTAGTAGATGGGCGGATGGATAGTTGACGGATAGGCGACGGATAGGCAGACGCATGGGAGCGTTCGTCGCGGGCTGTGGCGCCGTCCGTTGTGCCTAGGTTAGAGGAAGATACTTGTTACTTAGGTACTTAGATAAGAAGCTACCTTTTCTAGGTCGTAAGTGGCGAATGGTAAATTGGAGGTAAAATAAGGGCGACCTTGGATTGTAACGTTATCTATCCCCAGGTCAAGTCAAGCCAGGGACGACGCGTCAAGCTATCCATCGGTTCCGAGTCTCATACATGATACAGGAATGGACGGCACGTCACGTCACGCGCTCCGGCTTGGTTGGACTCGAGGAACGGCCCCTATCCCGACGGCATGTCCCCCAGACAGGTTTCTTGTCCTACGTCCGTGACTTTGATTACTAAACACTACTATAGACACTACTAAGGTGCTTAAACCAGGGGATAACGCCACGCCACGCACCGTACCGTACCGAGACCGAAACCTACCTGTGCCCCAGTTTCAGTCCGGTCCAGTTCCCTTGCGCGAGTCGCCGCTGGGACGGACTGAGTCAGGGTCGATCAGGCGGACCGAGGGCTAGCACCATGAGTTAGTTCGGTGACAGTTTGGGTGGGTGTGTAAGTTGCGTGTAACGGTTGCAGGTACGTCAGGTGAAGGTGGTTAGCTTTGTTTCCTGCACTGTCATGGCCGCCCATCGTGCTGCGTTCTCTCTTTTGCTGCGCGGTGGTTCAGGTTGTCTACTGTTGACATTGCATCGATGTCAGGGGCGAGAGTCGGAATCAGGTGTCTTTGCGACGATGTCACGACAATAACTCGAGATGAGTACAGGTTGGTGACCGGAAACCCCTTTCTTGACATGGACCTCGAGATACTCACAGTTAGCCACGAACGAGTCAAGAGTTTCGATCTATGCCGTCCAGCTGACATCCATTGTAGTTCTCTGTCGGCGAACTCGAAACCCGACGCTTCTATCACCGAATTGCACCTCCCAGATTTCCCTGAACGACTAGGAACGGCCGCCGTACAATGATGATACAACTGACTGAATTGTGGCGAGTCGTACTGTATAAATACGTGATCCACGAGCAGCGAGCCTGATGGCACAACCCCTAAAGCTTCTCGATCAAATTAAAAGCTTCCCGCGAGTACGAAAATTTGTGGGCGAGATACAGCTATGGCGGTCTTTGAGCGTCTGTTCTCCATGCGTGCCCGTACCATAAGCTCCGGTACGTTCAGGCAAGAGACTGGCAACACACAAACACACAAAATGACGCAAAACGAGCCTGCCATCGGGGTGCCACACGGTCGTTCTAGTCGGTTCACATAAAGTTCTGGAAATGCGCGGGCCAACTGGCCAAACCCGGCGCCTGATCATTCTCGGAGGTTTAGAAAAAGTCAGGTTCTCTAAACCCCCGAATCACTGTCACTCGTGCCAGTCGGGACTGAGAACACCTTGCGTTAGTCAAACTCTCTTGCTGCGGTTCGGTTCGGTACGGCACGCCACAACCGCCCGGGCCAAACAGCTTTACTGCTACATTAGAAGCCTGCTCGGGCTTGTTTAAGTTTGCAGTTCTGGTCACGTCGATGTTTGCTGCGGCTGTTCGAGTCAAAGCGCCGAGAGGTTGTTTTGCATTTCGGAACCCCAGTCCGGACTGGTCAAGACCACGTGGCAATACAAAGTTGGCGGCACTTACCAATTTTTTTCCTGTCTTTTGGGAAGGGGACGGAAGAAATTCCGTAGGGTCTACGGGTGGTTTCAACTTCGGCTTCGATCATTGATGGGCTATGCCGTGTAGCGCTTTATGACGCGACGGAAACCGGAGACGACGCCGAGCCTTTGCGCAAACGATTGACTGTGGTTACGTGGATGTTCTATCGCCATGACAGCTTTGCGATGACGAGTCTAAGCTGCTGTAGTTACTGCAGCCCCTTCGGTTCTACACCGAAATACGAAAGAGAAACGACATGCCGGGTGTATCGCCAGAATTCATTTTCTCATTGTTCGCGAGACCAATGGCTACCTCGGCCGCCCTGTGTTCGAGGCGATTATGAGAGAAAAGGCCGAACCGGTCCAAACACTACGAGAGAACAAACAGAACCACGCGAAGGACCTGCGGTGCTGAGACAACCTTGTAATCAGCTGCTTGGACGATTAGTTCTCGCGATGCGCCATTTCCTGCGGTGGCGGCGCCCTCGAGAGAATCCCTCATGCCCGCCGCCTTAGCCAACTCCGAACCCAACCCCAACCAGATGATATCTGCTGGACATCTAGTTGATACATAGGTAGCTTATGTCGACTTATCTCGGGCTCCGTCGAAGTCGACTGCCCCATCGGTTGGTCTCAACGGCCCGCAAACCATGCGATACCATTGGTCAGTCCTCATTTGTCGTTGATTGGCCACCACCTGCAGGCTGTCCTGAATTGGCAATACCTATCGGGGGACAAAGGAACAACGAGGACGTTGGCGCGATGGTATGGCGCTATCAGCGCTTCATGATTCTATTGTTGCGCTTCCGTTTCTGAGCTTTTGCTTTTTTTGGGTGGTTTTGTTTGTTCGGGAATGAATTCCTTCCTCGAGCTGCAAGTCTGGAACGGTTTCTAGGTTGACGCACGAATGCACGAACGCACGAACGCCCGGCTAGTGCCGGCTCTCGACGTAAGGTATCTGATACAGGAGAGCTTCGACTTATTGCTGTTTCATATCACATGTGGTCCTGGGGTCGCCTGAGCTATTCATTCTGCTGGCCAAATGTGATGCGGGTACAAGATTATATTCAAACCGACGTTTCCCCGAAACGTGAAATATCGTCAGATCTGTCGTCGTCCTTGAGACATACAGCAACAAGCACGTGTCCGGTGTTCGTTCGTGCTGCCGTACATGGCACTGAAAAACTCAGAAGCATCGAGCATATCGCCTGTGGATCGCACTATACACTCTCATGTGGAACTCGATGTGGGTCAGAACGTTATATAGTCGCCAGGACGAACAATGATCATCGGTAGAGACGGTGATTGCTATCACTGCTTCTTCATGTAGCTTCTTGGAAAGGAGGAGACTGGTCTTGGGGCCGTGGCGAGCTGCTATGCTGTTCACAATATCGGGTTTCAGAGGCGTTGGTGTCGCGTTTCAAGAAATCCACTGGACGTATTGATGTTTATGACTGCACGAGGAACTCTTTGTAACTGCATCGATGACCATAAGTGAGCCTCATCCTCTTCAATTTGGACGCCATAGGTCTTACGACTTATCTCCGTAATTTGTAAATCGAGTTTTGTAATGCACTCCTCCCGTCGGTATTTGAAGATACTACGTATGTAACTCGACATAGAAGTCTGCTGCAGGACCCTCACTCTATATGCATACTTTCCATTCGGAGAATCGGGCCTGGATTATGTCCGTGTGAAGCCCTGGCACCAGATGGGGATGAGAAACTATTCATCCTACACGGTCTTGCTGGTTCGTACAGACGCCGCGACCTCGGGCTCCCAACCTCGTTCCACATACCGTCTCGTGGTGAACCTACTATATACACTCTCGTCCTCTGGATGCGGGAAGCGCAGGCAGGGTTGAGGTAAGGAGAGGAAACAAAGGAAGAAGGGTCACCAGGGCCCGCTCTGGGAGAGGCCACGATCCTCCTCCAATGAACATGACAGTCCGTCAGCTTAATATCTACCTCGGCAGTCTTGTAATTCCTCTCGCCCCTATGACAGATAGCGCTAGATACACACATGTCCTGGACTGTCCCACCAAGACAAAAGCACTTTAGGGGCGTCTGATGAGGAGGGCCAAAGTGTCGGTTTGAACTGGCCCGGGAGCTATCTGGATCTGCTTATAGGTGTTGAACAACGCAAACAGCCAAGCCATAATATCCCGCTATTGCTCTTCAGCCTCCCTTAGTGACTGTGGAACATTCAAGACCTCTTCCGTTACGCACATAGACATCCAACTCTTAACGAATACAATGACCAGGCGGGCACGTCTAAGCTGAGTTGTCCGAACCGAACGCAACAAAATCTCGGTAGCTTCAGCGTATAAAATCAGACCCCGTATGATATAAAAGCTGGATTTGAGTGTGTGTCTTCTGAAAACCCCAACTTTATGCAAGGAAGACAAGCCAGAAAAGGGGAAGAGATCAGGGATGACCCGCCCCTTCCGCTTCCATTGAGGAGCAAACAATCGAGACGACACCTCTGAGTCCCGAGTACCCCCACTAAATTACTTTGTGTCTTCGATCCGGATCCGTTCTCAAAGCCGACTGCCTCTCAAGCGAAGGGGCCCGCCACGTGCTTGACTATCAGCCATGGCTCTGAGCTCTCGCTAACTGATAAATTGTCCATTGAGCGAGTTGGACAACGTTACATGTCAAGATGGACACGAAGAACCTGGAAAATACCAAGGAAGCGATATTCATATCGATAGACAGACAGGTGCCAACCTTCCCTAGTGGTAGAGGAGAGAAAGTATAACCATCCCGCCTATAGACCTGCCTACCTGCGTAACTTACAGTCTGGTTTGGCACGAGCAAATATTCCTATTTCGGACCCGCCGAAGCAAGTACAACCAGTCCTCCCTACCGTAACAGACATATGCGCCCAAAATAAACTGCCCAAGGAGAGAACAAGGACAGCGAACCAGTGCGTCAACAGCAATGACTTCATAGCTTCGACGATGGATGCGTGCCGTGCACCGCTGTAAACAACAAATCAGGGCCTGTCCAGTCCAGTCTACTAGTAATTGGAAAAATAATAAGGTGGTTTCGTGACGCACCCGCGGCCTGCGTCGAGCATCATACGAAGAAGCTACTTGACCCCGGTCAGCCGAGACATAGAAGCAAGGGCCCTAGGGCCCTCCATGATTAACGACAGCAACAGCAACAACACCGAGCACACTGAAATTACGGCTATATAAGCATATTCTCATCTAGGTAGTAGTCATGCCTCATAGCAAGTCGTGACCAAGTCGTGAGCGCAATGCCGTCCATCTAAATGCATACCTCTGAACACCCCCAAACACCTTCCACCCATCAAGTCAGCAGTCAGAGCAGATGGCATGATACACCGCCACCTCCCGTTTGAGAAAACAACCTCTCCCATACTAACTTCTGCCCCCTTTCGTCTATCCAGCTACCCATCCACTCACTCAGAACGAACAACAAGCAAGAAACTCAGGAACGTGACTACGAGTAAGCCCCTCGTCGGCCTACGTCTCCACAGCCATCTCCTCCCTCACGACCATCCCCCCTCCCTCCCCCCTCTCCATCACAAAGCACCGCTCAGCAAACACCCCCCGCGCATTCTGCTCCCTCCACGCCTCGCCCATGCGCCTTACCATGACGTGCCGCCACCCGCCCACATTAACAGTAACCGACCGCCAGGTCACCGCGCCCGCCGACTGCCGCCCGCGCGCCAGCGCCGCAAAGATCCCCATCGCGGCGTCGTAGTCGCGGTCCGTTCCTAGTGGTGCCACCTCCTCCTCGAGCGGGCGCAGCACCGTCTGCGTGTGTAGCACCAGCGAGTGCAGGCGCGGGAACGCGCACAGCGCGCGCAGGAACAGCGGCGGGTCGTCGCATAGCGCCACGTCCATGTCGAGCTCGAGCGCGCGCAGGTGGACTAGACCGCCGCCGTGCGCCGCCAGCCGCGCGAGGTCCGACGCCCGCAGCGTCGGGCAGCGGCGCTCCTCGTCGCCAAAGCCGACGTGGTCGCGGAGCCGGAGCATGCGCAGCGAGCCCGCGTGCCGCAGCAGCGTGTCCACCACGGGAAAGAGCCGCGTGTGGCACGTCAGCTTGAGGGTGTTGAGGGCCCAGATCTGGCGCACGAGGAGGTCGAGGCCCCGCGTCGCCTCCTCGCGCTTCTCGGGCAGGTGCGCGCTGAAGTCCTCGCAATGCAGCGTCCGCAGCTGGCGGAGGTCCGGGAACGCTATCGAGGTGAGGAAGGGGAACATGGGGACGTCTACGAGCTTCAGGTGCTGTATCTGGGAGAAGTCCCAGTGCTTCAGCACCACGTCTGAGCCGTGGTTCCAGTCGTAGGATCGCAGGTTCAGCTCCTTGAAGGCTGGCAGCCGCTCATTTCCTGTAAACGTAAAGCGAGTACCTTGGCCCCTGTCATCGTAGTGAAAGGTCTCCAGTCGTGACGCTTCGGTGAGTAGACGCTTTAGCGAATCGAGCCGAGTCGTGAGTGGTGGCGTAGGGCTAGCCATCTTGAGGGATGTGAGGGCGTCCGTTGGGATTGCCCTTAGGTATGTGTCATATAGTTCGCCATCGAAGTCTCTCAAGGGCAGATTGTCCACGTAAAGCTTCGTCCTGTTGATCTCGATATGCCGTCGACTAAGGATGTCTGCGGGCATCCAGACGCCGGCGGAGCGGAAATCAGCTCGCACATAACGCCAACTACGCATATGTCAACGTCATATTCAGAGGCGGTGCTTTGCACACAAAAGGGGCATTACCTGACAGACAAGAGCCGCTGTATTCTGTCAAGTACGCGCTTGATACGTTGTGCGTTGAGATCACTCCTCGCCTCCACGTGTCTGGTGTGAGTATACACGTGCTCAAGGCCTCGAGGATGGTGAACCTCGGCTCGAGCATCTAGGATCCGCTCAGTCAGATGAAGAGTTTCGTATTTGATTGGTGTTACGATTGCATTAAACCGACTTGAAAGCAGGCGACTTGCTGCCAGCGATCTGCCGTCGATGTCTTGTAGCTGTTTGATAACTCTTTAGCCAAGGGAAGTTGAGTAGATGATGGTGATCGGGGACAGGTTCATACATTTCGGAAGATGAGTTCCAGAAGCTCGGTGCTCAGATCGTTGAGACACCATCTGGGAGTGGGTTGGTGGAAGATTGAAACCGTCGCCATACAGCCCTTATAATCACCATTACTCCGCCTAGACTTGCAAGAGGGAAAGGAGAGGGAGACGGGGTGAGAAATGCACAGCAGCTCGACGGGGCCATTATAGAGCAACGTCAAGGCAAGATAGGCGGTGGAATGCGGGTGTATTATCAAGTAGGCGGTCATCGACATGGAAAGCAAATCCTGTGAGCGATGGAGAAGTCGGTGATTTCTTTCAAGATCGTCGCATGGTACAGATGGAAGTGGAGCGGCGCAGTGACAGCTGAGCTGGTCTTGCAGCTCGGGGATTCAAAGACAGGCAGTATATCAGACGGCCTGGCCAGTTGGACATTGGACATGTGGGAGGCGCATGGTATTGAGGCGATTGCAACGTCTTGGCCAGGTTGACAGGTGAAGCTAGACCCCTCGGGGATAAAGTAACGAGACACGCAGACGAGTAAGCGGAGAGATGGGACCGGCCAAGGTCTATAAAGAGAGTACGCAGATCGCCAGACGCTGGCTGTGCCCTGCGCATCTGTAGGCTGTAGCCCGTATGGGACTCTCATCAGGCCGGCAGGATCAGGCCGGCAAATGTGAGGCATGCTAGTCCCTGCCAGCCCCCTACCCGGCGAAGGCGAGGAAACGGGCTAGCGGAGTATAGAAGAAACCAGAGGAAAAGAGGAAATCCCACCGAGCTAGAATAAAATTGACAGCACTACTGCTTCTAGCTGCCGACTGGTGTATGAAGGAGGAGGCCGGATGGATGACGAGGCGGTGACTGAGCCAGGGGACCGTCGCGGGAGCTATCAGTTGGGGCTCATCTCGGCGTCGCCATCTTCAGCCATAAGCTCATAACCACTAGTCATGAGAGCCGAAACATGGCGAGCGTGTTTGTAGATGTTCAAAGTTAGCCCGGAATAGGCTCGAACAGACGAGGGCAACGAGTCGACGACCGACGTCACGGTCCGCCGACCGAACACTTGGACCTTGGTGGCTGCAGGTCAACCAATTGCTGGGACAGACGCGTGGCCAACATGGGATGAAAGAGGTGTGTTGGCGCGAGAGGCATACTCGTTCTAGAAGGAAACAATGGCTCGGTCTCGGTGGTGGCAGCGTCGATGGTCGATGGTCGATGTGGGTTGACGTCGATGGGGAAGTTTGATAAAATGAGGAGATATCGACGAGGTTCGCAAGTTTGTCCCAAAATGGTCATGGCCCTCTGTAACCCTAGCCCCTGTGGCCCTGCTGTTCTGTGCATTAGCGCCTACTCGCAGTTCCGCTAATGTGGTCCACTGTCTACGGCGTGGGCGACATGGGTTTGCCGACAAGGGCCCTCCCTACCCGCCTACGTGCAGATATATATAACGGTCTGCAAAGCTGTTTCTACCTACATATCATGATCTGATCCTATATCAGATTCGGATATTATTCTGGATGTGACAACACGTATATTTATGTAGCCCTATGAGGTGCCGAGACCCACCAGAGTTGTGTTCTCGTTTCCTGGGACGCCGGGGAACGCTTGGCTGCCCACGAATGACAACGCTCGAGCTGTGACGGGGGGCAACGCTGAGTGGGGGATGCATAAGCCGCCCGATCAGGCAAGCCCTCCGCGGGGGTACCATCTTACAAACTAACATACGTACACAAGTACCGTACACAGTTATGTTGCATTTGCATGGGCATCTACACTCACAACTACGAGCATGCACCATGCACTATGACGCCGCGACGCCGACGAAACTATTGGTCGGTAGTTTGAAGTCATATGCTACTAGATCAGATGAAGAAAAAAGAAAACGGGTTTGGGGCCGGCATCCTGCCTCCCCGATCCCCGATTCCCCGATCCCCCGCTGCTGCGGTGCCGCCCGACCGGGTCCGACGACCCACTGTATAGACCAGTCCAATCGCAACACTGTCTTGAGGCTCTGTGGACCCACCTCTCATCATATCACGGTTGCTCATATGCTCACCGACTGATGCCCTCCACCTATTGTCGTGAGCTCCCGAGGAGGAGACAGGCGCTGTTTGCGAGCCCGCGTTGCCGTAACCCCTCATTCTGTACTCCTCCAACATGACCACCGTATCTGCCATGATTCTGCCACGCGCCGGGCCGCATCGACACATGATGCTGACACATAATAATGCTCGCAAGTCTTGCCGCCCACAAGCCATTCCCCCTATCCCGGGCCTCATAGGCTCATCTCTCTGCCCCCTGATATGTATGATACGGGACCGGCCTTGCCGATCTCCGAAAAGATACTAGCTCACCGTTTAACTTAACGCTGGCGCGCGCTTAAGTCGTGTCTTGTCTGCGTTATCTCCAGCCACTAACAAAGCGTCTATTGAACCTTCCGATGCCCCGGAAACACGTACTAGAAGATCCACATGTGACAATAATGTAAAGACCTATCTTGCCAACTGGTATACCGCAAATGCTTCGGCTTGGACACATGGGTGGTATCTTGCTGCGGTTTGTTCATGCTCATGCTCTTCAAGCCGACCCTGAGAGTTAGGGGTTTGAAGATTCAGCAAATACATGCAAACCACTAACCTCCCCCACATGTGAGCCAAGTCATGTGAAGAACCCTAGGACCCAAGTTCGCAACAGAATACAGTAACTACACTTACAGTAGTATGGTTTGGACGGACCGTCCAATCGCAACCCCGTTCGCAAGCGAGGCTGTAACGGCTGACCGACTGGGACCAGGGCCCGATTTAAGCTGCGTCGATCTCAGGTGCCACGACGCCACGCAGATCTGCTGGGTAGCATATCCTCCGCGTGGCTGGCAATCCTTTTTGCTTTTTCTACCTGCTTACTGGAGTCGTTCGTTAAAGGGTACAGGATCAGGGCTAGCTTGTCACCAGAAGAGAGTATCTCGTCAGATAGATATCAATTTGCGTTTCTGTAGTATGGGTTTGCCCCGAACAGAACACGCCCCAGGTCACCACTTCTCGAATATTGCCCAACCAATACCTAGCTTCAAGTCCGGCAACCAGCCCAATGCCAACCCCCGAACCCGGTCATCTGATCACAATCGCAACGACGCGATAAGCGACCGTATGGAGTCGAGAGGATAGGTGGTAGTCAGCCAGAGCGAGGGTGCGTGAATGTAACGACGAATCTCTTTACTAATATTCCTATGAGCATGTGTCCTCACGCATCCTTCAATGCTCAGGAGCATGGTCTTCTGTTCCATCGTCAACCCCACGCATGCTCCCTCCCTCCCTCCCCGACCTCTCTACTACCCCCAGTCTCATACGTATGCATGCAGGACGCTCTCCCAGGTACCCGGGTACGGCCATCAGGAGTGCAACACCAACGCAACACGGATGCATACAGTAGGTAGTACGAACAATATAAGTTAGCCAGGACCCCCGGCTCCGCCCGCTGGCAGATCAGATCAGATGAGAGGCGGCCCACGCAAGCTGCCGCGAGCATGTCCTATTCCGGGCCACCTTGGCGAAACAGAGGAAGGGGGCCTGTCACATGCCAGAACATGTCACGAGGCTTGAAGAGGATGTTTCGAAACAAAAATAGGGACAACCTACCCGAGAATCAAGCCATCGACCCCCTAGAGGAATAGACTCATCGACAACGACTTATTTTAATGTGTAAACGCGTCCTCACTTGTTGAAGCTGGTAACTCCGACCCCCTACGACACCAACCTACTCCAGGCCCCTTCACGTAGAGAACAACGTAAGCACTTCACCTCAGTCAGTCAGCTTCTGCGCTAGACCTTCCTTTGCATCTAACTCAAGTAAGTATATTTCACGAGACGACTCTCAACATCTCCCACACAACCCATACGTCCACGTGTACCGTTCACCAGCCTTATCCTATGCTATCCAGGCCACCTGTTCAACCAAGTAGATCTCAGCGAGCATGCCCGCCAGGTCTCCCGATTTCGAAAGTGGCCAGTCCAACCCATTCCAGCCCATCTCGGCCCATGTTGCCACCGTTTCAGCGAGCCAGCCAAACCTCGGGCGGTAGATGCACATAATGTACATGGTCACCACCAGGCGGTCGACGAGACGTCCCCTACCCGGAATCATCCCATCACAACCCCAGTCCGCCATACTCTAAGCCCCCTATATCTGCTCATCTCTTCGCCTCATCAATGGCCAGCAGCACACGACACGACACGAGACAATCCGCTCAGCTCCCCAACACTGGCCCCAACCAAGCCTCCGGCGAGCATTTCGGTGGGGTCCTACCGAGCCCAACCCAGTCGCTCAGCCCTCCCGCTGTTGCCATCACCGCAGTCAGCATTCCTCGCCTGTCATCCATCTTGACTTCAAACCTCGAACCTCGACCTCGATCCCAACTCCGACTGTCCGTCAGTCTATTCACCTGTGTGCTCAAACCTCCCGTATTTTACGTGGGAACGGGATGAGATGGTTGCGTTCGCAAGAATCTCGCCATTCAGCCCGACCCCCAATCAATCACCTTACTTAAGTGATTAAGGTGACGTCCGTCCACATAGGCTTGTTCGTCTCGGAGCCCGTATACAATGTCCCCGGTCCCCCAATTTGAAGTTCCCTTCACCTGAAACCCTATAGTATTTCTCTATACTGCTCCCTTCTGCTCCACCCCTATACCTGGCCCCTATGCCCACCCTCTATACTCAACCCCTCTTCCCAAACGAGCAAGTAAGAAAGCAAGCAAACAAACCAAGGCTTCGCAGAGTCCTCCCCGCCGCGGAAAGTAAAGCAAGGGGCAAGCGGGCGGGCGGGCTTCTCACTCAACCCCGTTCGGACCCGAGCTAGAAAGTCAGTCAACACCTAGACAGGTCAAGCCAGCAAGCGTACTGTCCACAGGGGGGATTCCATCTCTGGGGAACCGCTTGTGCAAGCACTATTTACTTACGTAGTCTGTTCCCACCGCCGCAGTGAGACAGTATGAAATAAAAAGAAGAGGGGGAAAGGGGGAAAGAAGACCGAGAAACAGTAAAACGTATAACACTAAGGATTTGCCTACCAACTCGGCGCTCACTGGTTTATCTATCGGAGGGCGGACGGGATCCGGAGGACTCCAGTGGCTATGGTCGTACGTGGAAGTTGACCGTGTGTCCTGGTTTATATGTAGAAAACCAATTACAACCCTCCCTAGCACCGTCACTTCCACTTTCATTTACACTCCGTAGCCGAAAGATCAGTGCCTACATGTATGCCCATGAAGAGTTCAGTAAAATGTCCGTATAAACAAGTACCTGGTAATCACCGAACCAAAGCTCACGGTGGCTCTGCGGCCAATTTCACAAGTAGACACGATCTCTAGTATCAAGTTATTCATAGCAAAGGTTAGGTGATCGACGGGGTGGAACAGAAAACAGTATTGGCATTTGGGGGAATCTCTCCTTTGATAACGGACAAAGTCGGAAAAGATGATGCGCGGAGAAGAAACCAGATAGATATCAACACAAGGTATGCGACGCTTCAAAAAGCCAGCTCCTTCAACCTCACCAGAGATAGACAGGCCTGGCGTGGTAGGTAAGCAGGTAATCGTTTTGCCCGAAGTTCGCTTCCACTACCACGCGGATCCCATTGTTCGAGATAAAAGGATTAGATCCCAAGAAACAGCTAGACGCTCCCCGATCATTACGCTGGTGCTCTCCCTCGTCCTCAAGCCGCAAGATATGCATACCTTACTGGTACAGCCCTTCAGTCCATTAGTACCGGTACATCGGCTCCTTCTTTCCCTCCAGTGGCGTCGCATCGTAGACTTCGCTATTGTCACCAGTGCGACGAGACTCGGCGCTCTTGGATGGCGCAGATTGGGACTGGTCTACCGCGCCATGCATCGCCTCATTCCCGAGGGCGCTCTCTTGGCGCCCTAAGTAGCTCGGGGTGGTATCAAAGCCGGGATGGAAAGGCTCAAATGCCAGTGTAGGCTCATAATCGACGTATTTTGACGACCCTCCTGCACCCGATCCTGAACCACCACCTGATCCGGAAGCCTCGGGCACGGGGTCTCTGAAGGGATCTTCTGCCTCGACTGCTGGCGTATGCGATCTCGACGGTCCTGCTGAAGGCCCAGCAAGAGCGGGCTCATACTCTCTCTGTTTGCCCTTGCCATTGGCTTTCCTAGGCGGTACCGATGGCAGATCTAATGACGAGCTGGATGAGACTCGTCGAAATCCGGAGCCGTTGCGCTCTGATTCTCCCATGGGGCTCACAAGGTCCCTTGGCTGGTCGCTGAGGGGGGTAACCTGTTTTCTCGCATTCAGCATGGCTCTTTGATGCAAGCTCAACGCGGCTTGAAGTTGCTCATTGGTGTCAATAAGACTCTCCATCGTGTCGTTGTCAGGTACGGGATTCTCTGCATTCATGTAGTTCTGTATGCTCTGGCTGGCGCTGGAGCAGCGATCGGCAAACTCTTTGATGAGGTCGTTGTCGAGGACCTCGGCGGGTGGTGTGCTGGTGAGTACCTGGTCCAGCAGATTGGCCGAGGTTCTCGCTTCTTCTAATCTGCTCGCCAGCTCGACGGGACTCGGAAGTTTACGACTCTGATGGCTTCGCGCAAAGTAGTTTTGGGAGCCCGATTGAGACTGTGAGTATCCATTGAAGGGTGGCGCGTTCATGGTCTGCGGTGCTGGAGTTTGTGGGGTCTGTTGGTTGCCGTCAGTATTTTCTCCCGCAGCACAGCATGTTGATGGCAGGTATGGCCTACCCCGTGTTGCTTGATCGCCTTTTCCTTCTCCTTCTTCCACATGTCGATCAAGGGACCCAGTCCTTCATCATATGCCTTGGTGTTCTCAAAGGCGTCCAACGTCTCCATCATCATCTGGCGCACACTCGGGTCGCGGACAGACTTCAGCAGTTCCTTGGCGGTGTCGGTGAACTTCTGATCAAGGTTCCGTGTGAAAGTCGGGCCTGGATTGTCAGCGAGGATGCGAATGAGCATGATGGAATTGTACTGGTACGAGGGTTTCGACCAGTAATCCTTCTTCAGATATTTGCGACAGAGGCGCGCGCATTCTGCAGCAGCAGCGGGTGAGGACTCGGCGGCATCGACGATAGGAGGGAGGTAGAGGACTTCGTCGCCAGAGTTATTTGGGCCGCCAGACTCGCAGAATGATATCTAATCGGGGTAGTCAGGGATTCTCGTTCCTCTGTAGAGGGGAGCTAGTCAGCGCAGACGCACCACGCTGCGGGCGGCTATGGCCTCGGGGCTGTCGTTTCCGTTTGCACCGGCCGAGGCATCGGAGCCTGTTGGTCGAAGAGATGCGTGGTCAGCGTTGCGAACATGTTGCGAAGATGCGGGCGCTTGGGCGTCTCGCGTCACAACTGCAACTCACCACTGTCCTTCTTTTTCTTGATGGTGCCGAACACCTTGCTCATCCTGAGCGACTTCATGATTGCGAATGAAGTGCTAGTAGCGAGGGCATGAACGGGATGTGTACTGGTCGATTGATGGCCAAGTGCTACCCTCTACCGGTGTATGTCGCAGCCTCCCCGACGTTGCAGATGCAGAGTGTCTCGTATCGTCCTGGTCGGTGCGGGCAGTTGGTGAGGGGCTCAAGGTGCGACGGTCAACGGTCAACGGTCAACGGTGGGAGGACAAGAAGACGCAGCTTGTGTTGCTGTTGGGCCGGTGTTTGGTCGAGGTGTAAGACAAGACGTTGAGTGTTTGGAGTGTTCTTGTTAATGGAAGTAGACTGGAGGAGGGGGGAGGTGGTGGTGTTGATAACGGTTGTCGGTCGCTGCTGCTGCGGGTACCTGTATGACAGCCCCTGCCGAAAATAGTATGCGCCGCATCAGAGCTCCAATGATTGGACCCCTTTGCGATTTTGACGTCCTCGCCCCTCCTTACTAAGGTAGTACTTCGCGTAATAATTCGAAAAGGGGGTAAAATACAGTACCTGCACGAACTGCAGCTGTCAACCGATGCACTTCTAATTAGGTATACTCACCTCACCACATCCAGACACAGGTCCACCGCATTATTAGTTTCGAGATCGCCGACTATCTGCATATGTAGTGCAGTGCTAATATCCATTCTCCAGACAGTTGGTTCAATGTTGTTAGATAGACCCGTCGTAGGGCTAGTAGTGGTACCACTACAATTGACTACAAACCGTGCGTTCCTCACTTTGCAGATAGGTAAGGTATGAGGGAACGATTTTGTGTATCACGAACCCTCCAATCCCGCCTGAAAGAGATTGCCAACAAGTTGCACATGAACATCCTGCAGCAACAACCTGTCGCCAAGTCACTGCGCCTCATCCTGCACAGCCGCAATACTACGCGCAACCTAGCGCCCTTCGTCAATCAATCACCAACCGACAATCTTCCATGGATCTTCAGCCCCACACGGCCCATCTTCAACGTCGACAGCCGCTGAGTCCTGAGTCCTGAGTCCTGACCCAAGTGGGATAGCTGTCGCCTCCGTGGTATGCGTCACCTATCTCCAAGCCATTCTCATTGTCCCTTGGCCGTTCGTCAATTACGCGCGGCGCGTCGTCTCATACGCGTGCCGTCATCGTCAAGTGACTTTAGCATGTTCCAACATTGGAGGCCTCATAGGCTCAAGAGCTGTCCTCTTCGACATTCTTACCAGATCAGGTGGGTAAGTGCCACGGAAGTGTACATTGCAGCAGTGGACACTGCCTTCGCCTGCGTGTTGCCTGCGCGAGACTGCTACCGTCGTCTCGACCTCTCTCTGCTAGAAACGATTCCTCAAGCGCGCGATTGACACAGAGACAATCTTTCGCAATTTGTTCTCGCAGCGCATTCTCGGTCCGAGGTTCCCGAGCTTTGCATGTGTACAGTACCTCATCATACCGCCTCATCCACAGAACCAATCTTTGACTTCAACCCACCCACGGTTCGCCCCAGCGGCACAGCACCGCCACCCTGGTCATCATACTTCAAGCTCCAGGCAACACAGGCTGCCAGCCGAACCCAAGTATATCCGATGATTCACCCACAATCGCCCAAAGCAGCGACGCCACCAGAGAGAGAGGACGGAGGTAATAACCAAAAATAAAGGCCCTTTACTTTGCCACCACGAGAGTGGTGGCATACCCACGAGAGTGGTGGCATACCCACGAGAGTGGTGGCATACCCACGAGAGTGGTGGCATACCCACGAGAGTGGTGGCATACCCACGAGAGTGGTGGCATACCCACGAGAGTGGTGGCATACCCACGAGAGTGGTGGCATACGGTCATACTGCTACGATACAGAGAAAATCAGCATTGCCCCTGCACAAGGATGACAATTCGAATCTGAAAGAGAGTTCACAGTTTTCTTTTCTTTTTTGGTGCCGACCTGCTCTTCTTGTCTCCTATCTCTGCTTCCGCATTTCCACTTTACTTATCTGTGCCTTCTTTTTATTTATTACGCTGTACTTATTACTTATTGTGCGAAGGTGTTCCACTTCCACTGCCGAGTGATGGGATTCCCTGCGGGCTCGTTGATATGGTAGCTTTCGCAGTACCGCCGAGGGCGCTCAGGAAGGAGTCGCAGTGTCGTTCACTACAAAACTCGAGAGTCACATGGTGGCCGGGAGATTCTCAACTCTTCCAAGTTATTCCAACTGATGATCATTGTAGCGAGCTCGATAGAAGCTGTATCCACGCGAACCGCCGACATTGCTTAGATTGCCATCTACCACTGGCCTTGATCGCGCAGCCTCGTTCGAAGGCACCGGGGTGTGTATGGACGGCCTTCGCACATAGCGACCACCTACGCTCTTGTCCTCCTGCTTCAATGCGAGGTAGTTGTTCCTGTCTATCTACCCAAGTAGCTTAATGGCCCGCCACAACCTCGACTAGGAGCAGTCTCTTGAATCATCGATCATGCTCGCCATCCACGTAATGCCATCTAGTAGCAAGTGCGCGATGGAAACGGCAGAGCGAGCAACAGACATACTGGCACTGGCAGGGTTCATGAGTCCCACCTCCTCCAAAAAGTCACAGACGAGATCGGGACAATCCGCGCTGGATTGGACATAGTCATCAGCCGCTCCTGTGCCTTCAAAATATCACATTACCCATCATCGTGGTCGTGGAGGTAGCATTAGATGCGGAACCCTAGCAGATGAAATACTTGCCTATACACACAAATGGTCTCAAGTGCAGGCGGATGCGAGAACATCCATCCGACGTACGAGGTGAGGGCCGAAGCAGCATAACATACACCATTTGCAGATCGTAGGTATCAAGCCGATGGCGTCGCCGGCGGCATCTCAGACTTTTCTCTTCCTTTCTGATTATCCCATTCCTATCTTCTCTTCTTCCTCTCCTCCCTTGGCAACTCGAGAGCATTTTGAGTTCTTAAGCGTGAGTTCGACCGCGACAGAACCGCCAACAATCACCATCTCATCTACCTATCCCATCTCCGCCACGATAGCGTCCATCCAGCCTGTCCTGCTCTCCTGCCGCCAAGTTCCCTTCCTCACCACAGCGTTTCTTCACGATACCAGCTTCCTTTCTTCACAAACCACGTATTCAACTGAGATTCACCCTTATCCACTTGACTCCGTCCACCTACCAGAGTATATATACCACCCTGACCTTAGCTAGTTGCAATAGAAAGCCACGTAGGTACAGCCCTGAATGACATGGCCATCCATACGGTCATCCATGCGAGAAGAAGAGGAATCCTTGATTGAGATGGGTTGACTGACTGACTGTCCTCAATGCAGCAGTCGTCTTTGCCCCCCTGCTCTACTCTGCTCTGCTTGCTTGCAGGCCGCCAGTCTGTCATATGTCATCTTTCGTTCGCAATCTTCGTGCCGTAACCCCGTCGTATTCGTCCTAGTTCACGGTTGCTTTCGCTCGCAAGGCTCCCGTGTTAGGCGCCAACCTACAGATGCATAGGTAGTTGAGTTCATACTCGCCCGTAATGTAATGTAACTACCTATTCAATCAATCCCATGACAAAGACCAAACCACTGGGGCTTGTTGTCGATAGACTCCTTCGATGTACTCAAGCCTACCTACTCAACACGTTCCGTCAATAGCCTGAATCATCTTACCCTGCTTCCAATTAAATCAGATTCGAATAGGAATCATATCCCAAATCATATATGTAGTCTCAAGAATCGCCCCCAGGCTTTTCTCATCACACCCACACTCACTCAGTCGTCACACGCATCGTAGCATCATCAAAGTCAAACCATACAAGTACAATTCTCGATATTATCTCCCCGAAGCACTATGGTCGGTCGGTCGGTTACGCCCCTCTTTCCGCGGACGTCAACAAATAAAAGAAGGAAAACAGCCTGCCATTCCCTTGGCCCATCCGCAAGAAGCTGTCTTGATGTTTTCTGCTAAGCAGCGCCGAGCATCGCAGAGTCATGGTAAAAAAGCAGATAAAGGTAGTAAAAAGACAACATCCCTTGCGCCCCTCTTGTCCCTTCCGGAAAATGCCCTAAAACGCCCCTTGACGAACCGACATCGTCTGTCATGGTACTATCCACATAGTTGGCGAATCTTTGCCCGTTCGCCTTCCTGATTGTTAATCCGACACGGTCACCACAGTGGTGGGAAGAAAGTCGCCCGGACGTTCATGACTCGAAGTGCGGACTCTGAGAAATGATCTCGTTGTCTGCGTGGTGGAAAAAGTTGAATGGGAGACGAAGAACCTGCAAGTAGTCAAGGTATTTGTGGGAGACAAGTAGCTTGCTTTGTCAAGAGGATTTTGGCGTCGGAACCCTGGTTGATGTATTCTCAAACTTCAAAGAGTCTCCTGCTCACTCGCGAGTTGATCAAATCCACAAAGCTGCCTGTGGGGCTGGATGTGCAGCCAGAGCAACGACAACCTCAACAGCTGGCTATGGATAACTGACTGCTGGTATCGTCGAGCTCCACGGTGGAGTCGTGTGATGGACTGCCAAAAATAAACTATGAATGGAAAGTTGTAGTCGGACTGGGAGAGATCGACGCCGGCGAGAGTATGCGGGAGGCGAGCTGGGACCGCAGAGTCGTCGTCGTCGGGGTCTGCGACGGAGGCTTGCGCCCGCTTCTTCGCTCTGAGAGCCTTGCTGGAGCGACCCATGTACTGGTGTTGAAACCGTCCATCCGAGTTCGCTTCCACAAAGTTCTGCTCCAGCGATCATAAGAGGGATAAAAGTCGGAAGGCCCAGCATACATCCTCAACACGAACTGCTTCTCCTCAGTCGATAGAGCCTTGAAGTCGTCCTGGATATCTCATATCGGGGCGTCCAATCAGGACTTATGCAGTCGGCGAGTTGACCAGTCTGATCCGGTTGGGCGACCGTGACAGATCCACCGCCCTTCTCGGCGACGGAGACGCGGGGGTGCCCTCCTCTGCATCGCCAAGTTTGGTGGGCGTTGCCGTCTTCTTGCTACTAGCCGAAGACGGGCTCTGCGTCGGCGGCTTGACATTCTCAGCGCCCGCAGCGACAATAGTCATGCTCGACTTGCGGGAAGCCGGCTTTCGCGGGGTAGATCGCGGCGTTTCCGACAGCTTCGGCTCTACCTTGGCTTTGCCGTACGTCCTCACAACGCTCTTCGTCTTCTTCACGGTCGCGATCTTCCGACCGGTAGACTTGGTCCCGAGAGCTGCCTTGGTATTGACCGAGATTGTCGACACACTACGCTTGATAACCGTGGCCGCACCTTTGGCTGCTGCTTTGAGGCTGGCGTTGGATAGGGAGTGCTTAACACCCTTCCCCTTGACGCCCGTCGGAGTCTTGATTTTGCGCTTCTTCGCCGCGCTGCCATCCTCATCTTGATCGCCGAGAACCTCCTTGAGCTTCCGCTTGCCGGCCTTCACGCCTTTCTTAAGGGCCTTTGCCAGTTCTTCCTTCGAGGGTTTCGGCGGCTTAACCTCCTTGGGCTTGGGGCCAAGAACACCCCGGCAGTTGGAGCTACCACAGAGACACTTCTGCACGTTCTTAGCCGAGAAGGGGTCAAAGTTGTAGTCGTATGTCAGTTCCTCGCCAGTCGTGATGTCGCGATCACCGGCGAACAGGGCCATCCGCGGCTGCCCCGAGACAATCCATTTGACCATGCGACAATTCGGCTGGCAAGAATGATTGACGAAACGAGCGATGCTACCGGTCGTTGCGTCTATGATCATATTCTGATCGAATGACATCAGGTAATAACACTACAATCGTCAGCGGCTGTCCCTCATCTCATTTGCCTCATGATCGCTCTCATACCTGGTTGTCTTTGTACTTCTCATTCATGCGGCGATCGCACTCCTCTTCGGTGATGATCTCACCCGTGTACTCCATAATGATTTGGTTCGCTTCAAAGGGGCGACAGGCGCGAATGCCGTGGCCTCGATCTGGCGTTTTGACGACCTCGACACCGACGCGGAACTTGTTGCCAAGCTTTGTTCGGTCACTCAACCTGGCGAAAGCGCGGTTTTGACACAACTCCTCGCCGATTTTACAGTTGGTGCCATCACACTCGTAGAGCATAATTCTATTTTGGCAGCTCTCACCACAACCGTCCTCGGGATCGCACACACACTTTGATTGGTAGTCCTTGAAGTGGGGCGTCTTCTTCCAGTACGCTGAAGCTTCGCCAACAAATCGATCTGCAATATTGTCAGTCAATTCCTGGCCAGCACGCACAATACTTCATGCCGGAACTCACTCTTGGTCATCTTTCTCCATTCATCCGGCTTGGGCTGTCCGGGCGGGAGGGGGTTGCACACATCAAACGGAAGTCTGAAATCTCTCCCCTGAATCAGCAAACGCAAGCCATTGAACATGGGTTGCGGCAAAGTGGTGTTGACCTTGCCACTGGGCAGTAACTCTGGCAGCTGTGCGAGACTCTTCTTTTCGTTGGCAGTAAGGCCCTTGTAGATGTCCATGGGCGCATCCTGACCCGCGTAGAGACCGCGGTCTAGATATTTCTTGGGTCGTCTTTTGGTGAAAACCGAGGGAGCTCGCGCAGGAGTCTCCGACTCGGCCTTCTTGGGCTCCTCTTCAAGCTTGGTCTTCTTTCTGGGATGTTCCTCTTCCTCCTTCTCCTCCTCTTCTTCTTCCTCCTCCTCCTCTTCTTCTTCCTCCTCCTCCTCGACCGCGTTCGGGTCGATGAACTTTCCATTCACCCAGGTTGTGTATAGAACAGGCTTTGTCTCAATGCCCGTGAATTCGTTCGTGTCCCGCAGTCTTCTCAATTCGCGTGACATCTTGGACATGCCCTTCTCGAAAGTCTTTCTGCCCCGCTTGCCCAGACTGGACAGTTTTTGCGCCAAAGTTTCGGCTTCCTGGCCAGAGGCACGCGTCGAAATCCGTCTGGGCGGAACATCCTGCTTCTTCTGTTTCTTGGCTGCGGACTTCGCCTTTGGCGATTTCACGCTCCGCGAAGATGACCGAATACTCCACACATCATTGTCATCCTTCGCTTCCTTCTGAACGGCCTTGTCCACATTCTCGCTGCTCGCATGCCCTCCTTCGCTGCTCCCAACCAGTGTATCTCCGGAGATGGTGCGTCTCTTGCGGTCGAGAACAGTGTCGCCTTTCGATCGGCGCTTGCCGTGGATGGCTGTGCCGGCAAGTCGAGCTAGATTGTAAATGGGAGCTGCGGCGCGGTGTCGTCGCGAACGTTCGGTGGTGGGGGTGCTGGTTGCACTGTCGGTGTTCTGGCGCGTAAGCTCGGGGTTCTCGGTGGGTGCAAGCACAGCAACGGTGGTGTTGGTTGCAATGACAATGGAGTCGGCCACCTCGGATGGTTCGTCCATCATCATGGCCTCGGCGGCATCTTCAATAGTGGCAATTGTTGCTGCAACATTGTCGATCTTTGAACTTTCAGAGGCCAGGCTCATGCTGTCGGCTGTGGGCGGAGTCGAGCTCAGCGACGCGACATTAGAAAAGGTGTCGGCAGGCGCGCCGAAGCTCGACTCGGAAGAGAGCGGCTCGGAAGACATAGCACGCGTCGGTGACATGGTTGCAAGTGACTGCATGGTGACCAACCAACGCAATGACGCTGTGGAGTGGTGGCTGCGTCACGATGTTGGGGTTGGCGGTGGATGGTGTTTGACGCGTTGAGGTGGTGTTGTTTTTTGGAGGTCGGAGGGATATGCAAGGTCAAGAAAGGGTGTGGGTATTGGTATGTGGGTGGAGGGCGGGCGGCGGACGGGAGGTGGTCCGTGAATTGAGAACGTGTGGGTGGTGGAGGATGGCTTGGAGGGATGAATAGCCAACGACTAATAAGACCAGGGCCAGGTTAGGTTAGGTAAGGTGAGGGATCCGGTGCTGGTTGGGGGTAATGGGGGTGACAGAGACTGGTGAGATCTGGAACCGAGGGCGAAGAAGAGAAACGAAAGCTCTCAGGTTCAGTGATTGCTCTTGGCCAATGGCTATGCGTGCGTCTGTCTGTCCTACAAACGCGACCGTATGGGCGTCTGTAAGTGAGGGAGGGAGGAGGTAAGTTGGAATATCTGTACCACAGTATGTGGAAAGGATCAATGTGTGCAGATGTAGTACTCCGTAACTCCTAGCTGGCCTGGTCTGGTCTGGCTTGGTCTCGTCTGGTCGGCAGTGGACAGCCAAGTAAGCGACCAAAGGGGGCAGGCAGGCAGGCTGCTGTCCTCAAGTCAATGACAAGCGTGAGATTGTCAGATCAGGATGTCAGGATGTCAGAATGAGGAACGTTGGAGCCAACGTTGCCCTTGATGCTGGGTATAAGTGTGTGAATGCAATGTGCCTCACAGCGATACCAGAATCAGATATCTCTCTTTCTCTGCTGTCGTTCGCGATGTAGTATCGACTGATGATCAACCGGTCGGTAGGTCAGTCAAGTGCATGACATACAACAAGGCGATCGTGCTGCAGTATCAAGGGGTGATCGCGAGCGGTAAGGTGAAGAAAGGTCAGAAGACACGAAAGTGGAAAAGTCAAGTAGAGATCAAGCGTGCAGTGCAGTGTGCTCTAGATGCGGGCTGTTCCAGTAACGGAGAAAGGAGGCGGTTGATGGGAAAGTCAAGTCGAACTTGAGGTATTGTGGAGGGTGTAGTTTTGTGGGGGCTGGTTGGTCGTGATGGGTGCGTGATGCTGAAGTTTGTTGGATAATGATTCAGGTGTGAATGGAGTGAATGAGTGACATCAGCCGAGCCGACGTTGGCAGTGTCGGTGTTGGTATACCCGTGGTTGCGCAAGAATGCGGATGTGGATGTTGGTGGGGATGTGTAGGAGAAAGAAAGAAAATCGATTTGGGGTGATCCGTCTGTCTCCTGGATGATGGAAGGTGTGTTGTAAGGTTGCAAGTGTTGTAAGGTTTGGCAGATGAACACGACGGAAAAGATATGGATCTTTGTGGTAAAGGGCACAGTAGGGCCCAGATAATTGGGGAAGAACAAGTTGCCAGTTGCCAGTTGCCAGCGCCACTGTGCCAGTGATCTAATCACCTCGTCGGCTGCGCGCTATCGAGTAACGTTAAGGCACGGTAGTCAGGATTAAGAGGTAGCAAGCAAGCAAGGACAAGGGAAGGCTGGGGTCGATTTGACGGCCGTCGGGTCGGCCTCGTACAATCCAAAAGCAACACGTCCACGGCCAGTCATGTCTCGCGGATTACATAGTCCGAAGTCTCCGTGTCCTCCTCCTCCTCTGGACCTCACCTCTGACTTCATGCGTTAGGCCAGGGGGGCCGAGGCATGCGAGGGGCGCCGCTCCTCCGCTGACTACGCCCGCATCACGACCTACACCCCTTTCGCACATTGAGACAGCCGAAGTAAGTAGACAGATGTGCTTCTACATCAAAGTGACTCGCTGATAGATTCGTACTCTTCGGGGATATAAAGCGATAGACATTAGGGACTATCAGAAACCATCTCCCTGCAAGTTCAGAGGTCATGCCGGCATCAAGATCCTCGACCCCGTGTTGATTCCTCCGACCTTGCTATTCGTGATTCAGGGGCACTTGTAAGTAAGTCATCTACTGAATGTGAGGGATGGTCCTCCTCCGGCATCTCCTGAATTGCTCTGACAAGCTGTGCGCTTACACATGCGATACTATCTATATGCGATAGGGCATGGCGAATAACTCCGGGATGGAAGAGGCGGCCGTGGCCATGTCTTGATGGCATATCCAGGAATGTTGAACCTATCCGCAGATACGGCATCATCCTTGGTGGCATTGGAGCGGGGAGCGGAGGGATCTCGACATGACGCCTCTCAATCAGCTACAGGCATGACACTCGGCGATCATGCTCAGCCCCGTGCCATTGCGTGCTTGCTCAACATCCCCGAACATTGGTTGATAGTCAAATTATCACAATCTGGCAGGAAAAGCTTCCAATAGGGTCGCGCTGGTGAGATATTGTCGAGTGTCAGGACGGAGGCCCCCTGGCGTTGGATTGAGTTAGTCGAGGACGCAGATCCCACAGGCTAGGCATTGATCCCGTTCCACCGACGAGACAGCGACGTAACCACCTTCCACGGCAGAAAACCGCGGCCCATGTGCTACGAGATATGTTAATTATTTGGTTGATATCGGTGCATTATGATTTGTGAATATAGCATCTGGCCACTCATCAGCATGTCGATTGACCTCCGCCGGCCGAGGGGCTCACCCGTCCGGTCGCTGTGTTCACCCGTCAAAGGCCACAATCGATCATAGGCGGGACCAGGTCATGGGACTTAGGGCCTTTTGATTGACCTACTTTGATTGCTTCATGGGTTTATCCTCTAGCTACACTCACTCATCATAAGCGTCTGTTCCATGCACTTCCAATCTTCTGTTGGAATATTCTACTACGCTGGAATAAGCACCTTAGACCTTAGACTAAGCAGCTATATAACAATAAGCCATCCTTGATGCTTATTCCACGCGTTTGTTCCATTATATTTCAAATAACCTCTGCGTGTTCTGGATCTTGGTACGGAGGTGGTGTACGGAGAATTTCGGGGCAGGCGAGGACCTCCCACCGCTGGTCCCTGTCGTCACAGCAGATGGCAAGACGCCCTATGACGAGTGCTCACAAGACCAGTGCGGTGACGCTTGCTCGGCAAACACGGCCAGCAAGAGAGTACTCAATCGAAAGCTCCCTCCCTTGCGCCCGAAGGCACCCTACGGCCAGTGTTCAGTGGTGGTATCACCAGTGCTTGCTTGAAACCCTGAGACTCTCAAGAGAGCTTCAGGGCCATAAGTTAGCGGTATCGGGCGACGGAACATCTGTTAGCTGAATCAAAACAATTCTCCCTTTAGTGTGAAGCTCAGATGAGCGCAGCCCGACGATGGGTAAATGTCGACAGTCTCCGCCGGCGGGTCGGTGCTTCGGTGCGAGTGATATGGCAGGACCATCGTAGACCCTGAGGCGCTTTTCTCACTTCGGGCTGAGACCGATCGTTATTATATCCGAAGATCATTGACAGTGTGGGATGGATATGTTTGCTCATGTATCAACCCTAGTCTAGACCCTGATGGGAAGGGACATCATGATTCAGATAGCGGGGTATGGAGTCGACTGAGCCAGCATGCCCATGATGAAGCCATCTCCGGATTCCAGAGTATCAATTTCTCAGAGATAGTATGGTATTTGTTCTGCATATAATGGAGGCCTCTATCGCGAGACCTAGTACCACGATGTTGCTGGAATTCGTGGTTGACCCTCGGTTTGTCTCCAGGCAGCAGCGAACAGCACCAGTTGCTGCGCTGTGGCACTGCATAGTGGACTAGCACACGCATCTTTATTCAGCCTCAGAGCTATGCATCCTGAAAAGCCCCCAGAAAAATGTTCATCATTCCCATATTGGACTGATCGTATGCACGCATCCGCCCTTTTAGACCGATCAGGATTTGGTGAGGGGGCTTCAGGGACGCGGTACTCAACCGCCTTGAGCGGCAGCAGGGCCCTGAACAGTCTTCGGGATGCCACGTGTGATATTATTCAGCATGCAAATCTGAACACATCAAGTCTCGGTAGTCCCTCCAATCTTCAATGGTAGACCCTTGGCCCCCGGTAGACATCACACGCGAAACGTGATCTGGAAAGTACCTCACCCCAAACATGTACCCGCCGCTTCAGTGACCATACTGTTGTTCGATATAATGTATTCTGCTTGGAACCTCAAGCCTCTTGTCGCATGAAGATGTCGTCCAACGGGAAATGCGTCTTCGATAACGGAACGCTGAGTTGTAGCTGATATCGCATCGCCAGGCGATATGCAGCTGCCTGCCATCCAAGTGAGCGACATCGACCACGCAGACATTTATCCGTTAAGTTTCCGTGAACAACTGGCCCAGAGACTGAATTGCGAGACATACTCTTAAAACACCCATATCTAGAATAGTGCCATTAATCATATGCCCCTCGACATCTGTTGGGCGGTCTGCGCGGTAAAGAGACTTGCCACGGGTTCAAACAGACTTCCTTGCTCTAGAAAGACGGCACCAAAATATAGGGAGGATAGTATGAAAGTCAAACGGATATCACGGCCTTTCATTTACTACCTAGATCGAGTTGAACCAAGGCTGGTGTGACGAGCCGTCTAACCTATAAGGCTAAAAGGTTCTATAGGGTTTATGTTCTGAGGTAAGTCAACACAGAGGACGATAGAGGCTTCTGTCAACTAGAAGACACTCAGATGCTGGGGCTTGGTCTGAACTGGGTTCACTGTGTAGTCGAGTCGTCAGGAGATTTCTCTCACCTTAGGGTTGGCTAAGATGCTTAGATTGATCACTGAGATAGAGACTGTCTATCTATCTAGCTGGGAAATGTCTGTCCTTATATATCCAATCTCTCCCTCACTGATGGAGTAGGACCACCTTGTCCCAGAGTGATGCTCACTGGCTCACTCCCTGATCCAGTGATCCTTGCAGGCTCACTCCCTGATCCAATGATCCGTCACGTGACCTTTGTTATGTAATCCGTAATACCCATTGTTCCGTTCCTGGCTTCTGATTCCATTGGTTCTTGGTGTACTCCCCTTGGCCCTCCAACAGGCCATGGTATATGTTGGTTCGTAACAGCTGGCACCGCGGCTGGTATAGGAAGTAGACGTGCATCGACCAGTGACCTTGAGCAAGCGACCTTTCTCATACCGTCTTCTGGGTAGTCCTTGCGTATCTACAAATCAATAGTTAGACAGTACAAGAAGTCTACTCTATGTTTCTTCAATACTCTACAAGGTATGCGCACATAGGTGGGGGGATATATTACAACCATGAGGCCAACAACACCAAGACCTGCCTCAGATGGAACATGCTCAGTACAGGGAGTTGATGCATCGCTGGAAACCAATGTACTCAGACGATGAATGTACTATGATGGGGTTTACCCTTCAAATTAGCTATTCATGGTAGCAAGGAAAATATGGCATGTGTAAAGCAGCCCCGAGTTCTGCACAGCCAGCCAGCTTGTAAAGAGTTGAGCATTCCCTACATAACCACAATGAGCTAATACACAATAGAAGGATGATTCCCCAAAGGGCCATCAAGCTTTTGGTTCGTGATGTTGAATATTGATGTAATATGGACTTGACCGGTGCATCTGATAGCCAAGACTTTCCCCTCGAGCTCATCTACCATCGATGTACCCTCGTCAGAGTTGTGACGGAAAGTAACGCCCTAAATTTTTGATATTATATACGTTTGTGGGTTTTGCTCGGAGCAGCCGAGGTCAGTAGGTTCACCATTTCAAGTGGGCGCTAGTGGCTCTTCTCCAACTCACCGTAGAGTCTCCGGAAATGGTGGCTTCAATTAGCTTGTATCACGACCGGCAGTAACATTGGCGGTGACCTCGGAGGCGCTGTTTCAGAGTGTTGGCCGCCGGTTTGGAACCCGCGGGGCCTGCCAAGAAGCCGGCAATCATACACACCATTTTCCATTCATTCATACCTTACCTTACCTTCACTGCCTACCTTTCGAGACGAAAGATCGAATGAAGGCACTGATGTATCAGCCTACTCAATGCAGCTGTATAAGATACTGCAGTAAACTGGAGTAGGTAACACCTCCCCGGAGTACAGAGCAGGTAACGTTACCGGACTGACCTACCTATATGCACTCAATCTCCCTATCCAACCCGAACGCCGGCCAACAATCTTAAGAGAGAGAGAAGAGCACCAAGCTCTGCAACGTCTCCATCATGAGATCCTCACTGCCTAGACCTGGCAGCATTTCCGAATAGCTCTAGTTGTGATCACAACGTACATGCAGCAAGTCACCAGCAGCATATTCCGTTGCACGCACCAGACCTCTTAGTCCGTTGGGGCGCCACTGACCGATCCAGTGAGAGTGACACAGCACATGGCCGAGCGGGCAACAGACAGCCAAATAATAAGATTCGCAATGGTCGAACTAACTCATCATAAAAACAAAAATATAACAAAAAGCATTCTGGATATCACAAAAAATGCGCCGTCGACTTCCTAGCTACGAAGTACAAAACGCTCGTCACATGTCCATGTCCTGCGGCCCCTGCAGACTGCAACCACACGGAGGGGTGAGGACCACCCAAAAGTTACCGACCTCTCCGACCGGGCCCCTGAACCACAGGAAAACGGAAAGGAAACAGAACTTCAAATACGTCAACTAGGACCAACACCAAAGTCGCTCAATCTCGACGAAATCGGCAAGGCCGCCGGAGATGCGCAAAGTAGTAATTATCTCAGGCACAGGCTGCTGACATACCCCCCTACCAAGTCCACCTGCAGGCTCCCCGCTGGTCGTCGAAGAACCCATCGATACGCATCAATACACCGATAGAACCTCGATCAGAGACAGGATCATGAATAAAAAAATCACCAACGACTTGGCATATTCGACAATTGGAGCCTGCACCTATGGCATAGGATACATGGCAGACAAAATACTTACATATGGCACATGATAGACGAGAGATTCGCAAGCAGACGCGCCCACACCCAAGGAGCAGGACTCCCTTGAGTCGTAATACAGAGGCCTCCAAGTACCTCAAGTTGCCGAGTAACACGGGCATGGTGTACCTCACCAAGACCTGGGCATTAGTGACAGAGCCAAAACAGGCTACAGAGCCCATTCTGGCATGCGGAAGGACGCAGCACTTCAAGTTGGTGCGTGTCAGTCGTTCTCATCAGACCTGAGCTGTCCCTCGTGAAACTATTGTGTATTACGCTCTCACGATCAAGGCAATTCATGCTCGACTTCACAAATGACGCGAAAGAGTCTGGATGTCTGCAAAAGGATGATCATTTCGCAAAACACTAAGGGACTATCGTACAATGCCGCAGTCTATCTATGAGAGGGACATCCATCAATTCTCACCCCGGGTTCCAGTCAGAAATCATGCAACCCATCTGGGAGAGGGGCATGCATCAATTCCCACCCCAGATTTCAGTGAGAGGGGCAGCCATCAATTCTCACCCCGGGTTCCAGTCAGAAATCATGCAACCCAAATGCTCAGTGGTATTCCCCTAAAAGTCAAAGCCTGTACTCCGGGAACTTTTCTCAGCCTTTCCATGCAGGGTCGTGAGGGTCGATGCAGATCTAATCGAGTAGTGTACATGGCATGCGTGTCGGTCGTGGTCATGAGGTCGTAAGAGAACGTGTGCTGAGGGGACCATGAATGATGATCTAGTCATCCGTGGTATCGTTGGACGAATCGTTGTTAGCTGTGATCGCTTCATCTGATAGCTCAACGCCATCGATCTTCTTCTCCTGCGCATACAGGCGAGCAGCTCTTCCTTCCTTCTTGCGAGGCTGGGGAGCTAGAAGACAAGGGTTAGCTACGGATATTGGACTGCTCGTTGGTAGTACGCACCTCGACCATTCTCCTGGACATAGAAGCGTCGGAGCAGCGACACGGCATCATCGCGAAGGTAGCCACCCTCGACAGGATAACCAGGTTCAACATTGCCACCATCACCGTCATCATCGTCCCGAGTGTTGGGGTTAATTCTGCCCTTGGCGATGCGCATAGCGTCCTGAGGTCCGTACCCATTCTGATAGGGTCTTCCGTTGTCAGGCTTCGGTACTAGCTTCGAGTTCATGTGAATTCGGAAGACACCACCAGTGCCTCCAAACTTGTCGTTCACAGCGCCGAAGTAGACCTTTCGGATGCCGAGCTGTCGGAGAAGTGAAGCACACATGACGCAAGGCTCAACAGTGACATAGAGAACGCATTCGGATATGATGTCGTGGGTGACCACAGGTGCAGGATGCAGCTTCTGTCCATAGGGGTAGATGTGGCCGTCTTTCGGGTCTACATCTCCCCAGCTAGCATCGTCGAGGGCTTTGTTAGGACTGGTGTTAACTTCCCCAACATCGCCCTGCTCCTTGCGCGAGAGCAGGGCTGACAAGGCCATGAATTCAGCATGGCGGGTGCCATTGCGAGTAACATTGGTGGCGTTCATGCCCTTCGCGATGGTTCTTCCATGATAAACTAGGACACAGCCAACCGGGGTTTCATTCGTGTTCAAAGCCAAGACTCCCTAGATCAAAGTTAGTGAATGCCTGCAAGTAGCATAATGGACAGGGTTGAGGGTAGGTGAATGAAGGTGAACGGTGGGGTGACACGGATCGAAAGGTCGCACAATGCCAGAGGACATAAAAGTTAGAGTCAAGGGAAATGGTAATGGGAAAACTCACCATATCAAGTGCTTCTCGCATGTACGTGAGATGGTACTCTCGCTCCGCGCGCTCCTCGTCCGTCTTGGGTTCAATAAGCCCAGGGAGGATCGGGGCCGCAGGGGCTTCAGTCAAGTCAACCACAGATAGCTGAGTGGGAAGAGGGATGGCGACAACGACAGGGACAGGAAGCGCGGCAGTCTCGACAGCTGCAGTAGCGATATTGAGGTCCTGCTCCGCCGGCTGTTCGGCGGAAGCAGCATCGGCAATAGTGAGGCGATCGGCAACAGTGCAGAGCTGCTCGACTTGGTCGGCTTGGTCGGCCTGATCATCGGGCGCAACACTCTCGTCGTTCACAGGCGTGAATTTGGGAGCAGCAGGGTTGGTGATTGCCGGAGCAGCAGGCTTGGTGATTGCCGGAGCAGCAGGCTTGGTGATTGCCGGAACAGTAGGCTTGGTGATTGCCGGAGCAGCAGACTTGGTGATTGCCGGAGCAGCCTGAGGCTTGGTGACGCCTTGGCCGCGGGTACCCGGTTTCTGAAGCTGGCCTTTGTTTTCGGTCGCAGCGATCAGAGCCGGAGAAGAGGTTTGGGCTGCCCGGAGGGACCGGAGAGAGGCACCATTGTCATCCTGGGGCGGGGGTGCATTCTCCTTCTTGTTGTCGACGATGTGCTTCGTGGGCGAAGAGCGACCGCGGTTTCGGCCGCCTCTTCGAGATCCTGGTCGCTTCTGGCCGCCAGACTGGAAGGAGTTGGTGTTCGTGTCACATTGGTTCGTGAGGGGCGTGATAGTGACACCGGCCGGAGCAGTGGTCTGGGGGGCCGAGGGAGGCGCAGAGGATTGACCAGCATTGCTGTGAGGGGCGGCCGACACGCCGTTTGACTGGCCAACTGCAGCGGGCGCGGGATTGGTGGCTGCCGTGGCTTCTGTGCCTGCGGCGACGGTGGTTCTGGGGCCACCTCGCCCACGGCCTCCGCGCTTCTTAGACGCGGCCATGGTATCGTCCTGGGATGAATAGTCACCGACAGCGAGCTCAGAGTCCGGGTCGGCAGCGTGGTAGGCAAAGTGGTTTGTATGTGTAGGATGCAAAAGAGGTGTAGACAAGTCAGGTTCGTTGCGGTGTTGTGTTGTAGAAGGTGAAGGTGAACAGTGGTGGTGGTGCTGTGATTCGGGCGTGGGCGTGGGGTCCTTCTTTGGATCGGCGAAGTGAAAGATGCGGGTTAATAGCTGGATGAAAGGTACAAACAGCACCTGCCTGAGGGAGTGCCAGAGGCTCGACATGTAACCTGACCTTTCGTGGCCCGCCATTTTGGGCTGCTTCGCTGCTGCCCGGCACGCCAACAGGTGCGCTTTCCACGGCAACGATTGGTAGAACTCAAGTAAACTGGGCACTAATAAGCTATAGGTAATTGAACATTCAAGTGCAAAAGAGTGGCCCTGGCTACATGTATAGGTAGCTATCATGCACCGAGTTGACTACCTAATGGGAAGTTGCGAGGACGGGATGGGCCCGAAGGTATTTGTGTCGCGGCGTCTGTCGGTATAGGTCGATCAAGGACATCCATTGACTTGACTTCAATTCATGCATGACACCAGCACCTTGGCAGAGCACAAAAGGTGCTGGTTGGCTGCACATGCAGCTAACAGTGGTTCCTCGCCGATAAAAGCACCAATGGTGTGGGCTCAAAGCATGAGGCGGTAGAGGAGGTGCGAGGACGTGAAGACTTGGCTTGTCACGGTTGAGAGGTTGAGACTCAGGATCATCATGAATTTTTGACAAGGAGTTGTGCTTGCAAGGCTGAGAATTTTCTAGGTTTTCTAGGCAGGATCGTTACGATCCAGGCCGCTGCAGGGTTTAATGAATGGGGCTAGCACAGGGGATGCAGCCAATCATATCCCAGCATCATCACCCGACAATGCGGGACAGCCCACCTGTCAGGTGGCTGCTGCCTCGGCCCCTCAACGTTGCAGCGTTGCAGCATGGGATCGCCCCAACCCCACATTCATGCACTTAACCGAAGGTCTATTCCAATCTAAATACCCCTTTTCTTGCATAACATCCATCTCCATCCATCCCTCCACCCACCTTGCGAACAACAGGGTGCCTTACTTCCTCGGAGCTGTTAAAACAACCTCGACCAAGTCATGACCTAGCCAAGTGCCCGGATCTTGATATGATCAGGAAACATTGCACCTTGGCTCCAGCAAAAAGCAGAAGCTTAGGTATTCTTTCTCATTGGCCCAAACGAAGCCCATAGACCATCTCAACGATCGCACACGCGCACTGCCTTCCCACCTCAACCGCCAGCATTCTCGCGCACCAAGCCCACAGGCAGTCCTTTGAGGTACCTGAAGCTCATATGAGATCTTATGGAACCTCGTAATCTGCCATCTTCTACGTCATCTGTGTCGTTCTCCCTCAACCACCTAAGGCTAGGTACGGACATGGATCCTAGCCACAGCGAGGACCGCCACCTTCATAACCTGCAACATGGACATAACCTTCCACATACGACCATAGGATCAGGAGAACTTGGCATCCCGTCCGCTCTGCCGTAGATAAGCCTGATACCGCTGGATTAGTAGTTGGGTCGGTGACGACCAGCGAATCCCCGGTGTTGTATGTCAATTTTTTCTTTTTGTCATTTTTCCCTTTTCCCCCCTTATCCTGCTTGCTTGTCTTGCTGCACTGCTTTGTTGAGGAATGCGAGGGAGAGCACGAACTATCGTTTAGTTTTTTCTTTTGCTCTTACGAACGAGTGTTGAGATGGCAAGATGTATGGAAGAGAGCATATGTGATGACAGTCATGCTGCTGGAGCTAACGAGTATTATTAGACACGACGCGGACACGAAAAAGCACGCTCGAACAGCTGCAAACTCGTTCTCACTGATGGGGATTTTGGGGATGGGGATAACGACTTGGAGACCATCTCTCGCTACGACGCCGCCAACTACGCTCTCGCCAACCGCCCAGCAGACCACCCCTTCTTCGACGTCCGCTCCGCAGCCAAAGCCCGCAGGCGCCACCGCACGCACCTGGACAAGTACTACAGCCACAAAGGCATCAACGCCGGCCAACTCAACGCACAACACTACTGGCCCGGCAGCGGCCCGCCACCACCCTCCTCCTCATACTTCATGAGCTTCTTCAGCACGCCCCTGCCCGAAGCCGCCATCACCGAGATGACAAAGGAGCGCCTCTACCACGAAGCCCAGCGGTACCCCAGACCGCCACGACACCATCGCAGCCCGCGCTACAGGGAGTACTACCCGATCTCGGTGCACTACAGACGCCACCAGAAAGCACGCAAACGTCACCACGGCGACTTCGCGGCTTTGCACCGCGAAGGTATTGATTTGATGCTGCAGTACTTCATCTCCGGTGATCTAGGTCCTCTACTATGTTCCTGCGGGTATAGCCGGGATAACATGACCAGGAGATCTCGGAAGCTTATCTTCTGGGTGGGCGGCAGCATGTGGAGGTTTCAAGGTCGGCTACCAACCGCTCATCACCCCCACGACATTGGGCGCCTGGCTGCAGCAGCCATGGGCCGGGGCGGAGCCGAGTGAGGCAGCAGGCGTGTGGGTGTATAATAACGAGGAGAGGAGCTATGCTGACGATAACGCTGACGATGACGATGAAGAAACCGGGATGTCGCTGTGGACTACTGGCGAGGATCACTCTAAAGATCATCACAAGGGCTACGATGTAGAGACCACAACAATAACAATTTCACTCAGCGAGCCGGAAGACGGTGAATGGGAAGTTGTTCGAACTGGAAGTTGTAGCATGTATTCGTACACTGTAAGCCTAAGGTAGCTGTGGTATAGAGAGAGAGAGAGAGAGCTTGAGCTTATAGCCTCATTCGAGCCCCCTTGGAAGCAAAGCAAAGCCTTTAGCTTTCACTCTTATTCTCCCACCCAAAAGCAGAAGAGCCTAGAGAGCCATCACCACCGGCTTCCTCAACCCTCGGTTGGCAACAATACAGCTCTAGCGACACCGTTTACGACCGCCTGCCGGTTCGACGGTACTTCCTCTGCACTCTCGCCTGATAGCCAGGAGCGGACAGGACACCGACACAAGTCCTCGTTCGTAATGTGTTTGGCGACCATACACTTTTCGACCCTATCTGTCTGGGTTTCTGCCAGCAAAAATTTACCAAATCGGCAAGTTTGAACAGGCAAGCAATTCACGATCATGCACTCAGTCCTCAAATAATGGGAAGGCGATCAAGACGCTGCTGCTGCATCTAGCACGGGTCGATGATTGCGCGTAAAAATACCTTACCAATGGCATTACACCGTAATCTCATCAATCAATCAGTCAATCCCTTACCTAGCGAAAGTCGACAGGCTGGGCTGCTAGCTACTCTTGCACGACACCTGTGCCGACACCACTTTCTCGCGTGCACGCTCCCTCCCAGGCCACGCACGAGCTGGATCGGGTGTGGTTGGTTGGTTGATGGCCTAGACAACGGTGTTTCGATAAAACGTGCCATCTTTTTTTTAACTTGCTTGCGTAGGTAGGTAGGTAGGTAGGTAGGTATGCTCAGGCAGGCAGGTATGGTAAATCGCGGCTTTTGCAACTACGACTGGTTGGTTTTGATGAACTCAGGTTCCGATGAACTTCAGTGTTGGTGTCGCTTGCGTCCGAGTTTCGGTCCCGCCGCCAAAGATTAGGTAGGTACAGTCACCACTTATAAGTCTTCATCCGGCATGAAGTTTTGATCCAGAAAGCCATCTTTTATGGTTATTCCATTGTGCTTATTCCGATTCGACGAATATACCGTTGATTCCTGGACAGGTGGTGTACGGAGACTTGTGATGGCTGAGTGTACCTAGGTAGGTGGACACCGCAATGTCTACCTTATAGATCTTGGTTCAAGGGCCTCCTGATATGAACGCACTAGATTCCAGAAGAGCTTCAATATAGAGATGAGACAACGAGCGTCGTGACACCCGCTTTGGGAGCCCTGGACTCTGCCGACTTTTCCTGAATGTAGGTACCGCAACTCCACCGTTGTGGTAGGTTAGGTATGTAGAAGAGACCGTCCACCCCACCCACCCACTTCCAAACCCAAAAGTCTCCGAAAACCCAAACATTTCACAGTCGCTACCTCAGACGTATTCCCTGTGGTCTTTTGTCTTTCGTCTCGCAGTTGGTGTAGCTGCAGAGCGAGCAAGCATTGGTGCGGCGGCGTTGGCCACCCAACGCGTGCCTACACAGTATAATTCGAATCAAGATAATAACAATAACTATTCCAGATAAAACGGCTGGCTGCACCGGTACCTGAGCTTCCCCGTCAGTCGAAAGCCTCCTCTGCAAGATATACTTAATAAGTAATAAGTAGCCCCTAGAATACATATATGGTTATTTAACCCCAAGGATTTCCCTATAAGTTATGTGACTTGAATTGATCGAAATCCCCAGGGAGTCACGAAAGGAAACATCTGGTCTATCAAAGAAATGGACAAACAGAGACGTTGATCGCCGACGTATACACACCCAGACAGAGGTTCATAGCTAGGTCTGCTTGGGCCAAGGTATATCTGCTGTCTGTGGTATCTGTCAGATATAGCTAGCTAAACGCGAACGCGCACGTCCGTAGACAACGTGGTTCTGTACGACTGATTCCGGATGGAGACCATATTTACTACTTACGCAGTGATTGCGGTTGGGTGTATGCTGCTGATGCCAGAGCGTGTCACGGATGTCGATCTTTCCTGCGCAGATGCGCACGACGGGAGGCTCGTTTATGGCTTCGTGTGTCTGCCTAGACATATATCTAAGGCTGTTAGCCAGTCACTCAATCAGTAAGGTGGGTAGTCAGACGGCTAGTCAGTAGTCAGTCCCCTGTGCTTGTGGTACATCAAGCACAGAAGCAAAACGAAAAGAACAAGTCAACCGTGGATTAATTAAAAGCAGTCAGAGTTTCGTATTGAATCTAGTAGGTAGAGGTAGTGATATACGTCAAACACCTCCCATGAAACAATCAACCATCACTAGAGTAATATCGAGTGAGGGCTGTTAGCTGGGTCGAACCCCCTAACCACCCCATGTCTCCCCTATCTGTCTGACCAGAAAGGCCAACGATCACCTCCACTGTCATCTCATCTATCACCCATTCATCCATTTATGATCCATAAAGGGGGGTATCTTCCATCCTCTAAACCACAGCCACAACAATGAATAGAAAACGCAAGCGCTAATGATAGAAGAATACATGTATAAAGACATGACAATCGACCCGACGATCCCGGTAAGAGTCGCTCTGTTCAGGGTATGCTCGAGACAGAATCAGGTCTGATCAAACCAAGAGGCTGCGGCGCATGTCCTTCTGGGCATTGCGCTTGAGGGTCGTAGGCATAGATCGGTTGCCCGATGCTGATCCAGTGGCGACAGGAGGGGTAGGAGAAATCCGCCTCAAAACCCAGCAGCGGACTCTGTCGAGTCCAGCCGAGAACGAAGCGGTAGCTTCCGCGACCGCGAAGGAAAGTAAAGAGTGCAAGGACGTACCCGGCGACCATGCCACCGGTTCCAGTTGGTTCGGGGTGGTGGAGTTGTGCTGTTGGCGCCGCGAGTAGTGAGCTGCGACAGTAAACGAGAGGGCTCCGAGAGAGACCGAAGCCGGCTGGCTCCCGGCGAGGGCGATGAAGATGATGAGACTGGACATCAGGGCGACTGCAATAGTCCAGGCGGAAGAGGATGATCCGGCAGATTGCTGGGGTTTCATGCCACCAAGGCTAGGGTTCGACGAGCATCGCAAGCGCATGGACGAAGATCCTAGTACGGCCAGGATGGGCAGGGCCACTGCAGCAAGGCCAAGTGAAGTCGAGCCTTGAGAGAGCTCTCCTAGGCCGGTTCCGGTTGCGGACAGTAGCGAATCCGATACGCTGACTGCGGCAAGCAGACCGAGAGCCTCGGGAGCTCGCTCGGCAAGAACGTTTCTCGAGTTCCGAGAAATCACTGTGGCGGGGATCTGCTCGACGGGGGATGAGTGCTTGAGTACAGCAGCAGATACTGGTAGCATCGACACGCCAGCAGCATTGCTGGTACTTAGCACTCTTGTCGAGCGTGCATTCTCTTCCGTTGTCTTCGTCGTACTTACGATCCTAATCACGCGCGAAGTACTTTGTGACAGCGACGCGGATGGAGATGCCGACATAGAGACAGTGTCCTGACTTGACGTCTGGATCTTGGCCAGTGGGCTAGCATCGGAAGCCTGTATAGTCATTAGCGCATGATCAGAGTCAAGTAGAGACGAGAGCCGTACGCTCTGAAGCACCGCAGTCCTGAAGGCCGACGACGAAGTCCTTGTGGACTGCTCGCCCTGTGCGAATTCGCCGGCCAACGGGCTAGAGGATGCTTGGCGAGATGACGCTTCGCTGTAGGCGACTTCGGCTGAAGTCTGTAGCCTGGCGGTTGCTCTCGTACTGCCAGTGTCAATTGGTGACCTGTCCACTGAAAGATCGTCTGGTACTAGTCGTTGAGATCGTGCGTTATTTCTTGCTGTCGTCGACATGCTCAGAGCCACTGGCGTTGCCGCCCCTGTCTCTGGTTGCGATGCTGATCGCGAGATGCATGGCTCAGATCTGAGTACGCCTAGTACCGCTGGTGATACGCTCGGGCCAGACTGGAGTAAAACGCTCTGCGGTTGTCGGCCTGTTGAGGCAACAAGCACAGCTTCCGCTGAGTTGCCGAGTCGTTCACGAGACACTGGTGTCTGCAGTGACGCGGTCACTACGCCCGCTTGGCTGGCATCTCCGCCGGTTAGGTGTCGAGAAGAGCTTGGCCTGTGGTCAGATCTATCATGGAGTGACCGATCATTGCCGCTGGCGAATACCATCTCGTAAGGCGAGGAGGATGACACCGGGTCGTTTGCCGCGTGGACGTCTGGTCGCATGGCAGCCGCAATGTTTGCAGCAACTTGGCTGGGGTAGGATTGCGCATGTACATTACCGTCGCCGTGTCGGTTGTTGCTCAGGTACTCAGAGTAGTTGGGTCGAGGAGATGCTGCCATTTCCTTCATTAGGCCCGGTTCCTCATCCAAGTATGTCGAGGAACCTGGTGAGTATAGGTTGAAGTCGGCATAGTTGGTGCCGGCCTCTACGCCGCCAGGGTTTAGGTAAGGTACGAATGGTCCCTGGGCCTCTGCGCCCGCAGTCGTGCCCGCCAGTACGCCTTCTGCGGCGAACACCGCATCCGATACCATTGGCTGCACCGGAGTGATTGGCTGTAATGGCGAAGTGGACGAGGTGTGAGTCGCCGAGTTGGCTGGTGAGAAGTAGCCGGCTGGGTCGAGGAAGAAGTCGTAGTCTATTGGGACCGAGCTTGGCTGGTCCTCGTACTGGACGAACTGTTCCCAATCCATTGCGCCAACGTCGCTGGCGCCCAGAGTCTCGGGGAACAACGAGCCGAAGGACGATGACGAGTCCTCCATGAAAGAGTCAAACGATGTGGCAGAAGATGAATGTGTGACGGGCTGCTGAGGAGGCGCTGCTGCTGGACGACCAGACTTGGCCTTCTTCGTCGCCTTCTTGGAAGACGAGCTCGGGGCGGACCTCTTGTGGCTGGGGTCGCACCGTATCTTCTTCTTCTTGCAAGCCTCGCACGCCTTGATGATGCGCATTAGGTGAGCATGGTCGCGCTGCTCCTTGGTCTTGCCGACCCGGGAGGCAGAATTCGTCACATCACGCCCATCCTTGGTCATGATCTTCATACCGGGGATATGTGAGAAGTCGCTGGCCAGGGCGGTGTTCTTCTTCGAAGATGAAGATCGCGCCTTGGGTTGAGACGAAGATGCGGCGTTGGCGGTCTGGGCCCACTGGCTCTCGGACATGACGGGAGAAGTGAAGGCGGAGCCGTAGCCCGAGTCCATGACCGCGCTGGAGCTGGCCGGAGACTCGGTGGCGGAGCCGAGAGAGGGGTAGACCATGAAGAACTTGAACAGCTCGCCAGTCAACATAGAGTGTTGGAAGAACTCCATGGAGACGACGGCGCGCTTGTCGAGGATGGAAGCGTCGCCAGGAACATAGGCGTTGATTAGATCATCCAGCTCCTGAGAGCCCATGGCGGGGAAGAACTGCAGGGAAGCGCCGATGGCGGGCTGGTGGACAGAGAACCCCATCAAGGAGGCGGCGGAGTTGTTGCGGGACATGGACGACATGATGCTGCCGGTACTGTCAATCGGATGGTTGATGACTGTATGATACACCTTGAAAGGGGATCCAACGCGTTGGATGGGAGCGGTGGATGGTTCCAACTCGGGCAGGGGGCTGTGTCACCGGCGAGCACCGAAGATTGTGGGCGAAGTTGGGCGACGCCAACTTGGAGGTCAAGACTTGAGGTGGGTTACTGTGATCACTGCACAGAGTTGTATACAGCTATTCTGAAGCAGCTTCTTTCAGCTGGACTTGCACTAGTTGCGAGGGAGAAGTGTCGTTTGGTAGTATGTAGTGTAGTCAGTCAGCACTCGATGCCGACGATGTGGAGGTTCGGTCCGAGGGAGAACAGATCACTCAGTACACCGTTTGGGCGATGGCGATGGCTGGCCGGGCTGTCAGCTGTCTGCTGTCTGAACGATGGTTGGGGAGTGAATAGGAGGGTAGGAGGGGATCAGATGAAGGAGAAAGAAGAGAAAGGAAGAGCTGGGCGGCCGGGAGGGAGTCACAAGGTGATATCTATCTACTTGTGTGTCTGCTTTCTGACTGACTATGTTCGTTCGGCCTCTGCTCTAACTTCTAACCATGCAATGTGAACTGCAAAGCCTCACTGAGATGGGCGGTGCAGGGTGGTCGGGGGGTTGGTCGCATGGGATTGAGTGAAATTGTGGTGGGTTTTCGGCGAGACGAAAAGGGAAAGGCGTGGGTGCTACCAAAACGCGCTCCCTCTCTCTGCGCAGCCAATAGGAGCCCAGTTCCTGTCCTCAATGCTCGATTCCTCGAAGTATCTAACCTTTGAGCGCTGTTAGTGTTTGCCGTGGAATACACATAATCCTGCTAACAGAACTAAGCCTCGCTGGTGGGGTCGCATTGTATACCGCTGCTGCGGCGCTGACACTCGGCGGGGGCATCCCCGGCCGTGCTTTTCGGCGAGCTGAAAGGGCTCTCGAACGATGACTCAAGGGCCCCACGTCAAGCCATCCATGCATCTCCAGCGTCTCTGCTCTCGAGTCTCGATCTCATCCTCCTTTTCGTCCTGCCGTCCATGCACCTCAAGCTACCGAGCTTAGATCAGTCGTCAATCGTGATACTCTATTCGCCAATGGCTCCGTTATTTTTTCCATGTCGTAATGTCTGTTACATAGAAACTCCCCCACCAACCAGTAGCCACACGTAGATCCCACCCCAGATCCGCGGGACATGGAATGCCTTGATGCTCGACAGGGGTCTTAGTCACGGCCACAGGGCTGAGTCACTCTTGTATGTACGGCGCAAGAGGCCTCTGCCCATGATCCATATACCACAACCTGAGGACATGTAGTTTAATGCGCCGTAGACACGCGTAGATTATAGCAGTATAAGTATAGTGTGATTGGAAATTTATCATCGCTGTTAGATGTCTAAAAAAACTCAAGACCCTCCCATGCCTTTATCCCTTTTAACGTCAACATGGTTCCCGTCCAACCCCAATTCAAAGTGCGCCATGCCACATATCCAAGCACAACATAGCCAGCCAGCCAGCCAAGGTTCTGGGTATTTGTTGTGAATCCGCTCTATATTCCCAAGAATTTCCGTTTCTTCCGACATAACAATAACAACAACGAGTTGGGGGTATCTAAAACAAGAAACAAACGGATAGGTTCTTCGGACGCATGCGTATAGACAGCGCAATAATGGCAAAGTATTCGGGGCCATGCGGTTCAAAACGGACCGTGACTTGGAGTCGCAGCTCAGTACGAATGAGCAATGTGAAGAGCTGGCTCGGCAGGCATCGCGACAGGCGCCTAGGTAATGGTCAGAGGCCCCGAGTGCTGATGATTCTGTGTGGCGGAAACGTCATAAGATTGAGCATCGTCCCTCTTTTCAAAGTCAGTTCTCGCTGAGCGCCCCAAGTCCATACTTGAACTGACCTTTTCGTCTGTCCGAGTACCCAATAAGTCCTTCAAGATCCATGTCGTTACGAACCCCCAAACAATCATCACTAGTGAGTATAGGATGATTGAACAACGGTCCTGCGAGTGCCCTGTGGTGTTCATAGCCTTTCCGACTGCTAGGTCGTCATCACCCCGAGCGAGTGTGATTCCGAGAAGTGCCACAGCGGAAAGAAGCAAACTCCAAGATTGGGTCGCACGCCGATATACACCTATAAGGATACGACAGGTGGTATTCCTAAACAGCGGTGACTCGCACCACGGCAGTCTGTTTTCGGAGTGTGTGCAGGGCTGTACGGCTTGGACATGCTTGACCTCAAGGCGAAATCGACAATTGCCTGTACTCTCGCCATGGTCTAAGGTATGATCGAAGTCGTCTTCGTTCCTGTTGGATGTGTCTTTGCCATTATTCGAGCGCTCCGAGAAGCTGTTGTTACCTGGGGATGGGTTGTTGTACCAGCCATTTGATCCTTCTGTTCCACCCGACCACGGCGGATTGCTCCAGGGGTAGTCGGGTGTATATGAGAACCCGCTCTCCGATTCACCCGACTGCGTTAAGGCTGGCAGCGATGCCGGGCCCGGTTCGGCTTTGATAGTGCCATAGAACCACTTCTGCCACGAGACAGCCGGACACCCGTCCACGATATGCACTGATGGTGACTCCCAGCCTAGGCTTACGGCAGAGCAGGAGTTGCATATGGACCAGCGAGGTTCTGGAGCATCTTGAAAGGGGTGGTGTGCTGTTTGAAAGTGACTGCACAGCTCTCGAAACGGCCCTGTCCAGGAGCAGCCCTCCGATGAAGTCCGTGATAATATATCCGAGCGTCGTTTGTACTCGCACTGCCAGCGACTCCGGAAATTCCACGTCTCGCTACCAATAGGAATAGGAAGTAATTCAAGCTGGTCTTTGGTGGGTGCGAGTTGCGCAGTTCCAGCTGTGCCTGGAAAGTAAGGCTGTTCCATGGGAGCCTGCATCATCTCGTTGACCGACGCTATTGAGTCGATGTCGAAGGTCAGTATCGGCTGTATGCTGGGACGCACGCCGGTAGGCGGTTGAACAGGACTGTCGAGATTTATATCGATATCTTGATAGGAAGGCGAAGGGGCGGCGCCACCTGTGCCGAATGTCGTCCCTGCGGTAGTTGTTGGGGTCGGCAGTTCGTTGCGAGTTGTGGACAGACTCGGATCCGCTGATCTTGCGGCATTGCGAGAGAGGTGTCTCTGATAGCCAGCTTCTAGCTTGGTAGTATCATAGCAATTGCACTATAGACAGTCAGCAGTCATGACCTCTATCAGGATGCCGAATACTCCAAAGTAGGGGCCCTACAGCTGTCTTCTTGGTTCGGTGACGTTGACATGTGAGTCCTAGTTTCCGCTTTACTGCTGTATAGGTTCTTGTCTTTGGGTCGAGGGGCCCCTTTCTCTTACCCCGAGGCTTTCTCGATTCGGTCGCATCCCTCGCCGCCATGTCTCGTGTCAAGGCGGCCTCGAGGTCGCTTGTGTGGGAGTAAATGGGGCTTCGGCTCTCTTGGCTCTCATTCGTTGTGCTTCGTGACATAGAAGGAGCCCTTGGTGGAGGCAAGAGGTTGTTCTGGGCAGCGACATGGGTCTGTAGGTTGATGCGGTCTGTATCTCGTCGGATCTGGTTATATCTTGACTGAAGCTCGGGGGTAGGCTCGACCATAAATCGAGGAGCATTCTGCGATGTAGACGCCAGGGAGGCAAGAGGCGGAGCCAGAGAGGCTCCATCGCCGTAGGTTGGCGACGGCATCGTCGATAGCAAGGTACGGTTGGCAGAGACAGCTGCTTGTGGTGGGATGTGGCACGTAGCCTTGTCTACCGGCACAGTAGCCGGCACGGGACGAGAATATTTTGAGACACCAACAGTCAAGGGGAGTCAGTTCCAGGTTTGGCAAGGCTGAAGAGGCAAGCAGGTGAGAAGGTCTGTCAGGATATATGAATGAATAAGATCGGTTTTCTTGCGGATGGGATGCGAGGAAACAAAAACAGAGAAGTAAAGATGGGGGCGAGAGCTCGAGAAAAGGGTAAAGAAGCGAGGACGAGTCTCCCTACAGCGCCGACTGCGCCCGGTGTCTTCGAGGCTGACAATGAGGCATTCTTTCTGCAAGACTTTTTGCCTTACTCTGGATAGCGCGCGGGCACCTGATCCGTAAGTACGTGCTGTGCGCGCTGAGCATCCCCAACCAGTCAGAGTCAGAGGTCCGGAGCTCGGGTCGTCGCGGTGTGTACAAACCAGGGTGGGCTAAAGAAGATTCCAAGATGGCAAGGAGACATTCGCATGCTCTTACGATGCGGTCGACTTCGACTGTTGCTTGCAAATGTAAACCTGATTATACGAGTGAGCTCCATAGGGCGGCGAAACAATTTGGAAGACCAGGAACGCCCTTGGGCCTTCAGGGCGGGAACTCAGGTGGACATCAGGGTGTTGGGCAAAGCTGTGGTCAATTCCGTGAGAAAGGCACACAGCCCCCGAGGGAGCGGGGAAGCGTGACGAGAGGCGTCGGGACTGGAACCTCTGTTCTGTTCATAACAGTGACGGCCGACGACGAATCAATCAGAAGAAACATTTTGGGCCAGTTATGGACAGTGGCACCTGGATCAAGTTCACTGCTCGGTCGCCATATGGAGGTAATTTGCCGCTACGGGATTGCCAGCCAGTCCAGTCGTCAAGACAAAGTTGAAAGGGACATTGGATGGAGTTGACCGAGGCGGAATGGAGGGCTTCGGGACGTTTGATCGGAACGTCCCGCTGTCAACTCACCGGGCTGTCCTGTCAGTTCAATTGTTCAACTCGGCGCTTCAAGTTCGATCCCGCCATGCCCCACTCACACTACATTAGCCACATGTGGCTCAGCTTCCCCGAACATTGATCACTCCATGTCAGTTGCTGGGAGTGGCTGCTTTGCGAAGACGGTGTAAGGAAAACCAGTTTCATCTGGTTCATTATCCATTAGCTATTGGAGAGTACCCATCCAGGTCTGCCGGAATTGCCACCGTCGGCACCATGAGCTTAGATAGGGGGAGATGTGAAAAACGCCGTAGTAAGCCCCTCGAACCTGTCTCAACTGCGGGCATCGCCGAGTTCAGGGGTAACGGACAGCCGTAGACTCGGCATTTCCTAACGCCAGTCTTGTTGAACATGCTCATATGCATACATGTACTCATAACAACGTTACCTGGTCTATCATGGTCTATCATGGCCGCGTAAACTCGAAGAGGTCGTGGGCTTCCCTACTCCATGGCCCTCCATTGGCTCTGGCGAACCCAGGCATTGGGGCCGTTGCCCCCTTGCCCGGATCTCCCTGCCTCGACGTTTTCCTCGTCATCTGAGCCAGCCCGGGGTTGGTTACTGGTTCCGATGGAAGCGGACATACAGGCACTTGCCCAGCAGCGTCGGAAGGTTTGGCAGCCTTCTTGCCTCGACTCGCGGGATTGACAACTTTGGGAGCTGGCTGTGGCTGCTGTTTGACTGCTTTCGGCCTCGCTTCTACAGCCTGCACATCTACTTGTGCATTCAACGCGTTCGGTATATCCGACCCTGTGCTGTCATTTCTTGACAGGGGCGCTTGCGGCTGCTGGTGTTTCGCCACAGACGTTGATGGCTCTGCAGTCCTCGAGACTGCTGGTGCTTTGGCCGTAATTGTGCTGCTCTTCCTTACAGGAGGAGCTGGCGTTATCTTGCTCTCAGATGCAGGCGCGCCCTGGGTATCGAGAGAACCACAAATCTGGTTGGATTTCTTCGCTGCATCTGCAGACTCTGCCAGCGGCGGAGGGGCAAGGATTTTGGGGGCAACGTTTCTCACGTCCATTGTATCAGTTGCCATGGCGTCATCTGCACCAGACAAGATCGGCGAAGTTGTCTTTCCCGAGGTGTTTCGGCCCGTGTGAGTGACACCAGCTGGTTCTTGCTTGCTACTACCAGCTTGTTGCTGAAGGCTTGGGGGTTGCCTGCTGCTAACAGCTTGTTGCTGAAAGTTTGGAGGGTCCATATCTTCATCAAAGACAAATCCGATGACCTCTTTACTCCGTACGCTTTTGCTACCCACTTGAGCTAGACGAGGAGCAGGCACTCCATCTGGCAAGACGTATTCTCCCGAGACAGATGACCCTGGTTTGTCTCCAATCTTGTTTGGTGCTGTGGTAGACACGCCCCCTTTTGGGGCCTGCTTCTTTCGCGACGGCTGCTTTCTCCTCTTAGGAGACTTCTGTGTTTTCCCCTGGATATTGCCTTGTTTGTCACAGCCTTTGTTGACTATTTGCTCCTGTACCGTTCTTTCAATCTGTTTTCGCGGTGCCATCTCTTCGAACGGATCGTCCGATGATGGCTCAGGAGTACGGTGGTCCCGGTCTAGGCGAGACAGAGCATCGGACTTGTTGGCCAACAGTCTTCCAGCGCTTCCAGCGCTTCCAGCGTTCTGGAGGCGAACATCTGCCATTGCATCACCTTCAGCTCGTGTCTTTTCCCTTGCTAAAGTGGTCTTGGATTGGTCGTCACATTTTGAAGCCTTGTGATTGGCGTGCGTCACGCCTAGGAATTTGTCGATTTCCGGAATATCAAGAGGCCAACTGTCTGTAAGATTTGCACTACCGCTATCAGCCCGGCTTATGTCGAGCCTCATTTGCTCGGTTTCTTTAGTATTGCTGACGACAGCCGTCATAGAAGGTTTCGTCATAGACCTCCTCTCTACTGAAGAATCGGGCCTCGACTCTTCAAATGATGTAGACGAACTCCGTTGACCGAGCTTGCTCATGGATGTCTTGGATACCCTTGAAGAGGCACCGAATGCTCCCTGCTCAGAGAGCATCAAGAGTCCGCGCTTCTTCCTTGGCTTGATGCGCAATTCCGTCCTTGGCTCCTCCGTTGGTGGCTCCTTAGACGGCAAGTCTTTCGGTTCTTCGGTAGCATCCGCCGTATTTTGTGTATCCGATCGCCTAGGCTTTTCCGAGCGGTTTCGGCGTTGGTCCGTCGCCTCGTGCTTATCTGGCTGTGGTTGTTCATCTCTCTTCCTCCTCGATACTTTTGTGGAGACCCCTTCATCCAGCATCTGGCGCTTGGAGCCACTCTTGCTTGAAGCTACATCGATAGCTTTAGATTCGCGCAATGGCTTGTTGACCGATAGAGATGTCAGGGGGCGTTGATCACTCGAAGGCATCACCACTCTCCCACTGATCAAGTCTGGGCGACGAGTGATTACATTAGGAGGCAAGCTTTGAGAAGCAAAATGGGCGCTGTTCAGCGGCGGAGAAGACTGCACCTCGGGCTCGTCGAGATTGATCACCTCCACTGGCGGCTTCGCCCGGTGTTGGACGGTATTTCCCAGAGGCATGTTGCCTGACATAACGTTGAGGGGCGTTGTTCGTGCACTGGTGCCGGTTACCGCTTTGACCTTCGGTGCTTGATTTCGGACAGCACCTTGATTGCTTGGGTCAGACGAGGCTGGGGGCGAGTTCTCTTCACGATCTCGCGTTGATTTGTAAGGTTGAGATCGTATCGGAGCTTGACTCATTTGACTCATGGAGAATCCAGACAGACTCAAAGTTGCGCCGAACAAGCTCCGTGCGTAGCCACTCTTGCTTGGTGGCGATATATCCCTTTTCCTTCGTTTCGTAGGGCGGGACCCTTCATCCCGAGGTGATGATGCCTGCTTCTGACGTTCCTCATAGGGAGATTCGGTCGGCACAAGTGCGCGACCATGATGCCCGGTCGGCGTACCAATAACGTTATGCAGGGGCCGATGACGGAGGTGGGCGTGAGGTGCGGCGGATTGAGGTGTCGGGGGTTCGACGGCAGGCCGTCGCGCAGCCACTGCGGATTGGCGCTGGGCCTTCTCCTGGGCTCTCTTGTCGATGAGCTCAGACAGATCTTGGTCCCGGCTGCCGGTACACTCGGCGACTTGGACAATGGCACTGCCTCGCTCCAGCTCCAACTCCTCGCCGTCACCAAAGTCGTAATCTTCGCGCCAGTGCGCGTCGCCCACAGAGTTCCCTCGCTCATCGTAGACCATCACGCGCTTATTGAACGTGTGGTATTTGAGTCGGCCATCCTGCCAACGTTTCTGCTTCCTTCGGAGGTCATGCGTGAATAAGCAGACGAATTCGAGGACGGGCGCGGAGCTGGCACGTGCCTGTAGACGGGTCGAGGACGCGGGACTCTGCATGATGGCGCGGCCGCGGCCATTACTGATAGTCGGGCCAGACAATCAATGTCATCACCTCGCTAATCTGCGATCATAGGACGCCGAGGATCAACGGTTCGATCCAATATCGTCACGTACGGAGGTAGGGCGGAGGTGGTCGGATAGCTGGATGTGTGCATGGCATGGCAAACTGGGAGGCGATTCCGCGGACCGCGTCGCACCGTGTCTCTGGCGCCACCGCCCCACCATATTTAAATAGTCACCACGGAAAGCGCGAGTCGGCCAACACGCGCTTGCACGTGCCTCAATACATCTAATACCTACATCACCGCCTTCCAAGTCTCCCGACTTTCAGGACCGTCAACACCGTCGATTGCTGCACAGTCCCGACGGTAATCTCTTACATTAAACATAAAGGCTGCAGCTTCCGCTGGAATAAGGTATATGTACAATCCGGAAGTTCGGATCCAAAAGGCTATTGTCGCCTAGTGCAGCAGGGCCACCTTGCCTTGAAGCAATCAACGGAGCTGAGTTGAGATCCATGTGGATTGACCATATGACGTGGTACCCCTTTCAATAATGTCGTGAGGACACTTCGTATTTTGGAGTGGTGTTCATAAGGCCTGCAACACAGTAAATCACCATTCAAAAAGTCGCCTACGACAATATACCAGATGCAATTTGCTCTTCTACTCCAAATATATCTACACTAGAGCTGGCTCAACTCCATCACGTGGTGCCTTGTATGCGTCGGGTCCTTCTTGGAGCTAGAATCTGTCAGTAGGGGCCAGGGCGGACGGCGTGTCTATTTATAAGGTACGAACACAATCTCATTGGTCCGTCCAAGGCCTGCGAATGCCAAATGGGGCCGATCATGTCTCTGATTTTGATTTCGACTTGTCTCGAATGAGAGGCGCCATAGACCTACATGAAACGGCGAATATTTTTCTGGAGTTTTGACTGCTAACGACACAAATGTACCTGTAGGTATGCTGGTCTACAGTATGAGGGCTACCACTTAAAGTACTGCGCGGTACAGAGTCGGACAACCCCGGTCATGTCGTCTGCTCGATGGGGTGATCCTGCCGTTCCCGTCTTGTGTAAGCCAAACAAAGACTTGTAAAACGAGGTGGTTTAATGTTGTTGGTGGCAATTGAACCATATCACCAAGGATATGTGCAAGTCACTTCCTTCGAGAGCCCTCAGTCTCCAGTGATTGCAACACCCTATTCCGTGCTGTTTGTGGAAGCTATTGTATGATCAATGACCACTCACATCCATGGCTTCATGGTCTCATGACGTGCATGCAAAAGATGATTCCTAGGGCTGAACGGCTGCTGCCAGTAATAACCTGATAAAGGGGAGTCCTGGACGGACTCTCTGCATGAGGTCCATCCAACGGATCTTCAAGATTGGATCCCGGCTAAGCGGCCGCCGCTAAGGTTTGCTTGCGCCTCAATTGGCGAAGTTGCAGCTGGCCGGGGGGAACCACACCTCTCCTCCGCTTCTCTGACGAATTAAGGGTGTGACAAGCAACGTGACGGGAAAGTCCAGCTTCGTTCGCCCTCTCCTTCTCCCCCAAGCTTGTAGACCTGTAACCTGTAACCTGTAACCTTCCCGCTGCCTGCCTGCCTGCTTGCCTGTCTCCCCGAATCCCCTCGCTTACTCCCCATCTCGTTACTGTCCTTCAACATTGTTAACATCACCTCGACCCGTCACCAGGTAATTGACCTGAACGGTAGACTGGTTTCACTTGCTGGGTCCTTGACTCCTTTAACAACGGGCAACCCCACCTGCCCACCTTGCCCACCTACACAGCTCGTCCCCGGTCCCCACCTGGCAGCCTGACAGCTACGTGTAGCTCCTCGAGGCCAAAGACTCAAGAGAGCGCGTTTTCCAGCCGACGAACACCGGCACAACACTGTCGTTCTTTCATTCTCTCGTTTGATATTTGTCCAAGATGCATTCCATGCAGAGGTCCTTTGGGCAAATGCTCCACAAGAGCCCGGGAGACAATGCGAAAGTCGCTGTCATGTTGAGCGACTACGAGGACGCCGACAAGCTTCTGGCCAAGGTGCGTACAGCCCCTTACAACAAACAGCCAGCACATCACAATGGATGACACACCAGGTGGCTGACACTTTATCTTCTACGTCCTTCAGATCATTGAGCAAGCCGGATCGTGGCGCGAGTCCTGGGTCAGCATCGCCATGGCCCAGCTGGGCATAATCACCGAATTCGATTCCCTCTGGGACCCCATTGTCGGTGCAAGCGATGGTAATGCACGAAACGCTGCCCCGACGCCAGGTCTACAACTCGAACAGACTCTGCGATTGAAGGAGGCCTACGCCGAGCTGAAGAACGAATTGATGGAGGAAGTCAAACTTATCGATACCAAGATCATCAGGCCTGCTGACGAGGCCCGCGACTGCATTGCACCGCTGCGGAAAACGATCAAAAAGAGAGAGAATAAGAGATTGGACTACGAAAAGTGCCAAGACAAGGCCAACAAGTTGCAGAGGAAGCCTGGTCGGAGTGCCAAAGACGATGCGACGCTCGCAAAGGCAGATGCTGAGGTCGAACGCACGGCTGAGGTATGCCGTTTTCATGCTTTCACGCAGACGAAGGTGGCTGTGCCCAGTGGACTAACAACTCGACCAGGACTTTCACGCTGCAGATACACACCTCAGGGAAACCCTTCCTCCTATAGTGGCTGCAACCTTCAGCATGATACCCCCACTCATCAGTGCAGTGGTCGTGATCCAGAATCGTCTACTGGGGCTGTACTACACCACCTTGCACAATTATTGTCAAGATTACAACTTCCCTTCGCCAGCTCCACCCATGGAAGAGGTGATAGCAGCATGGTCCGCTGGATACGACCCTGTAAAGCGAGAATTTGAATCCGTGTCATGTATCGCAAGCGGTAAAGCCGTACGTCAACCGATGAAGCTCCCAGATGATCCTTCGAACCAGGACCAGGAACGCAGACTATCAAACTCCTCTGAGGCTTCATCTACTGTTGCCAATGGATTTCGGCGTGTCCCGTCTGGGCTCATCAGTAGCAATGCTCCTGCTATCACAGGCCCGAGGCCAAGCCGCATGCCGTCGAGCACATCGCTTGCGTCACAAGCAAGTGCAGGGCTTCAGAAGAAACCGTCGTTTGGGAGCAACTACCATCTTGCCCCTACCGACTTCACGACAGCATCGAGACTAGGGCAATCTCTGACCCCGACGGCCGTATCTCCCAACTCGCAGCGCCCAAGGACGGACTACTTCGCCAGGCCATCGACTGCATCCACGACGGCATCGAGCGCGTCGGTCAACACAGCGGCCAGCTTAGCATCCATTGCTGTGAAGAAGAAGGCCCCACCGCCACCGCCGCCCAAGCGGATAGGCTCAACCCGCCCTGAGGAGTTTGTTGTGGCCCAGTATGACTTCACCGGGCAGGGCGCTGGCGACCTATCATTCCGCGAAGGTGACCGGATCAAGATCGTAAAGAAGACCGGTACCGACCAGGACTGGTGGATGGGCGAGTTGGGTGGGCGGAAGGGGAGCTTTCCGGCGAATTACTGCAAGGCCGCCTAGCAAGCACGCAATTAGCATGTATGGACAAGTTCGCAGATCGAGTGCTGTGGAACAAGCTCAATGTCTGGGAAGGGGCCACGATGAGTATGACGAGTTATGATTAGTTCTCAGCGACACCTGGCTAGTAGATAACCAGCCGGCTTCACTCGTCATTTTCATCGTTGATTTTCTACAGAATGATTATCTTAAACTAGGTGTCAAATAAGGGATATGCTTAGAAGAAACTTACCAGTAATGTATAGCAGGCGTAGCACCCCTTTTTAGTCGTTATTTAGAGTAATCATAATCTTGACTGGCAAGCAATTCACATATGATTCGAGATAGTATCATGCCATGCCAGACTACCGTGTGAGAGGGTCATGTGATCTGTAGCAATCGATACCTTATGGCCAAGTCGGGAACTTCGATGTTTTCGTGGAACTCTGACATTGGCAACTGCCCTCACTCTGCTCAAGTCTACTCTATATCATGATCCACCGCGGTACGAGTGGTATAGGTAAGCATACACGCACCAAGACACCATTCCAGGAGCGGGCTCAATCGTGCTATTAGCCCCTACACTCACAGAAACATGCAAGGGCTCTGTATATCAGCAACACGGCTCCTTAGCTTCATGTCGATTTCAGACCAAGACCCAGAACCCAGATTTTGTTCGGCCACGTGGATTATTCTTGGAACGAGGTGCTGTCGTGTTGGGATCTGAGGGATGTATCATGGCTACTGTCTTTCCAGCACCGAAAGAATGTAGCAGGAAAGGTACATACCCTGGTCAAGACATAAATCCCTCCCGGCACATATACTCAAGTCACAGTGGTGATCACCATTGACCCAAGTGTCAAGTGAGGTATCCTGGAAGCTACAAGTGGGGAGATTTACGATGACTGGTCTGAAGAGGGTGGCAAGCAACTAACTCAGGGCACGGCAACATTCAAAATAATGACTTTGGGACGCATTGATTCAGCGTTTCCATACTACTGAACTAAGCTGTTTCTCATCCACACACTCTATCACTATAAGTCGAAGAAAGCCGGGCGAGCCAAACCGAATCATCATCAGATCTGAGTCAGACTCTAATCAGAATACCGCCCGACTTTCCCCTTTGTTTTTCTTTTTTCCCTTTTCAAATATCCCCTGTCCGCCACCTGACTGGCCGGTACCGTTTCCAACACCCGAAAATCAAAGGGCTCTGCTTACCCGTGAGGTGATGATCATCACCTTTGGTCCGGTAGAACAAGAACCAGGAGTCTATGCGCAAATCAAAGCAAGACAATACAGACGCGTAAGTGGAGGATTCTGATGGCGGTGGTAGTTGGTCGAACTGCCAAACAACCCGTCGCCCGCCCCCTGGCGCCTGTGTCAAGGTCCACTCAACCAAGCACGTACGTGCAGGAATTCCATCCTGCTAAAAGGGGTGAATACCGGGTATCTCGATGACATAGAAAAAGTGGGATCTCGTGCGAAAGTGCCGGCGTGTTGTTCTGTAACGCCCTCGTGTGTGCTGTATCCCATAGCGATAATGCGTGGCCTGAGATGTCAAACACAGGATGGGTAGGTGTCATCGAATAGGCGTCTCAGACAATACCTTTTGAGTGTGATAGCCCAGAGGAGTATTCGGGAGTCCTGCCCGTGCGGAAAGCCCGTCTCATTCTGAACATAACAGGCATCAGATGTGGATATGACGGCTCTCACGGAGAGCCATGCAACGATCGGCCGCAGGCCAGTCCGGGATAAGTCATGTCATATCACATCATGTGCTCCAACATACCAGCATGTTGGATTGTTGCTTAAGCCAGGGTCGGACACCATGAATAACATCCCGGGAAAAGCCGGGAGTCTGTTGCGTACCCAATATAACGCAGGGCCGAACAATGTTGGCATTTGCCGTGTTGATCGGAAAGGCCCAGAGCACTCAAAATGTGCTTGGACCTAATTCAACGACAGGCGACGAGGCACCCTCACGTCTCTTCCGTTCCTCTTCGACTCTGATCGCACGGGCGATCTCCTCGGACTCGGCATTCGGGTCTCCTCGAGCTCCGAGATATCCATCCTCGGTGCCTGCGAGCTCCATGGGTGTCACAGGGCCGGGGCTTCCCAATGGGGCCAGCATCGGCTTGCTTGGTTTCGACATACTGCCGAACCCGATGGTCCGCAGAGAGCTAAGGGTGGCTTGGTTGACATTGCCGCCATTGAGAGCAAGTGTCGCTTGAGCAATCATGTCACGCTGGTATTGTTGCAATCTTCGCTTTGCCTCAGACTCGTTGCGCGAGTGGCCCGAGGTCGGAGACTGGTTGACGGTTGGCACCTGGGTATCGGACATGGACACGCTAGAGGTTGCCATATCTGATGTCATGGGTCGAACAAGCTGTATCTTCCTTTGCTCATCCTTCCGCTGTTGCTCGTAGTTAGATGGGTAATATCTGCCCATAGGTAAAGGGCTGTCCTGGGAACCAATGGGCATATAGGAGGCCACGGGAGTGTTGGATCTGGACTCGGAGTCGGCCTTTGGCAGACTCGTAGTGCTCAGCTTCGGCGGCGGCATAGATCGGCCGGCCATGGCTGCAGGGGCTGTCGTCGTGGGTGGAATTGTCCCGGTTGCTGTTACGTTGGAGACGGTAGCGAGGGTAGCCGAAGAACAAGACTGGGAGGCGCGCTCTATCGATTTCATGCGCGCCTTCGAAGCGTCAAGCTGGAAAGGGTGTGGACGATAGACGCGGTTTTGTTCCTCATGCAACGGGAAATAGCCACTACAAGGTTGGATGAGTAAACAAATACGGGAAGAAACGAGCATTAGTCAGATGCATACCCAGGCAGATCCCCACGAGCAGACAGCGGCGCCGGCGGCGTATAGACAGGGGCACTATTGACTTTCTTGGGAGGAGGTAGCTCAATGGCAATTGGTCTGCTGCGGACTGGCCCCAACCAGGGGGAGTTTGACAGCGACGAGTCGTTAGCGGCGGTGGATCGTGATGGTGAACGTGGTGAACGTGGTGCGCCTGAATTAGTTGGCAAGACTATTAGCATGCTTTTATGAAACCAGAAATGGGTCAACGAAGAATAAAAAACAAAAATAAAAGCCTCTAGAATTAGTGTTGCCACGGCGGAATGGAGGATGCGGTGATCTGATAATGGCTGACTGTCAGAAGCGCTGATGACTGGATCGTGGCGCGGCGGCGAGGGACCCTAAAAGTAGTTGCACAGCTGAGGGGCAGGGACCCTTGGACGAACTGCACCCCGCCTCGGAGGGGCTGAGGGGCCGATAGTGGGGATTATTAGTGGCTTGCCCGGCTACCACTCGGAGAACCCTCAAGGGCGGGGGCCGCTGGCCAATCGCAGCCCACCACAACCACGCTGCTGCTCCATTGCTGCTCCAGCGCGTGCTCCAGCGCGTGCTCCAGTCCGAAGGGTACCGTAATCTGCCAGTTGCCCACATCTCTACCGCGGCAAACCGGCATTGTTCAAGGCAAGCGAGCAAACAGCATACAGAATGCCATGATCCATCGTCCATCCTCCAGTTGGACGCCGGCGGCCGGTTGATTTCGGTCCACGAGGGAGCCCCCGCCAAGCTAGCTGTGCGCAGCCCCAAAAGGGAAGGCCCATCGGATACGAAAGACGACCACCATATGCAGCGGTATGGGTGGGCTGTGATGGGGAAAGGTGAAATGGAATATGAAATGAATCACATACCTCTAGCGTTGGGCCTCAGGTGTGTATCCCGGGCTCTCGGGGTTGCACCTGGGCTGTCCATGAAGAACGGACTGGGCGAGGATCTCCCCGAGAACACGATGTCGTCTGGCCGGATATCTGGAGACGAGAGCGGCGACACGTCGGCGGAAGAGTTTGACATGCTCCGGTTAGGCCCAGATGGTCGTCTCGCCACGGAAGATAGATACGAAGGCGGCCTGAACGAACGTGAAAAGCTGGCCATCTCGTGCTGTTGTGTTGGAAGACGCTGGGCCCCCAAACTCTACGGCTCTCCGAAGCCTCTTCGTCGTGACCCGTGTCCAAATGCGATGCAAGGGAAAGATACGGATCTAAAGGGGGGAATCTTGTGGTCAGCTTTGCTCATTGGCCCTGTGGTTTGTGCATAGCCTTCTCAATGCAAACGCGCTGCCGGAGCCCGGAACGTCAAGCGGTTTGGATGCCGGCCTGCTCGGATGTGCATTTGCCTACCGGGTCGCGGTTGAGGCCGGTGGTATGATAGCTGGCACTTTCCAGACGGCTTCCTTCTAGGTGCAGTACATGCGTCTCTCCAGCGACAAGGCTAAAAGTGAACGGAAGGACAGAAAGATGCTGATAGCAGTTGGAGGTCGACGGCCATGCAATGTAATAAATACCTACTGGCCTCTTGGTTGCCCTTCGCTGGGTAGGTTGATCCCGTGCAAAAGCCCAGAAAGTGAACACGAGTCTGCTGTCTTACCTTGATGGCTCTGGTATGTCCTGGAGTCCTGGGGTTGAGATAATGATGCCGCACACCACACCACGCGCAAGATTGCTCGGGTGGCGACTGAAAGAATTATCAGAAGAGGGTGCCTCGCATACCCACAAACAACCTTTTTGAGATTGCAGTTGACTGTTGTTGGTCTTGAGTTGTTGGTGATGAGCGGCCCGCACTTGGAACCGGGTCCCTTCACCGTCCGTCTCGACCCGCTCCCCTTTGACCCAAACAGGCTGCGGTCGCTGTCATGTGCTGTACTGGGTAGTGATGGTCTTGGGGAGGCTGGTGTTCGAATAAAACGGTAAAAAAAAGAACCAGTGCCAAGGGGTCGTGGTGTGTGTGTAGGTGACCCAGTTGTTGTCGAAGTGGTGTTGTTGAGTTGGGTTGGTAAATTCGGCAGAGAGAAGTTGTGTGTGGGAGACTCAGCTCAAGGTACTGAAACAGAAACCCTGGAGGAATTGCTGACACCTCTAGACACCTGTGATTTGGAGGTACAGCTGGATGCACCCTGCCTCATCAGATCAAATGATAGACGCTACGTCCATGTATGTGGCTGCGGCCAGAAACAATACGGCTTGGGGAAAGAGGGATGCCGATCAACCAGCCCGGCCTTCCCTCCGTCTGATAGACATGAATATTAATGGCAGGCAGGCAGCAAACGATATGCACCTTTCGAAACAGACTCGTATGGCACATGCATGCAGTGTCTAAGGTAACTGATGTGTATTTAATGATCTTTATCCGAGGTTGTAACGAGACACCATCGCTTGCATGAGACTGCTGCTTGTGGTCCAGCAACGTATTCGAATAAGCGTATCTGCCTCCATGTCGTATATTCTTAATGGTCGTCGTACCCTAACTGACAGCCCATGCAAAACGAGTTTATTACATGTACCTGTCAAATAGAAAAGGCATATCCATCGACCATCACGCAGATCGTGTAATAGTATGTACTATAGTAAACATAGATTTCGATGTGCTGCATCACTGCCCGAGATGATCATCTCGGCTTGCCAGAACGAGATGGCGGAACCACAGGTAAGGTGCAAAGGCGAGGGTTGGGTTACCAAGCCGGACTCCCGGACCACCGTGGGTTACTGTCGAAGTCGGGCTGATCAGCGACACATCTTCCAATCACGACTCGCTTATATGGCAGTATGGATGCTGCCGCGTATTGAAGCTGGCTGACCACATGCAGTGACTGAACTGCATGCATGTGCCTGCCAGCCCTGCCACTTGGAGGACGATTGACGAACCGAACTTCTCGAGATCCCGGGACCCACAGAATCCAATTTCAAGGGTCCTTCCTCATGGGGCTGATGGGATCCATCCATGGATGTGTCACAGCAGGGTCTTGCCGCTTGCTAACATAAGCGCCTCGATCGGTACTGCCATGGACCACACCGATATTGCGAGGAATGCGGCGGCAGAAAGGGCGGTATATCGTCGTCCACACCTCGGCCAGTCTGGAGGAGCGGTATCAACAGGACAGAACCCCAACATACATGTCTTGATTTTTGGGTTTGGGCGTTTGTGATGACATCTTGCGTGATTGTCAGAGATCAACTCCTACCAGAGATTCTGACATGTAGACGCAAGCCACGCTCGCCCCCCTCGCCCCCCTCGCCACTATGTGAGCTAAAAAAAAATATAATTGTAGCCGAGTACTGCATGTTGCGGTCGATCAGTTCCAAGGTGTCCAACTGATAGGTATCGAATATGAAACACCGCCACGGCCCCACCTGCGGCATTCACATGCCTTGCAAAGCCCGACCCGTGCCGATCTGGCAGATCGATGCTCTAACAAGAAATGCCACGTCCCATCAGGCCAGAATTCAACACACATATCGATAGAGGACGGTCAGTGACAGGAAGACCCATTATCTACGACCAGCCACGTATCTTGGTATTATTTAGATTCGTCCTCCAGCATGTCCGAAAACGCGACCCGTCGCTGCAAGATTGAAAGTCTCCAACATGATATGTTGCCGGCCGGCTGCCGACCTGCCGGGTAACACTACCAAAGTTGTCCGCTGCCAGATATTGACGCCGTCCACATGTGACATGATTGTCCGTCCGCCTTTCACGAAGGTCAGAGCTCGAGGGGTGCAGAGGCAGTATGTAAGTACCTAGATGGTCGGCTATGACGGCAGCGGGGAACCTTGAGAAGCAGCAGGTGTGTGACGGGAACTGCAGCAGCTGCTTGGCTGGGCAATACAGTACATGTATTCACGCTCGACTGGACTTCTCCAAATCATCCATGATCCCATGGGCGGTAGCCCATGGGAATTGGGGAACTTTGAAGTGGATGGCATGACCCTCGAATGGAAGTCACAAAGTGACCCCGTCCACCCCGTCGCATCACACATGGCTATGACGTAACAGATCAGCGCAAGGATTCCCCGGCCGGCATCCACCCAGTGTTGCCCGCTTTTGCCGCCAGTCAAACTGCCCAAGTTTCTGACATTTTGACAATCTGATCATAACCTCGAAGACAATCGAGATACCGGTACGTGTATCATACCTAGACAAGAGATGCAGTCAAACACGCGCAATGACGGGATAGCTCTGCGACAGGACTCTACATTCTTCATTCTCCTGCTTGTTTCGGGAGATTACAGGCCGTGGCAGGGACCAAGGACATACCAGTCGAGTCAGTGTTTAGACTTTGGGACCCCTAAACTAAGATCTTGAACCATCCTCTAGTCAGGAACGGAGATCCGTTAGCTCTGGCTATCACAGAAACAGAAATCAAACTTCAGGAGTCAAATCAAATCTCCCATCGAATGAGACCACATGTTTACATAGGGCCTCACACTCGCGGTAGATAACCTCAGACCCAGACACACGATGGAGCGAATGGAATATCATTCTTGGAAGAGCTGTTTGCTCAGAGTTGGACCAAATGTTTCTTGCGTCCAAGGTATTAGATATTACTCCACCACCATTAAGCAGAAACCAAAGACAAAAACATGCTCCGTGTACTGGTATCATCTCAACGCCATAGCCGTGTCATGTTTTCCACCTAATCATCTCCTGTTGCTATTCCTCAGTATCACCGTCCGAGCAAGGTATTGCTAGTGTCCTGTCATGATCAAGCTCCGAGTCCACGTCCCAACTTGGCTCGGCCAGTGAATCGGCTGTTGCGCTCGCGATGCGTCCACCAGTAGGCGCCGGAACCAATGGTGCCGATCAGCCAGAGCAGCGCGTTCGCTAGGTCGACCCAGACGGCGTTCTTCATGCGCTGGATGCCGCCGTTGCCCTCGGGGTTCTCGTGGATGTACATGGAGCCGAAGAGTCCAAATAGCGCGATCCATAGGACGAAGAGGATGAAGCTCCAGACCGTCACGGCGGCGAATCGCAGGATGAAGGGGACGAGGTACAGGATGGCGGTCAGAGCCCCCAGTGCACCGACGACTTCAGCGTAGACCTGCGGGGCGGAAAGCGGTCAGTGTGTAGTCCAAGACGCGGGCAACTGGAAGCATCTCGGACTTACCCATTTTCCATCCGTGTATTTGCCCTGCGAACGCGCGCGCGAAAGATCAACGCCGTACAGCCCACAGACAGTGATTGCGAGGACGAATTGGAAGAAATGCAGAGTCGCAAAGGCCAGGTAGCCGATGGACATGCCAAAGAGACCCATTATGCCGAAGGCGGAACGCGACGTCGATTGATGGTTGCGAGATGTTGGAGATGCGACTGGCGAAAAAGTCCACGGGTGGTGATCGAGGTGAGAACAAGGAGAAGATGGATTGGAGAAGAAACGCAGACACGCTCCTGGATCAGTAGACCTAGCGGGCACCGTAGAGCAGAGTCTAGACCTGTCGAGATAAGGTACGTGTTGTTGTTGACCTTGTTTGAGACCAGGGAAAGATCGTGGAAAATGGACCCCTGTCTGCTGCCAGGTATTGCCAGGATCCTGGGCGCAAATATTATGACGGAATTGGTCCGAGCGCCGGCTCTAATCTCCTGGGAAGAATGTGCTCTAATGAAGCTGGTGCCAATTGGTCAGTGCGCTGCTTGGGGAACCGAGGGCATGGAGTCCGGACTCCGGGCGGGAAACGGCAGTCACGATCGTGCAGGTGCAGAAAGGAGGGGTCGTGACACTGCCGACAACCCGGTACTGACTTCCTCTAATCGCATATATGTCCGTTGTTCTTGAAAAGGCTTCGTGGCAATGATCACCGTGCAGGTACATCGAACCAACAAGCTGTCTGTCTCAGCTTCAAGTTCCCGAACTGATCGATGGACGAAAATTAGACTTTCAGCTTGGACTGATACTGATGGTCCTACGCCAAGGTTCCTACACACCCAGTGTCATCGGTATTGAAAGCTCATGCTATCATCAGCAACCCTGAAGCTCTTGGACAGTGGCAATTCCTATGCTGTTCTCGGCTAATGAGCTCCTTCCTGTTCCAGACGGCCTCCGTTGGTTGGAATCGACCTCCTTCCTTTGCCCTCATGAACTGGTGCAGCCTGCCCTTCATCATTTGGTCCTACAAAGTCAAGACAACGGCTTACGGGCGAGAGAGAATGCCCTGCCTGGGTTCCTCCTGATCCTATCAGCCGCATGCCTCTGATGAGAATGGCGTCGAGGTCATATGTGGCCCGCGTATCATGACATTTCATTCGCCCTTGGTTTATTGGTTGGTGTCTGCCAATGTCTGATATGGACCAACATGTCTGCATGATGAGGCTCAAAATTCGGATCCGACGGGGAAAGTGCTTGTCGAATCATGGTTGATCGACATGCTCCCACAGGTGCACTTCGCGACGTGGCTCGGGCGACCCGAGATACTACTAGCTAACCAAAGTCGGGCGACATAACCCCCACGCGTCTGACCAACAGTAGGACTATGAGGACAGGGACGAAATGCTGAAGACTGATGTGATCAGCTTGGACACTGACACCGCTGGATACTTCTATTTAAGCAATGCGACCTACCCATCTGATTTTGTTGGTTGGTGCTCGAGCTCCTCTTGCATACGACGATATGATAATGCAAATGTTGCTGCTATTTACCACAACCGGATGCGACTCTTTCTTCGATGCGACCTCCTGGCGGAAAGTCCGCGAGACCAGGGATTCGAGTTTCAGCGTCGCATGTTGGCCGCTCTCACTGACGTCCATCCAAAAGGAGTAGGAAACCGCCAGGGATGAGTGTCCTGCGAATGACTATACTGATCACACTGATGAGGTTCATACATACCTATCTCCCATGGCGAGCTACACTAATGCATACGTGGGTATGAGCACATCGGGTTTCTCGACGTCGTTGTGCCGTTTTCCCATGTGTGGTTATTCGTTGGAATCATGAAGGCCTGCCAGCATGTATGCTGAAAGGGAAAGAGGACGGACGCCTTCGAGTTTCTTGAAAGAGGGGACTCTGAAAACCTTTTGCATTGAGCGAAGATGCGTGCTATGACCAGTCGAAGTCTGCCTCGTGGTATGACACCCGTTCGGTGACGAGAGCTAAGCCGAGGCACACAAAAAGACCCATCTAGACGTCTGACACCATCACAGTGGAGGCACGGAGGCAGCGATGGGCAGACCATCTGGATGGCAGGACAATCCCGTGTGGTCGTCACGCGGATCCATGTCCGGTTTGACCCGTGGAGCCTGTACGACCTTGGAAAGTCAGAACGCAAAACGAGAGGTACGAAGAGAGCGAATCGCCCAACTCCGAATCGTCATTGAACCGGCATAACGACAGGGCATCGGTAGCATAGAAGGAGTTGCGACCCTTAGGCAGCCCTTCCCGAAAGAGTCTGTTCTCCTTATACCTGAAACCCCCTGCGGACTCCTTCCAATTGGACAAAATGCTACCATGCAATGCCACACAACGTGCATCTGTCGGGTCACTGCTGCATACCAGCTTCTCGGTCTCTGGGTTCCAATCTCATCGAATGAGATTGGGTATTTTCCGAGGTTCCCATATGAATCTTCACCGAACATACCCAGGTTTCACATGGCTGACGACGTCCCTCGACTTCTGAGCCTGAGAAGTCACCCAAGAAACGCAAGTTGACCGAATCTTTGTGTGAAGTGGAATAGGGACTACGGTTCAGGTTCGGTACTTCTCAATATGGAACCACGGCTTCTTTCCGGTGAGCCCGTGACCGGGATCATGGACACTCGACATCGTTGCCTACGCCGTGTGCCCGCTGCTTGCGGATTTTGGGGCCCTGTCCGAGGCATCTTGTTGGACCACCTGTGATCAGGGCTCTCATTGGCAACTGAATAATGTCACCTGCCCTTCGTCATCGTATCTGCGCCACTCAGTATGGAAATTGGGTCCTATGTTGGTTCTCAGGGCAAGCATTTCGGGAAGTGTAGACTGTCACTGCCCCCTTTTTTCGACTCATACGGGCTGATTTGGTTTGTGCTATGTCAACAAGAGTATAAAGCTCCAGCTACGGTCCTCCTGACCAAAGTCGGAATGAAATCACAGCACCATCGCATCCACGAAATCACATCACCACAGCATTCACTTACTGTCATCAAACGACTTCTGTCCATCCTCTCTGTCTCTGAATCTTTACCTTCTCAAAATGGGCAACGATCACCATTCTCATGGCAGCAAGACCAGAACTCGTTCAGACAAGGACAGGAGTTCTAGGAAGCGCGAGTCCCATCGAGACAGATCTGAGACTACCGCCTACCTGGGCAGTTCCGACCATGGTCACTCCTCATCACGCGGCGCCACCTACGGGACGACAGAATCAGGCAAGGAACACTGGCGGTGGAATTGCGTGAGTGAAGTTCTCCCCTTATCCTCAATCCGCTCCTGACTCAGAGGCAGTGTCACTGCAGTACCGGCAACCTGTCATATATCTACGATGCGTCCTGCACAGATTGCTACAAGGGGAGATGTAGCGGTTGCAGTGTCTGGGCGACGCGGTAGAGACTTCTAGGATGCGGATGGGATCGCAGCCTCTCTGGTCGCACGACGAAACACTACACTCGAGTACCGGCAAGGGTTGGGCAGATGACTGCTGACGACGACTCCACATCTTGGGTGATTGGGGCGAGGATACGTGTGGTGGGATTGGATCAGTTAGGGGTGGTGATGGAAGATGTCGATGGAAGACTGCAGAGATTGTCTTTGAAGAACGAGTGGCTCACGCCAGGTCAAGGTCACATGGAAATGGATTAGAATCTCGGACGTCCCGACGTGTACTATACGAGTCATGTTTCATCTTATACCAGGAGGGGGGTTCTTTTACTAGATAGATTCTAATGCTTTCACTTCTCAAGTACACCATTACACGTGCCGATTCGCTCAATTCGCTCAATTCCTGTGCCGGGGAGCCTTCCGCCCTGGACACTGGCCAACTTGGAGTCATCTGCCTCGGGCCAGAGCCACTGGCCGGAGCACATGCAGGTTGACAAGACAGCCCCCTAAGATGTACAACGAGGTTGATCCGACACTCTGCTCTTAGACTCAATCAAGACTCACACCACCGTCATAGGGGTTCACCGCCTCGCCACAAGGTTGTGTAAGTATACATCCAGACCAAAAGCAGAAGGTCATCGTAAAGCCACCTCTCGAAATGGAAGAAGCCCAGGCTGTGTTACGCTTCGACGCAGGGGAGATCACGTTTGGCCCTGGCAGCCCAGCATTCCGCCCTGACAGCCTGCCGCCATTGTCACCTTAACCACCAGCAGCAGACCGTGGCAGGGCTCCAGGCTTTCATCGGGGTTGACAGGTTGACACGCCACGATCCAATGGGCAGCGAAGATGCAGAGATGGAAATGGGAGATGGGAGTTCCCAGGTCCAAGCCCCCGTCCGTGTGTGCGTCACGAGTGCAGGTTGAAAATCAATGTCGGCGGGCAATGGGAATTCTGAGAAGGGCCGGACGTGCAGGAGAAGGACCAGGCATGCAGGTTGGACATTCTGGAGAGATGAGGACAGGGGACTTTTGGGCCAATGGGGTCCGGGCCTGCCTTTCTGCCTGCCTGCCTGCCTGGGTTTGTTTTGAGAGGTGCCGAGATTGGGGGGGAGGAACCTTCGTTTGCAGAAGTGAGGTAGGTTAGGTAGGTTAGGTAGGTACCTTAACTCCGGTTTTGGTCTCCTACCTTACCTACCTACCGGGAAACACAGCCGTCTCGAGGATACACGGGGCATCCCTCTCGCACTGGAAATCCAGAAGTGGAAACACACAACTGCCGGAGTGACTGGACGTGCATCGTGTGTGTGGTCCCAAGCAAGGCGATGGAAAGGCGGCCGCGCTAGGGCGAGGCAAAGGGCCGGCCGGCCGGCCCCAATGTGGCCTCCAGAACGGGCCGCGGACCACGGCTGCGGCCCCGTCCAGCCATGGCTTGGGCTGTGACCGGACAGACAGACTACCTACATGTAGGTAAAGGGAGGCATAGAAACGCCCAAAGGGCGAAACAGTCAGCCAATACCGAGCCCCTGGCGTGTAACGTGAGTCCCAGAAAAGATTTGGCTGGCGGCCTGCCTCGAAGACTCACCCTCCCACGAACACGTACATACGTGCGTGCGTGTATAGCCTCACTGCCTTGGATGGTGCCGGATCGGCTACGCTGCGGCGGTAAGGCAGGCAGGCAGGCAGGCTGTATGAATTAGTATGAGCATGTGTATGTACCGTTAGCGTATAGACGCAACGATACGAGGTACTAGAAGAGAAAGGGAACAGTTTGCGAGGGAAATGAAGCAGAGATGCCGCTGTTGCCTGCTTGCCTGCTTCTGTGTCTGGTGGATGCTGGTCAGGTACAGAAGACCAACAAGTCTGGAAGTATGCAAGTCAGTCCAGCTCATAGAAACTAGCCCCAGAGTGCCGTGAGTTGACGTTGGAGGTTGAGGCTGTGCAAGGGGGTATGCGGCTCTGCGGCCAGCTCCGGGCCACGCCGTTCAGTGCGCCATATCGCGGGAATAATAGGAGGATGCTATTGCTTCAACCGGTCAACAACAACCCGACCAAAGAGCCTCGCATACTGCAATTGCCAATTGGTACCAACTCATGTCGCTGCATCTCTGCCTCACTCGCCCATAATAATTGGACTGTTAATTAATTCTGAACCTAGGGGTGGCGGTGCGGGTAGGCAAGTCGGTGAGTTTGGGGGCCAAGACATGTACGAAGACCCTCTCATCCCCACGCCGATTCTTACTTGCATATTTCAATTTCTCATCTTATTCATCTACCTATCAGCCCACATTGCAGCGGCACGGGGGAGGAAAAGGATGTATTCGAGGCCCCCAGAGTGCACCAGCTGTTTGGGCTCTCAGAGCGGGCAGGACACGGGACAGAGAGAGTTCCTGCGCGTCCTTCCAAAGCACAAAAAGTCCTTCCGACATGCTCTTCGCTGTTGTGCTCCCGGGGAACTAGCCATCCATGTTACCGTTATTACCTTCACCGTCACAGGGAGGCTGTTCGCTGCTGTGCGATATGTCGGCTCCCCGATCTTCGGTGAATCAAAGCCTGTTGCAGTGGACAATTGGAAGTTGTGGAAGGGGAAAATGGGGAGACGACTGCGCGAATGAGAGGTTTGAATAATCGTCCGATGTTGCCCGCCCCCTCTGCCCCTGTCACGAACCCGCAACCAATGACCAGCGCACACACCGACTTTTGGCCCGCCATTGGCCGGGGCCGGAAAGGTCGTCGTTCAGGTCAGCGAATTGAAGGCGTTCCCCAGTTTCCCCGCCGCCGTTCCCGGGAGCCTGGATTCTTCATCGACAGGTTCAAATGTTTCGTGTGCCTGTGCAAATCACACCACACCACTTTCTACCCTCGCCTACCTTACTTCGGTACACCTCTACTACTACCTCTGGACTCTTTGTGCGTTAGATCGTAACGTTACATACATCAATATGGCAGCAGAAGCAGACGTCCCCCTCCCCAGCCCGCCCTTCCTCTCCATCCCGGGCCTGCCCAACTTCCGCGACGCAGGAGGCTACCCCATCTCCCCCAGCACCAACACCACAGGCACCACAGGCAAACCCCAGATCATCCGGCGCAACACAATCTTCCGCGCCTCGGAGCCTTCGAAGCTGACGCCCGCGGGCGTCACCGCCCTCCAGGACCTCGGCATCGCCAAGGTGTACGACCTGAGGTCGGCCGTCGAGATCGCGCGCGGCGGCGCCGGCGGGGACGAGAACCAGGGCTTTGCGGTGCGCGAGTGGGAGGGCGCCGAGCGCGTGTTCGTGCCCGTGTTTCTGGACTTGGATTACTCGCCTGAGATGCTGGCGTTGAGGTACCGGAATTATACTGTTGAGAGGGATGAGGTGAGTTGACTTAACTTCTCTTTCGGACCACCCCTTTATTTCTTACTTGCTCGCTTGTTTGTGATGATGATGGAGTTATCCGCCGGTTTGCTGCGGGAGGGTTGGGGGTTTCGAGGGTTGCTTTGCTGTTGGGTCGGTCTCTGTTTCATGTTTCACGCTGCGGATACGAGGTCTATTCTTTGCTGCGAGCGAGGTTGCTTCATGTACCACCTTACATGCACCTGCACATGCAGTTGGTCTATGCGTGGCGTGGACGTTGGATGCGGTTATGCATGTACGGTACTTCCCCTGTGTGGCGTTTCTGTGTATGTGAGGCCGATCATGTACGGACCTATGTACGGTCCTTTTCTATTCTCGGTGTCTGTCAGAAGTTCATTGCGCTGTGCCGCCTAGGAGACCGTCTGTGAGAGCGAGGCACAGATGGTGGGAGGCGGACTCGGGGGGCCAGAGCAGAAGAGTCCAACGGGAGCATGAGGACGGCACGAACGAGGGACCAGGCGTGCTCTGTGTGTCTGGCGGTCAGGGGTCCGACTGAACGCGAACCATCTCACTCGTCCTGGCCAGTTGACGTGAGCCAGCAAGTGAGCCAGCAGCGGGCGAGCGGGCGAGCGAGGGATAAGCAAGGCCTCCCGTCTGCTGCGAGTAAGCCTACCTACCTGCCAGCCAGCTTGGTTGGACGGAAAGAAACGCCAGCAAGAGAGTGGAGTCCGAGACGCCATGCCATGCCCTAGGGGCGCCACGTTGAAGATTGGGGGCCAAGCCTTGTTCGTCATCGCCATCACGACGGAGACGACGAGGCTCCCTGGTCCCAGGTGTCGCGGGGGCTTACTTAGTCGCTGCTGCTCTCAATCTCGCCGGCTTCGTGATGAGGTGAGCGCTGCTGGGCTGCCTCTGCTCGTCTACCCAGGTGCTACCCAGGCGTATACTCAATCGCTTGCTGTCTCATTTGTCGTCCTGAGCCTTGAGGGTACACCCCGGGGGCTTTCAGCTGGACTCGCTGGACACTTGCTTGCTTTGCTTTCTCAACCTTGCCTGCTCGCTCGCCCGGTGCTCACCGGGGCCAAAGGACTCCCATACAGTGGACTAGACTAGCTAGACCCAGGCACATCTCTCAACCTCACCACCCCCTTTGCCCTACCACATACACCTCTCACCAGCCAGCCAGGCAGCCAACCAGCCATCCATCCATTCACTAACCCCCCATTCCGACAGGGCTTCATCCAAGCATACGCCGACATCCTAGCCGCCGCCTCGGACCCCTCCAACACGTATCAGCCCTTCCGCACGATCCTCTCGCACCTCGCCAGCGCCTCTTCTCCTTCTTCCACCGCATCAACCTCAACCGCAACCCCAACCCCAGGTCCATCGCCCTGCCTAATCCACTGCACAGCAGGCAAAGACCGCACCGGCGTCGTTGTGGCGTTGGTGCTGAGTCTGTGCGGCGTCCCTGATGATGTTGTCGCCCACGAGTACGCCCTCACCGACATCGGGCTGCGCGAGCGCTGGCCCGAGCTCGTCGCGCACCTCACGGCGAACCCGAAGCTGGCGATCGATGCCGCGGGGGCGCGGCGGATGATTGGGGCGCGGTACGTTATTTTTATTATTCTAATGATTTTAATTATTCTCCTTTTCCGCTTTCTGTTCTTGGCTGTCTTTTGTCCTATGCTATTCTGCGGTTCTGCGGGAGGTCTACCTTGCCTGCTCTTGTGTGGTGGAAGGGGTGTCTTTGTTTTCTCCGTCTCCCCCTGCTTGGGCTTTGGAGATCAGCCGTGTGCTGTGCTGTTGTGTGTGTTGTGTTGTGTTGTGATGTGTTGTGGTGCCAAATCCTTTTGTAATGCTTAGCTTTTCCCGCACCACATGGATCGTAACATATGCGATCCAGTTGATGATAAAGTCTATGTTGCTAATAAGTCGTTGCATTATAGGAAAGGGGCCATGATAGGCACACTGGCTCAGGTCCGTGAGAAGCACGGCTCTGTCGAGAAGTGCGTCATCGACCTGGGCTTGCTCTCACCTGAAGAAATCACGCAGCTGAGGAAGAACTTGATCGTTGAGGCTGAGGAGGAAGACGTGATCCAGTGGAAGGAACACGCCAAACTCTTGCTGTAAATTGGATGGGTATATATATCACTTTACAGTGTTTGTACATAGGCAAAGTGGTCGGCCGCCAACCCGACCTGATGACCCTTCAGCCGGGTCGTCCCGAGGCGCTATCATCAACTCCTCCAGAGACTCCAAGTAACCGCTGCTATCCGGACAGGTGTCGCGCGGTCATTATACATTGTTCATACATATATTTACACCACTGAAGCCCATGATGTACCCAATCATGGCACCGACATGGGAATCTTGATCTGGTGTCCCTTCGAACGATCGTAGTATGGCGCTCCGTATCTCCACCCAACCGCGGTGCGAGACCTGCCTTTTGGACCGACGTTCTCCGAGTTGAACTGCTTGAATCTGAACTCGAAACGACCGGTGTTGACGCGGGAGGTGTATTTCTCGTTCAGGGCGGCCTTCGCTTGTTGCTTCGCGGCCGCTTTTCTCTCCGACTCCATCGCCGCTTGCTTGAAGCGTTCTGAAGCATCCCACAGAGGTCTGCCCTGCAAGACCTCTTTCTCCATCTGGATCAATTCAGGGTGGGGGACTCGCTCATCTGCCGAAAGCAACTTGGGGTGGAAAGCCTTGGCGGCATCGGCTCGTGTGAAGTGACGCGACTCAGATGTCGGCCAGAAGAGTTGTTGCATCGTGTGTGGGTGTACATGCATCTCGTTGATAGCCTCAAAAGGCTCGTTTTGCTGGTTAGCCCTGAAGGATGTGGTGGGAAGCATCGACAGGACTGCGCGAGCGTACGGTCGTGCCAACTGTTTGCCCTGAGTTCCATAACCAGTTAGCAGATGAACATTCTGAAGTATGCTGTTTGGTGACATGGTGGTAGGCTGCTGAATCAGAGAGGCTCGCAACTAAGTGTGTAACCATGTAGTAGTCTTCAAGACTAATCGAATTTGGGTATTGCGTATTCATCATAGGAAGCGCCGGGTAGGGTCGGGAGAAGGAGAGGTGCAACGCTTACCTTGGCTGTCCAGTCTTTCTCGACCTCTTTTAACCGCACAATAGCTGCGACTCTTTGGATATCGACACCGAGCTCGGCAGAGACGGCCTTGACGGTCTCGCCGTTCCGCATTACCTTCTCCCATATCAACTCCCGCGCCTTCTCGTCCAACACGGGCTGACTCTTGTAGAGCGGATTCAGGGGGAAAGGTTGGTCGACATTTCTGTGGTTGGCCTTCATTGGCTGCAGGTAGTTGGTCTGGCCTGGGACATGCTTGCGAAAGACGGATCCGTGGGAATTGATCCAGGCCCTGAACATGCGCCGTGCCTTGCTGAACTTGGGTCGACTGGCGGTGGTCGAGAAGCTAGCTGTTACCTGCTGGCATGGTTGAGCAAGACATCGTGTAGTGCCCGCACCAGATGAAGTCGATTTTATTATTGCAGAGGCCGCTCTCCTTGGGGTTGGTATCCGGGGAGGCATTATGACAATGCTTTGCACTCCCCAAAATGAAGAAGGGGATGGGGAGCTGGGGATTGAAGTTTTGCTGCAGAATTGAACGCACCGAAGTTGTATTGGAAAGAATCGAAAATGAGCTAGCCATCGGATTAAAGCTGTCCGGTCACGATGCCCCACTTAGGTGGTAAGATGTGGATCGTGCGCTAACAGTGCAAGTAGGAGTCACGCACCGTCCAGGAATAATCTACCCCTGATACGACAGTCAATGGTCCCAGAATCCACACATGGCACCAGAAATCATTCAGACAACATGGAAGAAACAAATCAGAGATTCATCGAGCAATGCCATGGTGAACTTCTGACTGAATCCTGTGTCATACGTCGCCTTGGCAGTGGAATACATTGACATAGCATAGCAAGGCTGCCTGCTTCACCACCTCATTGACATCTCAGACCCTTCGGGAACTACCAGACCGCGGGAATCCTCAATCCCAAGCACTGCATGCCTTCAAGTTCTCCATCCATAGTCAGCGGTCCCTTGTACACCGAGCAGTGGTCTAGGTTAGGCACAGCCGCACAGAGACCTCAACACCCGAATGCCCTGAAGCAACCCCCACTAGGTTCATCGCGCGATACTTGATTGATATAACATTGTAAGAGGTCATTCGATTCAGTAGCGGGAACTGGACGCCAACAATAGAAAGGAGCGAATTGACCTGCTTTCACATTTCTAGATGCTCATGGTGGCACTCGGAGAATCTTGTTGAATGGCCTGTCTCTTTCACGCGTCAAGTGCACAGGAAGAAGCTGACTACCTCACCCAGGTGAATCATATATCGTTACCGGGGGGTTCTCACACCCCTATTCTACGATACCTAGTGTAGTAAATGTAACTAATGGCCTTTGGTTTCACCAAGAGTGTGCTCTCGGTGTACGATAATTTAAAGCACACCATAATCAACCACACCCCAAGTAAGATCTCCTCTTCATTTACCCGTTTCTAGTGGCATCCGCTCTACCCCGTCTACAATCTCTAGTCGCCGTCCACATCATTCATATCCTAGTCTCCTGGGGCTGGTGTGTGTAGGAGATCGTCCCAGTCCGCCCTCTCGAGATCGCCAGAGTCGTGCGCGTGGGAAGGGGGGCGTTTTCGCTCGGCGGGAAGAAGCGGCGGCAGACCGAGTGAAAGTCTGAGATACCGGTTCATATAGTTAATGCGAAACCACACGAATGCAGGGTTCTCATCAAGTCCCGGGTTGATGCGTTTGAGTTGCGGCATGGGAGAGCGGTGAAAGCCCGTCAAGTGAGCGACTGTGATCGCCCTACGATAATCCGCCCAAGCCCTTCGCGGATTTCCACAGTTGATCTTATACTCACCTTCGAGCATGATACAAGTCAAATTGTCGATAGTTCCGCGCATCTTCCTTGGTGGTTACCCATGTCGTGGTAGCCGTCACCAAGCGACGCATCAGTACGGGTCGTGGTCCCGAGAGGCTCAGGAGGCTTTCTTTAGACGGGCTCTGCAAAGCGAGGGCGTTTTGAGCATAAGTCTGGCCAGAATGACCGGGTGGGTGTCTGGACCAGAAGGTTCTGCTACATCGTACGTTGCTGCAAGCGCCTCACGCGTCGACCAAATCCGAATAGAGCAACGGCCTGTGGCAGTCTCTGAACAGCATGGCGGCGGAATTCCTTCAGTTGGAACGGCTGCCAATGAGTGGTGCAGAGCCGAGTCTGGAAGAGACGGTCCCGACACATCTGGCGAGTCCAGCGTAAGGAGTGATAAATTCTTGGCGGGCTCTTCGAGGCTGTCAACGACAGTCAGGGCCAGAGAAGAGCAGAATGGTGATGGCCAATCTCGCAAACCTCTGCAGGTGTGGGAGGAGCTCGAATAGACAAGCACGTTGCCATGGTTGTTGTTGGCAGGTTGGGAACTGAAAGCTTGCGTTTTCTATTCTTCAAAACTCAAGGGCAAAGGTGCGACTTAAAAAAGCTGATTTACTCATCTTCAGTCATGCTCTGTAGCCCCGATCTTGCACACGCAACGCGAAACGTGACACGACAACGACCCTCCCGCCAGTGCCGCCACCACCACCGATCATGGCTTCTCCCGTCGTAAGTGACCGCGATAGCAGTCGGCGCGGGAGTTTGAGCGTTTCGAGACTCTTACAGGCCATCGGCCATACGAAGAGGTGACGAGTCACCCCGACGCCGAAAAGATACAATGACAACACATCTATCGCGCCTTCAATACCGTCATACACTACGCCGAAACTTTCCACGGTACTAAGCAGGTAGCCGGTGTGGGCTTGGAGGCCGCTGGAACGGTGAAGATTACATCGGCTCTGAAAGATGCAATGGTCAACGCCTCACCTGACACCCCCATAACCGACAGCTACACGCAATTCGCCAGGTTCCTAGTCAACTACTTCAACAACCCCAGCATCGATGACGTGTTTGTCTGCATGAAGATCGAACACACCCAAATCGGTGGAGACTTTGATCCCGACGAAGGAGAATGGCTCCTGTATTCGACCATGAAGGAGGGTGGTGAGACGGACGCCACTGCTGATGCATATGTGTTCGATGATAGGACTAAGAAGATGGTCGTGGCCGCATTTGGTTTCCGTTACTCGAAGATGGCTCTGGCACTGCTGGTCCGTGTGCTGGAAATTGCCAACAGGTGTGCAAACATCAAAGCACCAGCGAGGAACGAGAAGAAAACATCTGCTAAAGCTGGCTCTGCTGTCTATCATGTTCCCGATTCCAATCAGGGGTCTCTTATGACTCCGAAAAGGGAGAAGAAGCCGACCGCAAAGCGCCAGTAACTCCTCCGGATCTTGTCCAACCTTGCCGACATGCCACTCCGTGAGCTCAGAGACGAGTCAACTTTGAAAGATATTGGCGTGGGTTGTCTGATGGCCACCGAGGTGCTCAGCGAGATCAGTCCCGTATTGGGGATCACGATTGATCTGTCGAGTTTCTTGTTCTTTCGAAACATCCGAGCATGTTTATCCCACGTCGACGGAAGATGAGCTTGGCGGAGGAGAAGAGGAAGAGAGCGAGCCGGCCGATACATCAGAGTCCGGCACGGACTCCGGGTTTGCTGATATGGGCAAGCCACCTAACAGCAAATCCGGAACGTCCACCCCGAACGCGGAAGCAACAAACGGGGGGTAATCGAGGAGACAGGATGTGGATGGACTTACCACCACCTCGGCATGTGGGGTTTTTGAAGAGACGCATTTCAACTATGACAAGCTGCCCAAGAACATGCAGAAGCATACCCCGTCTCAGACATGGCTGGTCCTGGCCTATTTCGTGGATGCCTTTGCTGACCTGGGATGCGATCTGAGAGAGCTTTGAAGTGGCGACGCTGCGCTGCGGTTGGATTAAAGCTATAGACAAACACAAGCAACTCGTGAGTCAACTCTACCGCGCGCTTGAGGACGCGAGGCTCATCGTATCCAAAAGCAACCGGATAAGGCAAGTTCAGGATTTTGGAAATAGGTGCGGAAACATGAGGCACGACTCGGCACATCGTCAACCAGCTCAGGAGCCACGGTATCGACTCCGATTACGTCTTTAAGGACCAGGGCGCCTCGCTCGTCAATGCTGCGTCCAAGAAATCCAAGGGCGCAGAGGCCGAAGAAATGATGTTCGACGTGCTGGACTGGATAAAGAGAAAGCGCCGTAACCAGAGTACAAGGGCGCGTTCCACTCCATCATGGCGACCAACTGCACCCATACGAGTATGAACGTGGACGCCTCGCTTAGACACATCCGACAGACGCTGCACGACGACGGTGCCCTGACACTGATCGAAGTGGCGAAGACATGTTCTGGCTCGATATCGTCGTCGGGCTGCTTGAGCCCGCCGGAGTCAATGCTCGTCTTTTACACCCCGACCAATTACGAGGACGAGTGGTAGCAGAACCGATCGAGCCCGATGGCGCTCCAGACACGGGCCAGCCGTACGATGTCCTCGAAGGCATCCGGGGCGGGCCCATCACCAACTACAAAATGATGGGACGAGGCTGCGAGGACGCACGCCGAAGTCGCGGAGCCCTCCCTCGAAATTGGGGGCCTATAATGTGCCCACGTTATTCATCCACGGCACGGCCGACGACCTGATCCCGTGGCAGCAGAGCCAGGGGAAGCACATGGTCATGGTCGAGAGGGGCCTCCAGAGCGAGATGGTGCTCCGCATATCTGCGACCTGAGCAGCGATCGCGCGTCGGACGGCTGGAAGGCAAACCCTAAGGGATTGCGCCTTCATCTATTTACATGTCAGCGTCTGCATCTGCTTGTTGGAGGGATTTTATTGTAGCAGCGCGAGGATGTGGCCGATGGCGACGCACCACATGAAGGATCAGAATCAGTTCAGAGGCTATCAAGTAGATGAGGAGGTAGATAGTCAGGAAAGCAGATGAGAGTCATTTGTTTACTTTATTGCAAGCACCCGTCACTTACCGAATGGCATAGTCCCGTATATATTGGCCTAGAGAAAGGACACCATGGGCCAGGTGAGCGGATCGACCATCATCGGAAGCCTCGAAAGGGGGGACATAGCAAGGGATAGGGGTAATACCTTTAAAGAAGCCAGGTGGCGTCGGTGCTTGGATCCCCCGTCCACTAACAACATGTGGCCTTGACCTAACTCGGTTTTCTAATTAAAATATAATTATAATAATAGGAATGCCTTTAAAGCTATGAAGGTTTTTACTGGTGGAATGCTGGGGAAGGAGGTTATGACTGCGATTCAACTTACAAGTGTCGATCTGCAACACCCATGCCCGTCCGCTCCACTTTTCGTAAAGACAGCTGGCTGCTGCTGGCTGGTCGTGCTGGTGTCGGCAGCAACAATTACCAATTGGCAATTCCCACCAGGTCCAACATTGAACATCAGTTACAAGTTACTGGCCCGACATCACTCGAACAATAACAATGAACAAGTATCTGTGAATGCAGAGCGACTACAGACCCGATGGGTGATTTCAAAGCCCGCATCAAAGCCAAGTTCCTCCGCAGAAGCAGCAGCACAGCGACGTCTCTAGCCTCCAGCAAGCACAGTCTCGGGCGAGACGGCGCATCCAGCTCGACACGCCCACTCTCGCCGTTCCTGGGCTCCGTCGCCTCCGACGAGCACATCCACAGCGACAATGTCGCCGGCCACAATTTCAAGGGACACCGTAGCCACGACTCGGTAGCCAGCAGCAAGAGCAAGGCACGGCGAGCAGACAAGTTTGACAGGGACAGCATCGATGGAGCCGGCGTCGGTGGGAGTGGGACACGCGACGGCCAGGCTGAATCAAGAGCTATTACTGGCCAGGGCCACGGTCAAGGTCAAGGTCTTGAAGGTCACGGTCGCGCTCATGCAGGCGAGCCCAGCCTAGTGGTGGCCCCAAGCCCAAGTGCACCAAGAGCAAGTCTCAGCCGGGCCGTGACCACTCCACTCCTGATCGCAGCCAACTCTGACGTTGGTGAATCTCCCACCACCACCACAACCCAGCCCACCACACTCCAGCTCAAGCTGGGCAATGATCTGCAAAAGTTTGCACTCAATTCATCAACCGCGCCCGTCGTCACCACACCCGGTGGTGCTGCACTCCCGAGCATACACGAACACCCCGCAACTTCATCGACCAGAGCCGGCCCGATCGACGACGACACTCTGTCAGTTCTGTCGCCCTACAGTCCCGACATACTCACTCCACCCGCGACGACAACGACCCCGGCCGGTCTCACGCTACTACCGCCCTCGTCGTCCTCACCCGCTCGACCGCTGGCCCCACTACGCCGACAGTCCATTCTCCCCGATCGCCAGACAACCTTGATCAAGGCACTCCTCGATCCGGATGGGAATGCGAGCGAGATAGTCCACGCCGAGCCCGACCAACTCCTCCCCATCAGTGGCACCATGGTGACAAGAAAGATATGGGTCAAGCGCCCCTTGGCCTCGGCCACGCTGGTTACCATCAATGAAGAAGACCTTGTCGACGATGTCCGCGAAATGATATTGCGAAAATACGCGAACTCCCTTGGCCGCCAATTCGATGCCCCGGACCTGACCCTCCGGATATGTAATAGGGAACAACAGAGTAGCAGGACCTTGCAGCCCGACGAACCAATGGGCAGGACTCTCGATGCCTACTATCCTGGCGGCCAGTCTGTCGATGACGCCCTATTGATCGATATCCCATCTCGTCGTACCCCAAAAGCTTCGCCGAATCCTAGATATATCGGGGAAGATCGACCACACGAGTCTGGAACTGACTACTTCCCGCCATTTCCAGCCGCTCCTCATACTCACCATACAGTCTCAACTGGCACGGCCGCCCTGAACGGCTCGCATACAATTCACTTCCCACCTTCCATGGCTATACTCGGCGGAGGCCAGCTGCCTCTCCTTCCGTCTCCGGGTGGTACGAGACGGCTCGGGCAGTCGCGACCCAAGATACAAAGGCTGCACACAGCTTCACCGGCATCGACTGTCACCAATGCCCATAGCCATAGCACGCAATCTGTGCCACCGGTTCCCGGTACGCATAACTACTCCAAACCACACCCGCGTTCAAGGACTCATTCAGCTGCATCTTCAGACCAACCCAGCCACCCACCAGCGGCTCCCCCAGCACCGACGCCCCCACCAGTCGAACGGACAGCCACCCCTCCTCCACAGCTGGCGTCGCCTCGACCTTCTGCTCGGGCGAAGAAGAATAAGAAGATCGATCATCCCTCGTTGCCGCCCGGTATGCTTGACGGGGCTGTCCCACCCATCAATGTTCTGATCGTCGAAGACAACATTATCAATCTCAAACTACTGGAGGCGTTTGTAAAGCGGCTCAAGGTCCGGTGGCAGACGGCTATGAACGGCAGGGAGGCCGTGAACAAGTGGCGTGCAGGTGGATTTCATCTGGTGCTGATGGACATTCAGCTGCCCGTCATGAACGGTCTTGACGCCACGCGGGAAATTCGTAGGATAGAAAAGGTCAACTCCATTGGCGTTTTCTCTTCGTCAGCAAGCAGTCCTCCCGAAGAAATCCAGGCGGATCCATCTGAGGAGGACAAGCTGGCCAACACGGAGATGTTCAAAAGCCCAGTCATCATTGTAGCCTTGACGGCAAGCTCGCTGCAAAGCGACAGGCAAGAGGCGTTGGCGGCCGGTTGCAATGATTTCTTGACCAAGGTAAGCATTCTATCCGCTTGTTGTCAGCTCAAGTTACTCACAATATTATCTACAGCCCGTGAACTTCGTCTGGCTAGAACGCAAAGTGAAGGAGTGGGGCTGCATGCAAGCCTTGATTGACTTTGACGGATGGAGGAAGTGGAAGGACTTCTCGCAAAAGTCTGACGACGCTTCTAAGAAGGCCGCCGTTACGGCCAAAGCAAAACCTGCCAAAAACAAGCGATTATCGTTGACAACAGCCGCAGCTTGAAGGAAGGCTTCAAAGCTTGCATGCTTGCACCGGAATCTTGCAGAACACCTCACATGGCCGCCTCCGCGTAGATTTTCCCTCTGTTTACACCTTCTACGCAGGGAGGATCACGACACTCTCCTACCTAGTGATGGGAGGTGTACTCGTTCAGCGTGCGCCATAATGAATGGCGAGATGCCGACGTGCAGGGCCATCGCCTAAGGGCGTTCTCTCGTAGTCGAGACTTGTTTACTGCATGATTTTGCTGGTTGGCGTGGGTATCATATGTGGCGCATACAACAAATCATAGCGAAGGGGGTTCGGGTAGCTTCTTCAGTCAGAATGATACCATTATTTGCAAACTACCTAAGCTACTGAGGTGCACTTCCACTGTTCTCTCCGCTGCAATGTCCTGCTATGCTCTTTTGTGTCATTTCTTGACTGTGATCCCACGCTGTCTGTCTGCCCTGCTGGCTAGGTGCGGAATTGGCAGGTTGGGAAAGGCATGGATAGATAGAGGGATAAAATTGTGTTTCACCCCAAGGCCGTTTGGCGAGTAGATCTTGCACACTGGACTCCATCCATGGTATTGTCGTTGATGCGCATCTGGGCATGAAAGGGGGTGTTGCGCAGGTGCTGATTCCCGCTGGCGTAGCCCGGGCCATGAATGATCCCGTAAGTAGTCTCCCCCCCTTTTTCTCCTCGTCGTCTTCGTCGTGGACTGCTTCTTGGGTTTTGTATGGCGTTTTGGTTCGGATGGCAGTGGTATACTGGTATGCCGGGCAGGGGGGAGGCGGAGGGGCTGTAGACGAGGCGAGCAGAGTTGATATCGGGCACTACGAGGCTAGGTAGGTAGTGAATAATGTGTGTGTTGGTATGTATGTATATCTTCGGTGCTGTCAGTGGATTTGGCTTCTTTGTTCGGGAGACTTCAATTGTGGTGTAGGAGGGGGAGGGCATGGCGGATATATCGTTTTGTTCTTTTTTTATGTAGGTAGCACATCGCACCGCACTGTGGTGTTTCAACTGTCGCTTCCCGAATGTGTTTCTGTTCCCTCGAGCCTGTCGATTATCCAGAGCTGGGCAAGAGCCGGATGTTTATCAGAAAACCTAGGATCGTGTCTGATACTAGTTGTACCCCGAGCATCGGCGCGCGGGGCGCATCAGCCTGTCGTGCGTCTATCCCGGTCTCGTCGACGGGCCGGGGTTCTACGGTTCCGAGATGCCGCTCTGGTTCCGGGTCCCGTCATCTGGTGACTTCTGAAGCCGCTGACGAAGCTCATGATGATGGATGGAACGCCTATGTTTTCGCTCCGCGGTGGTTTGAGCAGAGACTGCCTACATGGACGCAGTCGTAGGAGGTAGGTACGTCAGGATTTGTGAGAGCAGACGGACCTGAAGTATACCCATGGTACCTTGGCATTGGACTACTACTCGTGAAGGAGAAGCGGAACCAGCAAGAGAAAGGGGGCGACGATGAGGTGGTATCACCAGAACGGACGAGACTCGACGCGAATGGGCATCGGGCAGACGAATTGTCGCTGTTGTCCGTAAATTATTTGCAGGTCGTGGAAATGCGGACGGAAAAGGGGTACAATTCGATCGATCGTCTCTATGATGGACTGACTGGCTCTACCTGGCCCTGACAGTGGTCCTAGGTAAGTAGGTCGTCATCCCGTTCATATGTACGTAGATGCAGTGCAGTGAAGATGGATATATCATGCTTATGGACCCCGTAGTGCCGGGTCGGCCTGCCTGATGGCCACCACGCAGGAAAGGCGTAGCTTACAGCCTTGTTGACCACAGGCCGAGGTGTATCCAACCCGTCCATCGCCCGCCTTGCCCCAGACCGGTTTCTGGTAGATATAAGTATTTAAATGGCATATAATCTCTTTTCTTCGTTACCACTCCGACCACCAGAAAGCGTACCGCTGAAAAGCCTGCACGTAGATGCAGAAGAAGTATGGCCCATTGCTTCATTCGCCATAAGTTGAACCTAGAAGGTATTCATTGAGACACACAGAACAACCTCGAAATGTATAATTACTTTACGTGGTCCGTTCGTGAAAGGGGGTGTACGGGTCACCTCTGCGTTTCTTCGGGTCCCGAAACAGATGGCAGCATCAAAGACAACAACATATCCTACTTATTAAGCCTCGCTGGACGGCTATAGTTTCTTCTCGTAGATTAATTACGCATGACAACGGGCGGATATGTATGAGTGGCCACCATAAGAAAAACCGCCTTACCTACTAGGTAGCTCGTCGGGCTTTCCAACACTGATGGATGGATGGCAGCTTTTCAGACGAGCGGCTACGATCTCCAGCTCATGTCTCCTTCAGTAATCGGACGACAATCCCAGGACCTCATGAGTTGCTGCCGCTGGTACCAGGCCTACTTTAGCCCCATGGCGATACCGACTTTTGCCCCTTACATATTGAGCAGCAGTCTGATCTACGACATCACGTCAGAGGAGCGATTACCTATGGAGAACAAGATCAGATAGCAACCAGCACCCAGGCCGCAACAATATAAATCCAAACCATAATATCGTCGATCTATATTTTGACAAAAATCTAGTCTGCACAAGCGTGTCTTGCGAATCGCCAAGCACTCCAAAGTTGGTAATTATATCATGGTACATAAGTGATTTACAAGGTCACGTAATAACCAAGATATAGTACAGAGTCATCTCATACACTGATTCACTTCAGGCAATGGCCAATTCGTATACAATAACCCGTGCAGAGAGCTGCGGCATGAACGCCTTGTGATGGCGGCTGTATTAAGTATGAGCTTATTGAAAAGACGAGACTATTGCGTGGGTGCCTTTACCTGTGCAGCTTCTCGCCCATGCGACTCAAGTACCAATCTCTGTACACTGACGCGAGACCGCGGTTTGGGCAGATCGATCTCGCTGGACCGGGTGGCTGGTGACAGAACGTTATATCCCAATTGGCACAACTTATAAGCCTTGTGTCGCCTATTCTCCGCGTCTGGGCCTCAAAAGACTCGTCCCCGTGTGGGATATCATTGGCCCTGCTGGCCATTGCTCGCAAACCTCTGGTGAATACGAGCGATCTGTTCATCGACATTGACGTTCTGCATGTGATTGATATGCGCCTGGCTTCTGCCCTCGAGGTTGCCATCGAAACTGTTGATCGCTGCCCGTTTCCTTCTCGCTAGTTCCTCGTCGGCGACGGGTTGCCCCGTGACTCCATCGAATAGATCCCCTCGTTGACTGGCGAAGCGCTTGAGGTTGTTGGCCATGTCAGCATGCGACAAATTTGTCGTCGCGTATCGCATGTCAGCCTTCGCCTTCTGCTCCTTCCATTGGGGATCCAACAACTCGATTCTCATGTGGGCCTCCAACTCATTCATCGGAATTTGTTCCTTGCAGTTCGGGCAGAGGGCCATCTGTGTTCCTTGCCTGTTAGCTGCTCGGGCTGCGGCACGTGGAACGTAATTCTCTTTGATTTTCATCGGGGCGACACCACCCTTTGCTTCGGCATGGGCTTGTTGCATTCGCATCCGAGCTTCTTCTCGCTCCCGTATTCTCTGTGCTTCCTCCTCATCTTGGACACCATTTGGCCGCGGCGGCGGGGCCATTTGATAACCAGGCTGAGGCGGCGCTGGGGCCGTTTGATACGGCTGCGCAGGGTATCCAGGATTATGTGGTAGGTTGTAATTAGGCTGGGCTCCATAGCCATTGTAGGCATTGTCTTCATCTGTAGGCATGGCCTCCTCGATGCGCATGTTAGCACCGACGGAAAGATTGGCCTTCTGCTCAAGTGAGGCGTATTGCAATTCGTTGAGGGAAGTGGGTGGAGGGAGGTTGGCTTGATCATCAGCGTCGGTGAAGACGACGGTCTCGGCAACGATGAAGTCATGCCAGTCAATCTGAGCATACGTGACCCGTTCCTTTTCCTCCTCCTCCTCCTTCTTGTGTATCTCAGTCTCTTGGTACTTGAGCCATTCTGCTCGATCCTTGGCCCGTTGCAGGATGTGGAAGCGGTCGTCAACATTGCGCTGCAGCTCAGAAACTCTTTCTTGCTGGACTCGGCCGCCTTCCCCGTCAATGCCGCCGGCCCGTAATAACATTGAGTACTGGTCGATGAGGTGTTGAAAGAAGTTGTGCAGGCTGTGGTTGGGTCTGAGGAAGTCAAACTGGTAGTTGCCGGCCTCTCGTTGCGATAAAGCGATCATGAACTGTCGGCCATTCTTCGCGACAAACAGCGCAGTCAGTCTCACAACCTCGAGATCCTGGGCGCTGATGTTTGGCATACGCGCAGAGTACTGAAAATCCGGAGGCTTCGGGGGGCCTTTAGGCTTCTCATCGACAACGGCCGCCGCCTCTCCCGCTCGGCCGGCCGCGATGGCGGTACCGCGGCCTTCTTTGATCTCGCTCAATCTCCATAGGTAGAAAGGGTTGTAAGCGTCGGTAGTGTTCAAGAAATTGAATTTGGTGTTGTTTTTCTCCTTCTCCCGGATACGGTCTTCGAACGCGACTCCATTTCGTGCGACGAAACCGGCGGTCTTCTCGAGGATTGCTACAGGACAAACAGATGTTAGCGGGATCCAGTCTGGAACGCGACGGGAAGGCTGGGATCGAGACTTACTTCTGAATTCCTTAGGAGGGAGGACGACGCCCTGGGGAGGTTTGATATCGTCCAAAACCGCAGCTGCATCGCCGTTAGTGGTTGCAGCCATATCGACGGCAGTGTCAGACCCTCCTTGGTGTTGTGATGGGTATAGCAAAGGTATCGTCAAGCTTTTGCTATTGGTGTCGCAGTTGAAGCCCCAGCGAAATTATGCGGTCGACTGGAAGAAGGGATCCACCAGGCCACCTCCAGCTCGGGCAGCTGCCCCGGCCCGGCCCCGCCTTACCAAAATCCAGATCACACCCAAGGTGGAAGAATATATTATCCGTGCGTCTTGCATTGGCGAATCAGAGATGGCAGACTCTATACCGTATCGTTTCCGCCTTTGCACTGTAAATTCAGACTCTCGACTGTAAATGCTACAGTGCTTATAAATGGGATGAGGTACATGCACACACTGTGCAGCTCGCTGTATGTTCAAGCTCAATTGCGCCAAGCCACGCCTGAAGCCCCCCTGCGGCCCGGAGCTGGACCCCTGCGCTAATCTCGAAACGCGCGGGCTGAGGCCACTGTAGCATCAACACCGGGCGGTAAAGGTCGCGGTGGCATCGCTCATGTATCTATCCGCAGTACAGCCTCCAAATAGGTACAATGGCGGCGGAGCTTACATTGACGATTCTGCCGCCCCTTTCGCTTGGCCACATGCATTTGCCATTCAACTCTTTTCATCCTTCAGCCCTTACTGCCCATTGCCCATTATCGCCAGGTGCTGCGACCAAAGGCGCAACACGGCACTGTTCTTGTTCTGCCCGTATTCTTCCCAGGGGTTCAATGCTGTGGTCCGCTTGTAATGCCCAATTCTACTTCGTGACTTTCGTTAACCAGCACTCCATTTCTTTTTTTCTCGCGAGACCTGGCTTGTGATACCGAAGAGACCCGTGTGGCGTAGCGTAGCGCAGAGCTCCCTTTCCCACCGGTGACAGCCTCGAGAGGCCACGAACACCTCTTGTCTCCTAAACACCAACCCGGACTCCTCGAGAACCATCCCATCCCAGCACCTGCAAGCCCAACGCAAGTGCTCGACTCAACATGGGTAAACCCAATTCGGCGCAATCGCCCTCTACCAAGGGCGCGTCGTACACACCTCCGAAGCCCGACAACCAGGTCGCGAAGCGTCACGATGACTACACCTCCGAGGGTGTCAAGGACAACGATGTCTTCCTGTTGCCCGTGTCCGATTACCAGGTCATGCTTCTCGTCACTATCATAGGAACCATTGTGCGCCTGTTCCGTATCTACCAGCCCACCAGTGTCGTTTTCGACGAAGTCCAGTAGGTTCCTCTATTCCTAACACAGGTTCGTATGAGATTGCCAAAGCTGACGTTCCATCTTCCCCATAGCTTCGGTGGCTTTGCGTCCAAGTACATCAAGGGCAAGTTCTTTATGGACGTTCACCCGCCGCTGGCCAAGATGCTCATCACTCTGTTCGGATGGCTCGCGGGTTTCGACGGCAACTTCGACTTCAAGGAGATTGGCAAGGACTACCTGGAGCCAGGAGTTCCCTACGTGGCTATGCGACTATACCCTGCCATTTGCGGTATTCTACTGGTCCCTACCGTCTTCCTGACCCTGAAAGCTGTTGGATGTCGTACTGCTACTGCCGCTCTGGGTGCCTCCATGATCGTCTTTGGTAAGTCTAACAGTCTCCTTGGGTGGCCATCTTTTGGGCTATCTTTTGGGCTATGTGCTCACACTATAAAAAACAGAGAACGGACTCCTGACCCAAGCGCGCTTGATCCTGCTCGACTCGCCCCTCGTTCTTGCGACAGCCTTCACCGCCCTGGCCTTCCAATCCTTCACCAACCAACACGAACAGGGACCTACAAAGGCATTCGATGCGAGCTGGTGGTTCTGGCTGGTTATGACCGGCCTGGGACTGGGCATCACCGTCAGCATCAAATGGGTTGGCCTGTTCACCATTGCTTGGGTTGGAGGCTTGACCCTGGTGCAGTTGTGGGTGCTGCTTGGCGATACCAAGACTGTCACCATTCGCATCTTCGCAAAGCACTTCATGGCTCGTTCCTTCTGCTTGATCATCATACCCGCTACTTTCTACATGGCCATGTTCGCCATTCACTTCTTGATCTTGTCTAACCCTGGTGATGGAGATGGCTTCATGAGCTCCGAGTTCCAAGCCACATTGAACAACAAGGGCATGCAAGATGTACCTGTCGATGTGGCTTTCGGTAGCCGCGTCTCCATCCGCCATGTCAACACTCAGGGTGGCTACCTGCACTCTCACCCCCTGATGTACCCCGGAGGCAGCCAGCAACAACAGATCACCCTCTATCCTCACAAGGACGACAATAACTTGTGGTTGCTTGAGAACCAGACTCAGCCGTTGGACTTCAATGGCGAAGCTATCAACGGCACTGACGCTTGGGACAGCATCAAGAACATGACCGAGACCTATATCAAGAATGGTGATGTGATTCGCCTGTACCACCCAGCCACTCACCGTCGCCTTCACTCGCACGATGTCAGACCCCCCGTCAGCGAGCAGGAATGGCAGAATGAAGTATCTGCTTACGGATACGAGGGATTTCCAGGCGACGCCAACGATTTGTTCCGTGTGGAGATCGTTAAGAAGCAGTCGCTTGGAGCCGTGGCCAAGGAGCGACTTCGCACCATTCAGACCAAGTTCAGGCTCGTTCACATCATGACTGGTTGTGTCTTGTTCTCTCACAAGGTCAAGCTACCCGACTGGGCATCGGAACAGCAAGAAGTTACTTGCGCCAAGGGCGGCACAATCCCAAACAGTCTTTGGATGATCGAATCCAACGCTCATCCCCAACTCGCCGACGATGCCGAGAAAGTCAACTATGCCAATCCCGGGTTCTTTGGCAAATTCTGGGAGTTGCAGAAGGTCATGTGGAGGACAAATGCAGGCCTGGTAGAGTCACATGCGTGGGACTCTCGGCCCGAGTCTTGGCCAATCCTTCGCCGTGGTATCAACTTCTGGGGAAAACAGAACCGTCAGATCTACTTGATGGGCAACCCTTTCGTTTGGTATACGTCAACCCTGGCCGTTGTGATCTACGTGCTCTTCAAGGGTATCGCTGTCCTACGTTGGCAGCGAAGCTGTGGTGATTATTCCAACGCGACCTTCAAGCGATTCGACTATGAAATTGGGACATCGGTACTCGGATGGGCTCTGCACTACTTCCCTTTCTTCATCATGGGGCGCCAGCTTTTCTTGCATCACTACTTCCCTGCCCTCGTCTTTGCCATTATGGCATTTTGCCAGGTCTTCGACTTTTTGACTGCTCGTTTCGCGATCCCCGGCGTTCGAGAGAACCCAATTATCAACAAAGCCGGAGCTATTACCCTTCTGGCTCTTTCGGCTGTCGCCTTTGCCCTCTTCTCTCCTCTCGCGTACGGAAACGCTTGGACCAAGGCGGAATGCAATCGCGTCAAGCTGTTCAACACGTGGGACTGGGACTGCAACAACTTCTTGGAAAGCGTGAGTATACCCACCCAAGGCATGCCCTCGAGACAAAGGGGTTGAGGACGGGGTTGGTGTGTGCCACCTCCACTTCCTCTATACAGTAGGCTAATCAATCTGCGTCTCTAGTACGATGCCTACTCGTCGATAAGTGCTGTCCCCAACAAGGCTGTTGAGAGCTCCAAAGCGCCTGTCGTAGAGAACCAGCAGGCCGCGAAACCCGCTGCCGCCGAGAAGCAGCAGGATTCCCAGGATTCCCCAAACGGAGTAATCTCTGGGGCCCCGAAGTTCGAGCCCCAGGGCCAGAAAGTAATCGGGCGCGAGGAGAAGATCGAATACCGGGACCAGGACGGAAACATCCTCAACGAAGAGCAGGTGAAGGCCCTCGAGGGCAAAGTCGAGTTCAAAACCAAGTACGAAACGAGAACGCGCGTAATCGACGGAGCAGGCAACGAAGTGCCGATGCCTCCAGAAGAGCTAGCCGGCGCGGGAGTCGCACCGCCACACCCGGACGTCCAGGGCTCTGATCAAGAGACGAAGAAAGTGGCCATGGATAACCCGATTCCCAAGGAAGCCTCTTCGAGCAAGGACGGCGAAATAGAGGCCGAGAGATCTGTTCCCAAGCCTGCCAGCGAGGGTAACGAGGCCACCGTCTAAGTTCGGCAGTGTATGACCAGCTCTGACCAGCTTGTTTGTCAAGTATTCAGATATCAGGGGCAATGTTGCAATCCATCTGGGTCTTACGCACCGTGCCGGTGGAAGCGGGGTGGCGCCCTGGCGGAGCTCTCTATGTACACTATATTAATGAGAATCATGGGAAAACATGGGAGAACACGGATGAATGGGGAACGCGAACGAAACGTGAAGAACAGTGGCCGGCTACCTCTTCGTAGCCAGGTTATATCAAGTCAGTTGCAAGTACTGGCGAGCTAATTATCTCCTGTAATGAAAAGAATCTAATTTCCTAGCAGCCGAGCATGTGTCATGTGAAATCTCTGTGCTAATTTCCTCTTTCTCAACAAAGATCCTGGGTGTCTTGTTACTTCTCACCTCAGCCCAGTATCGTTTGGGATCAAGGAGAGTCACGAAGGGTTGCTCCTTATCCCCTTATCTCTTCTCATCAGACAGCTGCCCGATACTACTTAGGTACGGCATCTACAGTCACCCCCCAAAAGCCTGCGTCCGCGCTCCTCGAGGGTGTTCTCCCTGATAATATATAAACGTCAGAATGAGCACCCTGAACTAAGCAGTTGGAGATTAATCTGCCACGCTTTATGCTTATTCCAGAGTGATCATTCGGCAGATCAGAGACCAACCCTGATTATTCCATATTTCGATTACGGGGTGTACGGAGACTTCTGATGGCTCAGTGTAACATTGTATGTGGCACGTGTTCACGTCGCGTGGACTCTGTTAATGATGGATGATGAGATGATAGACAGAACAGACTAATGACGTGAGTAATCCAGCTACCCAAGTAGATGCAGACCTCCCACTGAAGCTCCGATGACAGACTACATGTCCCTCCCGGGGGGACGTTGAATTACACTTGGAGTGCCAACTCTGTGGCCTTCCTGCATCCGTCAATTACCACGCGTGTCTCGAGTCTTCGCCCGAATTTCCTTCGCGACATGGAGAGTGGTTTGAAGCAGATCATGACCGGAGCAAGACTCAAGTATTGATCATTTGAAAGACACATGGGTCTGAGTGAGTATTGAACGGTGTCGATTCAGGGGCTACTTACCAAAGTTAAGCTACAAAGAACCTCGCTCAACTCTCATTCACCCATCTACACCCAGCGCCACATAACCTTACATCAATTTACCCTACGACCGTCAAGCCAACGGATATCCTGCTCGCACCTCGATTTCAAGCTTGCGGCAAACCTGTGTAATGGCATCGCGCCAGAGCCACTTGACCGGCTTGCGTGGGGGCATTCCGTTGTGCGTACAGATATGGCGATGATCAGCGCCGCCGTCGTCAGGGAGCGGACTACGCACGTGGATACATACCTCGATCTGTGTGTTATTGCATGTTCCGGGCGTCTCGGCCTCTGGGCAGATGTTGGTGATTTGGGCTAGAGTTGTGCCGTTGGTCTGGAGGCATTGTTGGCAGTAGATTTCGTGATGATGAAGGGTACACATCGTGACGTGAGTTTGGTGTTGGACGGGATTTTTAGCGGGATTGATTGATGGATTGGACTGAGGAGGTCGGGTCTTCCAATATTCAAGTACTTGTTTGAATACAGGAAGTGTTGTTGGTATGTTTGTATGTTTTGTATTTAACGTGGGGGGTAGCTCCTCAGTAGTGCAAACCACGCCTCCCAGAGCCTCTGTATCGCAGGGTTGTGGAGGTCTCAAGATAATAAGTACAGTCAGTCCCGTTCACGGGCCCATCCCCGTTGTTGTGGCGGTATGACCTTGGGGTCATCCATCTGGTCCTTCAAGAAAAGTTATCTATTGGGGGCAGATTGTTGAAAAGAACTTGCTCTTTTCCATGAATCTTGCCCATTCTGTGCTCCTCTCCCCTAAGTATTATAAACAAGCTGTCTTAGGCAAGTACCTAGACAGCAGCCAGTTTTTCCCCAGCCTCTTACAAAAGAAAATATGTTGTGGTATTTTCTTTTCACCACAGCTGTAGTGATCATTCGAGTCTGTATGCCCAAAGCGTTCATGGTATCTGGCAAAGTCGCCATGTCCAGATCTGGCCGCTAGAAGTCTGTAAAGTACTCCTCTTAAAAGATATAAGGTCTCTTTTAATTACTGCATGTGAGTATATTTCTTGATATCTAGGTTCTGATTGGTTTTTCCACCATTTGTTGAACTCTTTTTTTTTTTTTTTTTTGAGATCTTTCTTGACCCAAGAGATTATAGGAAGGTTTGTTGTGTCTGTTTCTAGCATGGGCACCCTCTTTTGTTAGTGTGTTAGCAGCTTTGTTGCCATTAATATCTCTGTGTCCAGGAATCCACTTGACGGTCACTCCAGGAGTGTGTGCTGTGGCAAGTTCTTGAAATCATAGAAAAATGTTCTGTGATGTCTCGGGTGGAGCCCTATTGAGCCTTTCTATCACTGACGTGTTGTCCAGGCAGATATATAGCTGTTTTCTGTGTCCAATTGCCCTGGCTACTGCAAGACCTTAGAGAGCACCATGGACTTCAGCATCCACTACTTCTACTTGTAGAAGTCTGTCCCTTCTCTGGTATACTTCTTGTGTAGTGCCGCCTTTCCTGATGGTATAGCCCCATCCAGTGCGGGTTGTGCCTTGGTCGTCCAATTGTGATCCATCTGAATAGATGACAAGGTCAGTGTTCGTATTTCTTTCCTGTAGCCATTGCTTAAAGAGCTCTATTTCTTTGTTTTTGTCTTTACGGACTGGGGGCTTCTTCCATAATGGCTTGGTGAGTATTGGTCTCTGGAAGTCAGGGACTAGTTAGAAACTCCTTTGTAGCCTTGTTAGTTTTTTGCGAGCTTGTATTTGGAGCCTGCTAACAAAAGGGTGTCTCTGATCTACTCGTCCTAGTCAGAGGCCGTGATGTCGTCTTATTGACTCTGTAAGAACTCCTGCTGGGGGAATCTGCGATTCAAAGTATAGGATATGTCCAGGGTGTGTTTTCTAGACTGGCAAGATAGCCCTGATCGCTGTTCATAGTACGGCATCTATTGTTCCAAGAAGCCCCTTAATGCGACATGCTGATGTCCCACCTAAGCTCCCAACTTTCTCGATTCCTGGGTACCAGGCCTCCAGGCCGTGTGTAAGAATAGGAATAACACAAGCTTTCACAACCCTCTTGGTTGACTTTACTAGAAGTCTTTTGACTGTGTTGCATAGTCCTTGAAGGTGATTTGTTACCTTATTAATTTTCTTGGCCCAGTAGGAAACGTGATTTTTGAAGTTTAGTTTTCTATCCAGGAAGACACCCAGCCATCGCATGGAGTCCTTTGTTATTTTGTTCATTGTCCCATGGCGGATTGGAGGGTTGTCTGAGTTCTTTTTCCTTGAGAAGTGCATAATCTCAGTTTTGTCAGGGTCAAATTCAATAGCGTTGTTATGTCCCCATTGACTGAGCAAATAAAGATTTTCAGAAGCCTCTGTAGCTGTTTTCTCAAGGTTATTTCCAATGCAGAGAGTCGCTAGGTCGTCTGCATATCCAAAGCGTTTCTTTTTCATACCAAGTCGGGGGCGCTGGAGAACAGAACCATATCCGGCGAGATATTACTGTATCGGATATCCGACCCCTGAACAGCTGTTACAATCTGTCTCTTCTCAGACCTCTTGCCATCCGCTGCTATGGCGAAGTCTACTTACAGCTTGATTCATGCTTGTGAAGATTTAAGAGAGTGAGCGCACTAGGGAATAGAACCCGAACAAGCTATCCACTACTCTGGTTTCTAAGCCCCATGTCAAGCCCCCTTCGACGCACGCATCTCAGGAAATCACATTCGCTGACACAAAAGGATTTGGAATCCGTATCATTCTGGAACACCTGAAATTTTTCATTCAAGCGTAATTATCCCTAAGTAGCATAGAAAACTTTGGGAATTTCAAGACTTCTGTGAAGGCGGGCCCTCCCCAAAGCATTGATCCAAGCAATCCACCTTCTGCTGTGCCTGCGTAGGCGGTTCCGCCGCGACCTTCGCCGAGAACATATTCGAAAGCAAAAATCTTATGTGTGACGACGAACCTACAGCTCTGTTTTCGACTCGGTGACGTCAATATAAGCTCGATTCCAGTCACCTTGTCTTCCAAGGTCTGTGTTGTTGCTCCCGGCCCATTATAGATCTTCCGGACCTGGAAAAAGTCGTCCACCAAGGACAGCTCCGTGCTTCGTGACTCGAACATTTTCTGCCCTTCCAAGACGAGTAGAACAGACGGGACAGTGAGACCTCGTTGGCGGTGTGAGCCGAACTCCACCAATGACAGCGCGAAGGGGCCCACGTGCAGACGTATCGCCATCATGCTTTTCAAACAAGTGAACCAGTTGAAAGCACCCCAGAGACGCTCAGGCCCACCCATACCCTCCCACGTCATAGCCTCCCCCATGATGACGGCCTCCAGAGTCAAGTCTGCCACTGGCACGGGCTCAATCCAGTAGAAGTGGGGCACCGTTAGAGGATTGCCCTGCTCGTCTGGCCAAGCCCGGTTGTCTGCGTATTGAACCAGGGCAATAGATTGCATAGTGATGGTGGCTTTGGCTTCGGGGTCGTCCATCGTGATCGTCGTCAATGACATGTCTGTATTGGTCTCGAAAGTATAAACCCAGTTGGGCCCACGCCATACGCCTCGAGTGCCTCGATCTGGACACCATTCAACAGTCGACTCTTCGGCATACTCCACGACGGCATAACGTGACCCATTGGAGGACGCGAACTCGGCGTACAGGCGAAGATTGCCTGTTCCAAAGAACGAGTAGTTGGGGTCTCGGTAGAAGCCAAACACAAAAACGCGAGTACCGTCATTCGATATACCATCGAATTCCCATTGCTCTCCCGCCGTTGAATTCATCGGATCAACCTTAGGCCATTCGGGGTGATCGGATGCCGTAGTTGCGAATGAGCTAGAGGAATGACCTCTGCTCTGGTTATATCGCGTCACATAACTCTTGAGGCATTGGGAAGGCAATCCATGTTGGTTCGCGTGTGGTCCCCGAGATGGCCGTCAAACGGGAACTTGATGTCCAGGTCCATTCCATGGAGTTTGATGAGGCCGATGATGTGGACTACAGTATGGTTGCCAAAAGGCTTGTGCAGCTCGAGGCACTCGACATGTGGGATGCTACGAACTGCGCCGCGAACACGCTCTGGGGTACGGAGCCACAGATTAGGGTGAGGTCCGGCCAGATACTCATACCTCTCCAGCGTTTGAGCGCCTTGAGAAACCTCCGATACAACTCTTCGCGCAGGCCGATTGACCAATTAGTCACTGGATCAGACACGAGGCTTTCTCTGGGGCGAGAAGCTTCGAACTTATACCTGACAATGAGTGAGCAGTCCTCTGGACCAGAAGCGAAACCAGTGGTGGCAACCCACTCTCTGTTGGAGATGATACCTGTCGGACACAACAATCGGCATTCCTATCGCTTGCGCAAGAATCGGGAACTGGAATTCGCCTTGCCATCCTTTCTAGTTCCTTGGATTCGCATATCAACTCCCCAGAAAACTTGGATCCTACCATGTCCTGGGACCCGAGATCAGGCCGAACAGGTGCTAGCGTTCTTGTATATACACCTCACCGCTCGCTGGATTATTTCCCAAGCCGAGAAAGGGGACCGTTTGGTTGTGTTACCGGTATGTCAAATATTCATCTGCTTGGGGTATGGAGGTTGCCTCATCACCCCCCGCCACACCGAAAGACAAGACATGGCCGCTATTGCAGATCTGATCTGGTCCGAAGGCGTGACCGTCACAATTGCCACGCCTACAGAATACGTAGGCTGGATCAGACGGGCCCGAGAAGATAACCTACGGACTGCAAGGTGGCAAGTCGCGATCAGTGGGGGTGAGTTCATATCCGAAGCTCTTCAGGGAGCCTTCAAAGGCCTGCGAAAGTCCGACCTCCAGCTCGTGAACTGTTATGGCCCGGCAGAGGTTACCTTTGCCTGCGCCTACAGCGTTATACCCTACGCAACTAAACCCAGCTCAAACTGTCCTCTCGCCGTCTTGCCCAACTACAGGATCCTGGTCGTGGACTCGGATCTTAAACCAGTTTCTACAGGCGAGAGCGGTCAGATCTTGATTGGGGGTGGTGGAGTTGCCAGCGGATACCTCAATGATTCGAGCTTGACGCAATCAGCATTCGTTACCCTTGCCGGCGTAAGCACATCATCCGGAAATGAAGGGGGCTGTGTATACCACATGTCCGGGGACAGTGGCTGGCTTGATGCAGACGGTCATCTCATGCTTGAAGGGAGAGTATGTGGCAGTACCCAAATCAAGAAGGGTGGCATTCGCATTGACCTCAGAGATATCGAAAACACCATATGCCGTGTCTTTGCGCAGACTGTCTCTCAAGCAATCGTCTCTCTTCGATACGGGCCGGCATCAGAGGTCCCATTCCTTGTGGCCTTCATCGTCTTTGCGAAGAACGAACCACCTACAAGTCGGAAAGAGTTCCTATCCGAACTTCCTGATAAGCTCCCTCTTCCTCGATACATGAGACCTTCAAGAGTTCAGGAGCTAGACACTATTCCCACAGTAGGCTCTGGTAAAGTAGACCGAGGGGCACTCGATTCGCTAGACCTTGGTACAGAGCGGCCAGTGGTGTCAAACGAGCCTAACGGCGACCTCGACAGCATCGAGGAGATTTTATTTTCCTGGTGGGAGGAGGCAATTCCGGGCGGTGGTCCCAGTAAGCGTGACATTCACCGGGAATCCGACTTCTTCCGCCTGGGGGCAACTCATTGTCCCTGATAAACCTACAAGCTCTGATTTGAGAGCGGCACGGTATCGAGTTGTCAATCGTCAAGCTTTTCGAGAACAGTACCTTGGGTAGAATGGCTCATCTCCTGCGACATTATGGCACGGACAAGGAGGGAGAGACGGGCGCAGTTGACTGGGATCGAGAGACATAAACCTTCGAAACCACCAAAGCTACTCAATCGCAAGCTGAGGTCTCGGTGCCATTCAGGCCTGCCAAGTCAGTCGTTCTTACCGGCGCAACAGTATTTCTGGGTAAGGCGGTGTTAAGGCACTTGATCGGGGACAGTGGCGTGACCAAGGTGCACTGCATTGCAATCCACAAGCCCCAACGGGACCTACCCTCCATATTCAACCACGCCAAAGTGCATACGTACTCGGGCGATTTGGAAGCCACTCTTCTTGGGTTACCTAGCGAGTCTGCTCGGGACATCTTCGGCGACGCAGATGCAATTATTCACATTGGGGCCGATGTTTCCTTCATGAAAACCTATCGAAGCCTCCGCCCGGTCAACATTGCCTCGACGAAAGAACTGGCCAGACTATGTGCTCCCAGGCGCATACCGTTTCACTTTGTTTCGTCTGCCACTGTCACAAGGCTCACAGGCCAAGAAGCCGTGGGGCCGGTCTCTTTGCGCCAGTGGCCGCCTCAGTCGGATGGCTTTGACGGGTATACGGCAACCAAATGGGCGAGTGAGGTTTTCCTCGAGAACATGAACGAGTACATGGGACTTCCAGTTTTCGTATATCGCCCGAGCAGTGTCACCGGGGACGACGCGCCCGAATCTGACGCAGTCAGCAACTTCATCAGATACGCCAAGAAGATGAACATGTTGCCGCAGGTTGGCAACTTGACTGGCTACCTGGACTTCGTACATGTCGATGAAGTCGCTAGGTGTATTACTTCGAACTTGCGGGAAGTGGTCCATCTCAACATCGCGGACAATCGGGTGCAGTTCCTGCAGATTCTTGGGACGTCCCGAATCCGAGTGGACGAGATCCCGAGGGCTATCGAGTCCGCTACCGGAACACCAGTCAGAGTTGTGGCAACAAAGGAATGGGCGCAAGCTGCGATAGAGGCGGGCATGAACCCTCTTCTGGCCGCTTACTTTGAGCGCGAAGTGACGAACCAGGCTTTACTGCCAAACATAATGTAGTCCCTGTTAGACACATGACTGTCGTACTAGGTTTTGCTTCATTTAAGAGAGGGCGAGTTTAAGTATGGTTAGGATGTAACTATTACCTATTGGATATATGTGATCCCGTGACTTGGATCGTCTGAGTGTGTCATGAGTTCAACCTGTACTTCCCCGCTCGGTAAACACACGGACTATCCTGAGCCAAGAGGCAGTCGCCATTTCCCACATGAAGCGGTCACAAGCCTTTCTCCCACCCAGTACATCGCGCCGCTATAGGATCAATCCGAATCCTCCGCACAGTTACAGGCCGGCTGCTCCGAGATCGTCATCCAGGGAGGGTAATCACATGGAAAGACTGGCATCATGTCCCGGCACACCCAAGTGTCGATCACTTGCCACTGCGGCACCGTGGAGCAGATCGTGTCTCTAGGTCCTAAAACGACGACTGGTCCGAGAAACATAAACCTCTGCCATTGCCACACGTGCCGGCACACGACGGGACTACTTTGCGTCTCGTACATGGGCATTGAGCGACCGCAGCCTCTGATTGGCCTTGCTGCGTACCAGTCATCGACGTCCTGTCGCTTCTTCTGCGGCACGTGCGGATGCCACGTCTTCCGGCGGGACGACAGCTCCGACGACGACGAGGTGGGCGAGGGCGCTGTGCGCGAGAGGTGGACTGTGGCTACAGGTGTGGTCGTCGGACGCGTGGACAGGCGGGATGGGAGTGGCAATGAAGGGGTTGAGGCGGAGCCCATGATGGGATACGCGAGGTATCTCAACACATCCAGCACCAAGGACGGCGGGCTATCGGTCTTTTTACGCTCTGACGAGGGGTTGAACGAGTCTGAAGTCTGTGAGCACTGGGGCACGCCGTATCGAGATACTCTTAGGAGGTCATCGAGCCCAGACACACATGATGAGAAGAGTGAGAACATCAGTGCGGAAAGCGAGGGTGGAAAGACCCTCAGCGCATCCTGTCACTGAAACACCGTCCGCTTCCAAATCACGCGTCCCAATGCCGCCAGCGCGCTTCCACGGTCTAAATTCCCGGACCTCATCGTTCCATACTATACCAAGTCAGAGCGTATTCAAAACCCGGATGACGAGAAGTGGTGGCTTCACCCAGCTGCTGCAGACGATGGAAATGGAGCGCCGATTCAGACGAGATACCTAGCCGGAACATGCGCGTGTCGCTCCTGCCATCTGACGTCCGGGTTCGAGATCCAAACGTGGGCATTTGTGCCGCGTTCAAACATACAGTTCCACGTCCCTTCAACCTTGACGGCATCTCCGTCCTCGTCTTCGCCATCAACGTCACGCGGGGAGGGAGTAATCCCTCTCGATTTCACGACCTTACCCCCCGGCATCCTCAGGCATACCGCAGCTCGTCTGGCGTAGTCCGCGAGTTCTGCGACCGTTGCGGCGCTACGGTCTTCTGGCACGACGGAGACCGGCCGGAGCTCATCGATGTTAGTGTTGGGCTTTTGGACGCAGCCGAAGGCGCGAGGGCGGAGAGTTGGCTGGAGTTGGAAGGGCAGGAGAGATGGCGCAGTGGGCAAGGGGCTTGGTTGGAAGTCTGGAAAGGGGTTTGGGGTGTCGAAAAGGAGTGGTGACAGCTAGGGGCGGAAGGACTACCCTTGGGCACACTGGACCCTCGTAAGTCTCCGTACATCCATCGTTCAGCAAGCGAAGGGTACATGTCGCACAGATTAGGTTAACCTAGATCACTACGAGCTCAAAAGGGGTAAAAGTAACGTATTAGTTTAGGTGTGATCTGGTTAATTGGTCTGCTATAAGAACCCCGTATATCTAATGCAGCAGACCTGGTGAACAAGATGGTCAGACCAAAAAGGCCCCCTCAGAAGATGAATTCCCATTGCACATCGATGCGGAGTTATTCTGGGCTTCGGATCGGGATCGTGGGGGAGATGCGGGGAAATCATCAGATAGGGTCTCCGCTCTACACAACCAACGTCATGCCATGATGCAGCCTGCAGCCAGCACCTCCTCCGTCGACGCAATCAAATTCTCGACAGGCAGTTCTATTCTGCAACCTTCGAAATACATGTAGTTATACATCACCGCAACTATGCCCATCTTCAGAAGCAAGCACCCTGACATCTCTGGTACGCCCATCTAATACGGTCCCGCCCGATCACTATTTAATCTAATATAAATCCCAGTTCCCGAAGATGTTACAATATGGGAGTGGCTATTTGGCAACAACTCACCACGTTCTCCTCTCAACCGGTTTCGTGAAGAAGATTTAGCCGGCTATGTCGATGGCGTCACGAAAGAGCGAGTCTCCTGGAAAGATGTCAAAGAGGCCGCGACGTACATCTCTACGGCCCTCGTCAAGAAGTACGGCTTGGAGCCGAACCAGACCGTTTCGCTCTTCAGTCGGAATACAATATGGTATCCGGTGACCCTATTCGCTGCGATCCGCGTTGGTATGGATAAGTTTGCCTCCATTCATCATGGGTTTGGTCGGTTGGGGAGAGGCTAAGGATCGAATCTAGGAGGCGTTGTCTCAGGTGCCTCGCCGGCTTACAACGTGGAGGAGATGACATATGCTCTTCGGACCGCGAAGGCGAAGTTCGTAGCCACACACCCGACTTCAATCAAAATCGCCACACAGGCAGCGAAGAATGTCGGTATTCCAAAGGAGCACATCTTTCTGCTAGAGGGCCAGCTCGGTGACTATACCAACGTCAAGGATCTGATAGAGATCGGTAAGAGCTATGGGAGAGACAAGCAGGCTTTGCCTTTCAGCATTCCGGCGGGCAAGACGAATAAGGATGTTTGTGCGCTCCTGAGTTTTTCATCAGGTACCGCGGGACTTCCCAAAGCCGTAGGTACTTCGTATCAGTAATATCTGAAGACCTACCCAGCTGATCTTGGCAGGTCATGATAGCACATCAGAACGTCATCGCCCAAGCGCTACAAATGGAGCCGATCACACCGCCAGACCACAGGAATGTACTAGGAGTCCTACCAATGTTCCACATCACGGGCATAGTGCACAGCATGCACCTCCCAGTCGTCCTAAACGCGGAGGTCATCATGCTCCCCTCGTTCAGCATGGAGTCGATGCTCGCGACTATCGTCGAGTACCAGATCAAAGAGCTTCTCTTCGTGCCACCGATCCTCATCCGCTTGGTGCGCGATCCCATCGTCGACAAGTACGACCTGAGCTGCGTGAAGCGTCTGTCCAGTGGCGCCGCGCCAATCTCTGAGGAGATCTTGCAGCTGCTCAAGCAGAAGTTTCCCGGGAGCGGGTTCAAGCAAGGCTACGGCATGACGGAGTCGTGCTCGTGCATCACGGCCACCCCTCTGGACGCGTACGACTACAAGCACGGCCACAAGGTAGGCACCATAGTCGCCAGCACGGAGATCAAGCTCCTGCGGGACGACGGCACGGAAGCACCCTTGGGCGAGGCGGGTGAGCTCCTGGCACGCGGCCCGCAGATAGTCATGGGGTACCTGGACAACGAAAAAGCGACGCGCGACACCTTTGACGCGGACGGGTTCCTGCACACGGGCGACCAGGCGGTCATAGACGAGGCGGGCTTCGTCACGATCACGGACCGCATCAAGGAGATGATCAAGGTCAAGAGCATCGGCATTGCGCCGGCGGAACTGGAGGATCTCCTGCTTGGACACGCGATGGTGGAGGATTGCGCAGTGCGGGCGATTCCGGATGATCGGGCGGGCGAGAGGCCGAAGGCGTATGTGGTACTAAAGGGCGGGTGCGGCGCTGACTCGGCTGCTGGACTTGATATCATGGGGTATGTGGAGAGGAACAAGGTGCGGGACAAGTGGATCAAGGAAGTCGAGTTTGTGGATGAGATACCGAAGAGTGCGAGTGGAAAGATCCTTAGGAGGGTGTTGAGAGACCAGGCGAGGAAGGGGGCGAGGGGAGTGGTTGTGCGGGCACAAGATGGCAGAGCGAAGTTGTAGTGGTGTTTGGATTTGATTGAAACGGATATTTTGGTGTGTTCTCTGACCAGGGAGAAGGGTTTCATTGTCGGAGTGGCTCGCCGAGTATTCTCAGCCAAAGACCCTGGGTCAAATCGACTATATACCTTACACTTCCAGGTGCACAACATGACCTGCCTTGTTCATTCACATTTTAACTGTAATCAGCTCTAACTACACCTGACAGGCACCGATATTGCTGGCACATTATCTCTTAAGCAGAACAGACCTGATTCCCTCCTATTACCGCTTTCCATCTCCCCTTCCGACTGAACCTCATACATGATGTCAGTGCTCATGGTATACTTGGTACCCTGCACATAGAATGCAGCAAGTCGCGGTGCTGCAAGATTAGAACCCTGCCTGCCTTTGGGTGGACGTCGAACCTCCTCTGGCCGTCTTGGTGAAGTCGACCTTGGCTGCTGTGGTGCCGTGTGAGATTTCAAAGTGTTCTATTGAAGGAAAGAAAGCAGGAGTAGTTCCTGAAGGGCAGAAGGCCCTTATATATAAGGAATACAGAAATATTGTATGTGAAAAGGACAGTGTTTCCTTCTCTAGCAATCCTAGCACAAAGGACAGATATGGGGTTTTGGTAGGATTGGTGACGTTGAGACCTCAGGGTGACCAGAACCCCTAGATTCCAACATGCCGTGGGCTGGCTCTGATAGGAAGTCGTTCGGGAGTATTACCGCGGCCATGGCTGCCAGGCTGCCCTCTTGGTGATCTAGTACCAAGGGATCTTGACCAGGGAATGAATGTGTCTGTTTGGGAGTCGGGGGTTGAGTGAGGGTGGAATGAACATAGTGTTTATGCTGGTTTCGATATCCCGCTGCCTAAGGTCGAATCCACAAAACGTCCGCAGCCGACTAATGAGTCACTAGAAGGACCATCCACGCTGCGCTACATAAAAGGGGAAATCTTACTATTATTCGGGTCAACTTCGCAATTATGTCCCGATTATTGGCCCGAGTGGATCTGACCATTAGGTGCACATAGATGGAGAGGTCTTGCACTTGGGAAGCATCAACTGTTCCTGCGGGAAATCGGTCCAGTGAAGGTGGTAACCGTGTCTGAGGAAGCCAACTGAGAAGACATTCGGTAAGATCATCTCGTGAAATTGGCAATCTGTAAAATAATCCTTTTGATTTTGAGTTCCGTAAGGCCATGGCGCCAAAAGGGAAGCTACACTGAACCTTCATAAGTCTCCGTACACTATCCGTTTCAGCAAGCAACAGTAAATTTATCCAATTAGAATAAGCGCACTGAAATAAGCATTAAAAGTGTCGTATTAGACCAGACATACTTATTCCTGTCTGCTTATTCCAATATTTCTAATTCTTAACGTGTAATCGGGAATCCTTCCAACATGGCGCGTACGGAGACTTATGAGGACTGAGTGTACGTGGCAATCTACCGAGTCAAGTAAGTCTATATACAGTTGGGGGCCCATGAGCACTAATCATCATCCCCCTTCTTCACAGCACCAAGGGACGTTGTTCCTTTCGATCGCCTCTCAGACTTAGTAGATACCACGGCGGGCCTTGGTAGGAGGGGGCCCCCCCGGGCCGGTCTGTCCGTCAGAGGTATCGACACCTCCATCATCATAGTGGTGAGCAGCAGCCTGGACCTGGGCGGTCTGGTTTGCCGACGAATCAATACCAATAGTGATCCAAGCCATCAGGCCGTCCTCGTAGGCGTCACCGAGCAGCGCGTAGTCCATGAAGATATCGTAGTCCTCGGTGGCCTCGCCAGCCGCGATGTCGTCGTCGGCGTTGGTGGTGAGCTCCTGCTCGTTAGCGGTGTACGGAGCGGACAGCTCGACGGCCGTGATGAGGCTCTGGTCGAAGAAAAGCTGGCCGATGTGCGTGGCGACGCCGCCTTCGTAGGTCTGGTTTGTCAGCACGGTGGCCTGCTTGGTGGTCAGGACGTGAATGTGGGGTGCGCGCCCGGTGTAATGGCCGGGGAAGATGCTGTCGAACGAGGCGCCGCCCTCCGTGTCGGAGATCTGGGCGCCGCGGAGGAAGGTCGAGTCCAGACCGCCCTGGCCCATACTGGAGACAACCGAGTAGACTCCGGTCGCGTTGCAGTGCCAGATGTCGGCGATCATGTCCGAGACGGGGGAGCAGTCGCTGACGTCGACGAACTCGAGCTCGAGGTGCAGGGGAACACCGGCTTGGCCCTCGGTGATGTCGGCTCGGACCAGCTTGCCTGAACCCAGTACGGCCCGATGGTGGTGTCCTCGACCAGGGCACAGGTGGCGTTGCCGCTGAAGAGGGTGTCCGCAGGGGTATCGAGGTTGTAGCCCTCGGCCGTCTGGTTGTGCGAGACGGCCATCCATCTCTCGAGAGCGGCCTGATCTCGCTTGGCGTGGATAGCCTCTGTGAAACGGGTACGTCATGTTAGTAGATCGGGCAATGTCTCCCATGGGAGCAAGCTTACTGTGCTCGATGCCGCGCTTCTGGCGCAGGGACTTAGCAGTCTCGGCCCGGCGTGCGATGGCGCGCTCCTTGCGAGCAACGAACGAGGGTTTGCTTGCGCAAGCGTTCAAGGCACGTGTCATCTTGTGGTTGGCATGGTGCTGAGCGGCGACCTCGCGCTTGATCTGTGCCGGGGTGTGCTTCTCACCCGGGTGGGCGATGGCCTGCCCGATGAGGGCAGAGGTGGCCAGGACAGCCGTGATAGAGCGAACGTTGACCATCTTGAAGGATTGGCTGACACTGGGCAGTGAAGCGAGAGAAGGCAGAGACCGTGAGACTAGAGAAGGCGAGGCTCAAGAGACGAGGTGAAGAGCGGTGGTGATCCTCCGAAACCGTGCTCCTCAAGAAGGGGAAATTGTCCCTTATTTATCATGTTGGATTCTTCTCGTCCAGTTGAAATTAGACCTCCTCCGCTTGTTTCTTCTGGCAAGAGCCTTGCCATACCAACCCAGAAGCCCATGGTTATTGATCCAAGCGATCCAGGCGGGTCGCGCGCCAAGGCAAGGGTTGCGCGGCCATGATCCATGAGCCATGAGAGTCCGTCAATCATGCTCCCCCGTCTCGCAACGCAGGTGCTCCCGCCAAGCCTCCACCTCCACTACTCGATGAAGGGACAGCGGGAGCGTTACGCGGCCCCGGCAGTCGCCCCTGATTCCGCTAATCAAGTCGAGGCTGGGGATGGCGAGGGCAGGGAGAAGGATGTGGAGGAGCCGCTCAGATCGCGAAACATCCAAGGTGGCCCCCGGGACTGTTGTGAATCAAAATATGCGGATTGGCCAGATGGACCAGATGCTGCATATTATTACTCGCAGTGCTGATCTCCACCCCGGGGAACATCGTCTATCACCCCTGAACAGGCTCGATCCGTCTCCTCTCCCCCATATCCCGATCTTGGCGTTTGACTTAAGCAGCTCTGCTGCTGTGCCCCCGGATGACGATCGCCACAGCCCTAGCAACCACTCGATGAAATGCCTCGATCAATGCAAAGACAGTTCGCGGAGCGTTGGACGACGCGTCTCCCTGTCGTTCCATGGAGCAAGCATGATCATTATACTCACATGCACATCAGAGTTGCCACGGTGTCTATGATCGAGGCCTAATAATTACCAAGTAGCGAGTAACTTGTGTCTCCTGTCTCTCATTTCGTCCCTTTCTTGTATCTTGATTGGCGGCCTCTGATTTCGCCATGAGAGCTTCGGGCCGTCCCATCTTCCCGCCTGGAATACAAATGTGGTGTCGCTCTCCAAGGCAAGTCTCATACAGCAACGACCCCTTACTCGCCGTTTCTGTCAAAGAGGATCTGGGATGCCATCGGAGTGGGCAGTGAGTGCGTCGGCACGTGAACCACTCCACAAGCCCAACTCTGAAGAACGGCGTTGTTGTCGATCGCTCAGAACCAAGTATGGCTTTGTCACGACTCGCAGAACGAGGACCGGGTCTGCCCCGTGAACTTCGTAAGACGAATTGCGTGCCAGGGTTACACTCATCCACTACCCCTTGAATGGTCTTGACCTTTCGTGAAGGGCAGTGAGGAACTTCAATGTGGAGTGCCGTCTTATTCTACACGCATTCCACCATCCAAATGGCGCAACAGCCCGCCCTACTGAGGCAAGAGAGTGTTCGCAACGTCAAGCGGCCACGATTATCTTTGCCTCTCACGTGGTTGGCTCGGGAACGTGTGGTGGTTGCGCAGTGAAGGCCGAGCTTGATTCTCCCCTTTCAGAGCGCGTGTGGCTTGGTCTTATGAGCTCCAAGTCAAAAGTAACAAATGTTCATTTCAGAGTGTAGTATTTCCGAAGCTCGACTGGACGGCCTAATACAGATGCATGCGATGTTCTATGAATCACGGTTGCCATCACACTCACCTCACCGTTTTTGCCGACATGGACTGTTCGTGGCTGATCTCCCACCTTACAGTGAAAGTATAATCAATTTAAGGTCTGCCGACGTCGTGAGGAAATGTCAGAATACGTGCTCAGTGGCGTATTTAGGCTTGTTGTGAGCAGGTATTACGTGCCATCCTGTGGGATCACATGTAGCTGTCAGAGGTCCCATTCCCACCCATTTAAGTAGGAAGGTACCCCATTCAGCTGCCCTTATTCCCCTTCCAATACAGACCATTCCTAAATCTCACAAAACCTTATTCCCAGAATCTTCACCGCCGTTCTCCGACGAGTCACTGGCATCTATATCGGAGCGATCCCCATGACAAGTACTCGTCTTTTCTAGGATCTACTCGAACACCGTCACTCCGGTGGTACCTTACTCGCGACGCCTGGGACAATCGACACCTTTGCCAGTACAATCATAACAATGGACGAAGCGAAGCAGGAAACGGCCGCACATGCCTTCGGAGATCATCCTTCGCATTGTGGGCTTCATGGTCGAATCAAACTGGTGGGATCCGCTACAGCTCACGACGGGGTAAGAAGACTATTGGGCGTCACATAAAGAAGATTGGGAGTTCTGTTCCTACCCCGAGGACTTCGGTCATGCATGGACATATACCCGCTTCGAGGCGTGGCCGCTGGTGATGGACCTAGCCTTGACATGCCGGCGCCTGTACCATCCCCCCCCTACTTCTCGTACACCCCCACATCTCGTACAGCCAAACCCCACCATCACCACCAAAACACCCCATTTTGCACCTACACGTAACTGAGGCTATTCACAATGTATAAATTTAGCAAAATTACTATAAGTAGAAGAATGATACGGCTTCAAAACGATATACGCGTTAAAGCCGTGGCATAAGGCAATAGAAAGTTATAATAGATTTAGCCCGAGGTCTATGACGACCTTGTTTCCCACACAAATTGTATGGAGGACTAGATCTTGCGCGACCGTAAATGATTCAAGAAATAAAATACTTAAAAATAAACAGCCTTGAAATATTAAATACTAACTTAGATAACTATATATGTACGAAGTTTCATATATGTAGACCTTATATATCAAAAGTTATGAAAAAGTGGTCGTTATATATGGTAGTTTTGTATGGGAGTGTGCGAGATGTGGGGGTGTACGAGATGTGGGTGGGGGATGGGTACCACATTATCACGCCAGAAATATACCGACGAGATACGATCCATAGCCGCGCCTCTGCCCTCCTCATATCCTCGAGGCAAGGCAACGTGGACCCTGTTCGCTGGTCTCTGGCCAACGGGGCAAATGCTGATCAGGAGGATCACACCATCTACATAGAACACCTGCCGGACGTCGACGATTTCGACGAAATTCAGTAGACACCCGAGGACCACTCTCAGAGGGTGTCGAGGTGCAAACCCACCATTCTTTGGTATTCGACACTTCTGCTTCGGCGTGGCTGACCGAGCTGAAAGGCGTCTCAGTTCATGCTCTCGAGACCTGGGATTGTCTCTGTAGCTGTACACCCATAGCCACTTCAACCCGCCACGACGGACCACGCCCGTATCACAAGGTCCTCGAGCTGATAAGCCTGACCGACAGATTCCAGGCATGTATAGTAAGATCGGATAGATTTCACACCCGTCTTGGCACCGCCATCCAGTCAACCTCGAGGCTGACCAGGCTCTTGTGGGCCGTGGCTTTCCAGCCGCAACATGCCAAGATCCAGGACAGGCAGGCTCGGTGATGGACTCATGCGCAGCCGGCTAACTGACCACTCACGGGTAACGAGGCTGGGGCGCACTGGCGATACTAACTCCAAATGAAGCAGAAGCATTCAGCTCTAGGGTCTAGGCCCCTGCGCTTGACGCCTCCTTGGGAGCCGCCTGGAGATTAAAAGCCTCTTATACCAGCCCGAGGGACCCTGAAAGAGGACTCCGTGACCATGCCTCCCATCTGATTTTCTCCCGTTCCCAAACCTCGTGAAGACGTCGGCCATACGCCATGAAGTCTCTTTTCTGCCTCCTCGCTGCCGCAACCGGAATAGCCGCAGTAGCGGAGAACCCGAACCGCCTGTACGAGCGAGACGCCGCAAGCACGAATGCCACGCTGAAGTCGATCAACCCGCAAGTGCTGAACCCCTTCGGCATCAGCGACCGAGCCCTGCAACCCTCCGACGTCCTCGCGCGGCGAAACGACTGCGGTGTCGGCTACGGTAAGCCAGCCAGCCAGCCAGCCCAGCCCATCACCCCCTATTACCCAATGCACCGGCCCCTACTCCTCCCGCTCCAGCAATAGCAATAGCAATAGCAGTCGACTAACAAACCCACCCGCCCCCGCCAGACGACTGCGGCATCTACTGCTGCATATCCGGCAGCCAGACCTGCGTCAGCGACAGCTCGGGCGTCGCGCAGGGCTGCTGCGACGCGGGCGAGAGCCTCTGCGGCACGAGCGGCTGCTTCGACGCCCAGACCGAGGTCTGCTGCAAGGACAACGACGGCTACCATTGTCTGCAGGCGCAAACCTGCTGCGGGACGGCGTGCTGTGATGCGGGATACACGTGCGCGGATGCGAATGCTGGGACCTGCAAGCTTTCGAAGAAGTCTGGCGGCGAGAAGATGCTGAGGTCGTCGACTGGGCTGTCGGGTTTGTTTGCTGCTGCTGCTGTCGTCGTTGGCTCGGCTGCTCGGGGGCTGGTGTGAGGGTGGGTAGGGCGAGGACTGTCACTGTTGCGGAGTGCTGGTATCAGTCTGTATCGGCCAAGAGTTCAGATGTTATTGGAGAGTAATGAGTATGTCGTCTGTAGCACCTTGCCAATCTAGCAGCTCAAATCCGTAGACAGCCACCGCACTGAAGCAGCGGTTCACACCATATCTCCTCACCCCCAGGTGAGGGGAAGTGTCGGCTGAAGTCCCAAATGAAGTTCACAGCGTATTGCCCAGTTCCATGCTCGTAGAGCTACAGGATGTGTGCAAAAAGATACAAAAGCTGAAAAAGGAATTGTGCGACAACCACAGGATTCGAACCTGTGCGTCCGAAGACATTAGATTTCGAGTCTAACCCATTAACCACTCTGGCAGGTTGCCCAATCATGCTGTGATTACTAATTGACTTATGAGTAAGAGAAATTATATTGCTTGAATGCTGTGGCGATGCAAGCGATGTTTTGCGGACTAGACACGCAATTACGAGTCACCGAAGGCAGTGGCGATGAGCTGGTCCAGGCCTGAAATGGTCGAGTGTTTGGAAGGGGTGGGGGCTTCACCGACCGGCCCCGTCGAGATCTCCGTCGGGTCGCGCAGGAAAATGGTCGAGTTTCCAAGGAGCGCCGCTTGAAGCTTTTTCATGACAAACAAGACTGGACCTATGGTTCTAGCGGTCGTAATGACGAGTTGAAGTTCTATTGAGCTCATGGATCGAAAGCTACCGTCGGAGGGGTGTTAACGTCAGGTCTCCAATCCACAACAACATGGTACCTATCTGCGCATCCTTTTTCATTAAGGAAACAACCAAAAGAGACGCTTTCCTTCCCATAAGGGATACCGAGGATGGCAGGTCGTCCGACCTCCGCTCGTCCGCCCGCAAAGTGGAAAATAATGCCTCCAAGTCCAAGAACAAAAATGAAAACGTACAACACCGGGGATTCGCTGGTCGTCACCGACCCAACTACTAATCCGGCGGTATCAGGCTTATTTGAGGCAGAGCGGACGGGATGCCAAGTTCTCCTAATCCTATGGTCGTACGTGTCAAATTGTGGTGTTTCGTGGCCTCATATAGGGTGACTCCATGGTTGAGCAACTTGTGCTCAGCCAAGGGGCAGAATAACTATGTCCACCACAAGTTCACTGTTTCTTTTCAGGAGCAAGTGTCCCTCGGGGGTGGGGAGAAGGTCCAATGCGGATGTCACTAGATTTGGCCATCATGGTATTCTCATGCCATATTGTGGCCCCAGATGCAAAGCTATGCGTGGTGACGTGTGGTGGCATGCCATCAGCTGTAGTGGCAAGAGGACATATTGTTAGGTGTGTGAGAGCGATAGCTTCCATTGTCTCAGCAACTCCGAGCCGCAGAGCAAGCTCATGCGCTGGTGCTGCAGTAGTAATTCTCCCACAGATACTCGTAGTCTTCCAGAATGCCACCCACGAGACTCGGCATCCGACGGCGCACCCCAGCCACCAGGCCTTTTGTGAAGTTCTCGTAGAAAGCGCCTCTCATCGTCCACCATCCTGCTGCCCAGTATCTCTTACTCCATTCCTCCTGCTCCAACGCCGTACTGCGGAAGCCGCCATCCCGCAGCTGCCTCGCCGTGTATTCAATGCTTAGACCGATTATCCAGGGCGCCCAAGACTTCTTGTCCTTGCTCTGTGATAGTGCCACGGCGTATATTAGCGGCGAGAGTATGTGTAGTATCTCGGCGGCCTGGCCAGGGCCCGACAGGGTGTTGAGGAGCTTGGCTGCAGGTTTGATGTCGTCGGCCGTCAGCACCCGACTCTGCAGGTACGATCCGACGTCGCTGGGGTTTGGCAAACTCGGCAGGCTGGAGCGCGTCCGCGGCATTGTCCATTCCTTCTCGTGTGCCGCCTTTGCCGACCCATTCATCCCCATCATAAGACTCGTCTCTTCTCCCATCAACTCGTTAAGCGCATCCTCCTCATTCTGCCCGTCATCGGTCGTTATCGGTTCTCGTTCGGGTAATGCTGGCGTAACCAGGGGTCTCGAGTTGGTGATTCGCATCAGCAGCAGCCGGCATAGAGCTTTGACTGCCTCTAATACTATGACCACCCGCCACCGGACCTTCTCCCCCCGCCGCTTGGCCGCCATCTCCCATAACAACTCTGTGTACTGGACAATCTGCAGTATGAGTGCTATTCTCCGATACAGTCTGCTCTTGGCGGTCCAAAACTTAGTGTAGCGCGCGTGGGCGCCAGGTATCCTCGCAGCGAGGTTTGGTATTTTGTTGACTGCGCCGCGCAGAACCGCATCATGGTAGAGCGAGAGAAGCTGGACGCCGGAGTGGAGGGTCTCGGAGGCTATTTCGGCGTCGCGGAAGCGGCCGGGGATGATATAGGTCAGTGATCGCAGAGCGCTCTCGATCTGCGATACCTGGTGGGCGTTCTTGGTGATGAAGTCGCTGTACATGTGCAGCCATTTCGGAGGCATGCCGAGGACGCTCTGGATCGGGTTTCGCGACGGGCTCGGGAGCGATGCGCTCCGTCGTAAAGGGTCTGAGGGCAGCGACATGATGTCAGGGTATCAAATAGTATTAATAGGAATTAGACCGAGCAGAAACACATTTCAGAGATCAGAGAAGAATGAGCGTGATCCATAAGGAACTGGCTTGGTCGAGCGGGATGTTCTTGGTTGGAGGGACACGGTGAGCACTGAGCTGTAATGATTCGCGTCATTCGCAGATAATCAGCGGCTGGCGATTCGGGCGGGATGACTGCAGGTGCCTCGGTTCAACGGCCGAACGCTCGGGCCACAGCGTTTGTAGCGTTGCTTTAGATGCATGTCTGGTTTATAATGATTCAGAGACTTGCGCACACTGAACACAGTTGTTCGACAAGCAGGTCACAGGTGAAGATGGCGAAGGGAACTACAATCGAGGCATGTCTTGCAAAATGCACGAGCCATCTGTCATTTGCTAGTTCTGTTTGCGAGTGACTCACACATGAGTCTCGATGGTTGAGTTGTCATTCACGAACACCGACCTCAGACCTGCACCCTTTAAGACAGATGCTGATGGAATAGCTAAGACACGAAGGCGAGGTCACGCAGCCGGACGTCTATAAACTTACATAAGAGCCCCCTTTCAACTTGCTCTAGGCTTGACCTTGACATAAAAGTCGACAGGCCGAAGATTGAACCAGCCATCCTGCTCGAGCTCATACCCCGGGTCCGCCATCTCAAAGTCGACCTCCGTGATCAATTTCGCCAGCACCGTCATGTTGAACTGCCAGGCCCAGTGCTTCCCGATGCACTCCCTCTTCCCGTTGCCAAACCACTTCTTCACACCCGCCGGCAGCCCATCAAACGCCCCGCCCATCATGCGCTCGGGCTTGAAGGCAAGCGGCTCCTCGAACACGGTCGGGTCGCGGTTCACCCCCGCGAGGACGACGATCACGGCCTGGTTGTGCGCTATCTGATACCTGCCCCCGCCCAAGAGCACGGGACTCTTGTCGTCGTCCTTGGGTATCGGCTCGATGTTGAAGCCCGGCGCCGCGAACGACAGCCGTAGCGACTCGCGCACGATGCCCTCGACGTACTTGAGGTCCGCCAGGTGCGCGTACGTCAGCTCCTCCGAGCCGACCACGGCGTCGAGTTCCTCGCGCGCCTTGACGATCACGTGCGGGTTCTTGAGAAGGAAATGGATGCTTGTCGCGAGCAGGGCCGGCGCGGTGCTGCTGCCGATGGGCATGCTGACGATCTCGTCGATGACCTGCGAGTCGGTCAGGGCGGTGCCGGTCTCGGGGTCCTGTGCGCTCATGAGCGCCGCGAGTACGTCTCTTCGTTCCGTGGGGTTCGCCTTGCGGTGCTGCACCAGCTCTGACGCGTACGCCCTCATTGTCTTGGTCGCAGCCTTGAACTTGCCCCCGTACCACAGCCAGTTCAGGAGAGCGGGCCTCGTCGGGCGCTTCATGGCTTCCGAGGTCGAGTCCTCCATGCCCTTGATCATGGGGTGCTCGGGGGCGTCGAGGCAATTGAGCTTCTTGCCGTAGAGCGTCAGGGTCGTTGCTTCGAGGTTGAGTTTGTTCAGCTCCCCAATTGCCGAGATCGTGTTGTTGGTGCCAAGGGTCTTCCATTTCGCAATCAGCTCGTTGGTCGCATCCCGCATCTCACTGAAGCGCTCCGATACGGATCGAGGCGTCAGCTCGGGCGCGATGATCCGATGTGCGATACCCCAGCTGGCTTCACGTTCGTAGGCTGTGAACAGAGCGTCGTGTACGGCGTATCGGATCTCGACTATCGGTCCGCCGACGAACTTGCGGAAGCGCTTCTCGTCGCTGAGCTCCTCGGCGAGTGCTGCGCCGGCAACGAAGACCAGTGTCTGGCCCAGCACTTTGATTTGGAAGATCTCCCCGTACTTCTCCGACAGCTTCTTCAGCGACGCCCACGTGTTGTTCGGGTCTATATCGAAGATATTGCCGAGAAGGGGTACGCCTGGAGGTTGTGGGATCGGGGTCGACATGCTGCTTGATGCTATTGCACGAGCTTGAGAGTCACGTTCTCCCAATCAGCTGGGCTTGCGGATTCAGCGGTTATAAGGTCGCTAGAGAAGCACCGGTCACAGTTGGCGATACACGAGAATTGCGCCATTCACGTCACAAGCATCGGGCAGCTTGCTTCCTCATGTCTCACAGCACGGGTGACCTACATGCATACACCAATAGGAACGATCCGGTATGTCACAGTCGAGTTAGATCAAGGAGGGCCTTCCCTATTGCGTCTATATAATTATTCGTCTTCATATCGTACCGAGATGTGCCTACACGATCTTCCCTCGACCTTCATCAGGTTGGTATAGATCCGTACAAGCGTACACGAGACCAGAGTCTGTCCGGGCTTCTGGGTTTGGACGACTTTGAAGGGAAATGATCTCCCAAGACCCATTTGCAATAGATGGTGAGACAGCAGATGCGCCTAGCCGCTCTGAAGAACGCCAGCCAGTCACCTTTGTGTAGCTCACTGCGGGAGTTGGTGTCCATAGCAAAGAAGCAGCTGGGCTGCACATGGTATCTAGTTTTGATGAAGAATATCGAGACTCACTAGCACGATTGACAACGATGAATGGTGATACCGTTTTGAACACATTTGAATTATATTTATGTCAGTCTCTTGCTCAAGTTCCCTCGAGCCTAGTATGGTGGATTGATGCGAACTTCAGGCAGCAGGCAGTAGGCAACCCACATTGTCAGCCAACGCCACTGAAGGTGGGGTGTAAAGGAGCAGACAACTCTCAGTACTACATCATCACGGACACCCTGAATCAAGCCATCTCGTTGCCTGGTGTAGTGTCCCGTCGCCAAGTGTACCTACGATCCGCGAGGAATCCGGGAGGAACCCGCAACGGTGGCTTTTCCTGGCAACGGCAGCGACGATTGAACCCGCAGCCGTCAGCATATTATGGGCACCATGGAGTGATTCATTTTTCAAAAACATCGAGATGTCCCAAAGGCGATTTTCCGCACGTCACTGGCATCAGCAACCCAGAACCGGGAATGACTATAAATTTCCCGGGTTGGAAACAGCAATTCAATGCATGGAGAAATCTCACTGCACAACGCAAAACTTTTCAAGCTCTCTCATCCTGTCCTCTTGCTTGACTTAACCTACTGTCACATCACCCGGACCCCTCGAAGCTCAACCGCGGCTTTCTCTTTTTCACGTCGACGCTCAAAACAAGGCCTAGCCTAATAAGATGCTGGTCCCGGTGAAGAAAAACAGCCATGTGCAGTGGTGCTTAATCAGCCTTTTGATGCTCCTTGCGAATCGGGTCAGTTTGTACTCCCTTTTTATGTCACGGTGAAGTCACTCTCTCTTTCCCCTTACCAGCAACTGTAGTCAAGCTGGATTTCCAAAACGATCTCCGGATGTGCATGCTTGGATTCATTAAAATTGCATCTAGACTAATCTTGACATGTAGGTGGCCGCACTACGCGATCTCACTGATCAGAATGTCAAAGATATCAATGCTGCGAAGAATGAGATTGTGAGCGTGACCAAGGAGACCGATCTGTTGTTATTCCTCGGCAACACAACCAGGTGCATTGCCTTCCCCCCTGCTGGGCTTGCAGCGGACAGTTGGCGTCAGAATATGCTGACTTGGCGCAGTTATTTCTACTATGCACTGAAGAAGGACGACAAACGGGAAGCGGAGCTGGTTCCTACCAGTGGCCGTTACTACGCGAAATACCTGTACCCCGAAGCGGAGGCCAAAAACTATCCAAAAGGGCCTGACGAGGAGCAAGAGGGCGATTTCTACGCAAACAACCCTGAACCAAAGCTAGGAAGACACAAGAACTACAACCGGGTTGTTCTGATCGACCACACTCTCCGTGGGGAAAGCGTTGATCAGTTCGTCATGCTGCTAAACCATATGCCCAAGATCAACAAAGTCGAAAGGGGCTTCATTAACATTGTTTCCCCTGAGATACAGCAGCAAATTGCGGAGAGAACGAAAGGTTTCGAGGGACCTCCGACACTGGTGGACACAATACACAAGGTGGTCATGAAGGATGACTCGCTCATTGATGGTCTTGCAAGAAGTAAATTTGGTCGACTTGCTATTGATTATACAGTGATGGAATTCGAGGAAGTCGACGCGGAAGACGCCCAAAAGGAGTTTGAGAGCAAATCGCCCCAAAAGAAAATGATTGCAAAGATTCGGGGCGAATGGGGCGATCCCGATTGAGCGGCCACAAGGGAAATATCCTGCTTGAGCTCTACCATAACATCTCCCACCCCCCTGCGGACCACCCCCCCGCGGACCAGCGCGTTCTGACCCACAAACTCGTAATTCACCAACCACCAGGATTATGGTGATCCACCATCTACACCATCACTTTTGCATCTTTTTTTTCACAAAGCACACTATTTGAATCCTTATCCACTACTGAATCTCATGATGTCATTTTACGACCGTCAAATAAAAGCTGAAGCCGCCATTTTAGCCATCCAACGCGGAGCTCCAGTCCGCTCGTCAGCCCTCGAATGGCAAATCAGTCGCTCGTACGTCAACCGACGAATCTCTGGCACCCCAACGCGGAATGAGACCAGCGCTCTCCAACAGGCTCTCTCACCGTATCTCGAACATAAGCTGGCAAGCTGGGCCCTGGGGCAAGCACGGCTAGGGTATTCTCCGGCGGTCTCTAAGTTCCGTCTCATGGCCCAGCGGATGCTCCATGCCACCGGGGATGCTCGAGAATTAGGGAAAAATTGGGCATCCAAGTTCCTGTCTCAAAACCCGGAAGTCAAGATAATGAAGTCTCGTGTTATCGACTACAACCGAGTGAATGGTGCTACAGCGGCAAATATCAATATTTTTTTCGATCAGTGTGACGCCCCTGACGTGGTTAACCTCATGCCAACACGCTGGTACAACGTCGACGAAATGGGAATCGCCCAGGGGGTTGGGGACTCCCATTGGGTGGTCTCCGAGGCCTCCGGCAACATGGCTATGAAGAAAGGGATCGAGAAGGGTGAATGGATAACTGCCCTAGAGTGTGTGAGCGGATCTGGTGAGACCTTGCCACCGCTGGTGATTCTTAAGGGGGTTAACGTACAAGCCCAGTGATTTAGCAACCAAAACGAGGACAAATTCACCGATTGGAGGTTTATTACGTTGCCCAATAGATGGACCTCGAATCCCATTGCGTTAGAATGGCTTCAATGTATCTTTATTCTTCACATTCGGCAGGTCCACGGCAACACATGGGTGGTTTTGGTGTGTGATGGCCACGACTCCCACACGAATAACGAGTTCCTAGCCACCTGCTTGAGAAACAAAGTATGGTTGATCTTTTATGAACCTCATTGCTCCCATATAGTCCAGGTGTTAGATGTGGGAGTCTTCAATTTGGTGAAGAAGAGGTTGAAGACCTTATTCCAGGAGATGCCCAGCGGCCGTCTAGGACTCAGGCCATCTAAGGAGGAGGTTTTGGAGTGCTATGAGCAGGCCCGGAAGGACACAATGACGCTCCTCAACATCAGAATTGCCTGGAAAAAGGCTGGGATTGTTCCTCGCAACAGAGCAGAGGCGTTGAAGTCGAAATATGTGATTCTGGAGGACAAGGGGGTGGCCAGGGCACGCCAGAGGGACCCTAAGGCTTCCGAGCGAGCCACAACACCAGATTTTCTCGAGATGGTAGCTAAAACCATTATCACAACACCCTCTGGAAGCCGGGCTTTGCGGGAGAGTGCTCGAAAGCTCGAAAGAAAGGACCCTTCCTTTGGGGGGCCCTCTGAGCGCTTGTTGGTGCGGAAGGCTGGCAAGGCCATGGATGTTCAGGCTGCTACCATTGCAAATCCACGGGCCAAATGTGAGCTGCTTGAGGCTCAAGTGGCTAAAAAGGCTAATACCACTCAAAAAGCAGTCAAACCAACACCAGGGGAACGATTCGTCACAATGACTAACATAAGGGAGGCCAAAATGGAGCTGAGGAACAGGAGGGTCTATAGGGACTCCGCTGCAGGCGAAGAGGTCCCACAAGAGGTCCCTGGTGAAGATTTAGGGTCGGAATCGGATTCTGGGAGCTGTATTATGGTTAGAACACCACGACCTTAGTGTATTTAGCAACTGTGGTGGTTGTAGATGGCTTCATCTGAATGAGAGTGGTGTGGTGTGGAGTGGTCCGTGGGGGGGTGGTCCGCAGGGGGGGGTGAGATGTTATAATAAAGAATTATATATTTTGCAAATTTAAATTAATAAAAGGGTTTGTCTCGTTAAAGGTAATTAATTAATATGAAAAGTTATATATATTTAAATATATAATAATTTAGTTTCCAGTATTATTATATGTTTAAAAACTATCTAAATCAGCGTAATTTTACGCGTTAATAAAATTATTACTTTAAATAAAATATTCTAAAATGTATATTAGGATTCGTAGTATTATTTATTAAGTCATAATATTATTTATTAAGACATAATTTAAAATGTAAGTAAACTATCAGTAATGTTTTTTTCGTTTTAAAGTAACATTATTCATTAATTATATTAACTTTTTAACTATTTAACATTATTATTTTTACATTACTATATAACTATTAATATTAAAGTAATATCATATTATGTTGGATCCATGTGATTCCACAGTCAAACCATCCATACAGAACCCACATGTATGATTAGATAAGAGATTAAATACCGGATTGTGAGGTCACTTAGCCAGACCTGCAGGTCCAGCTAGACTTCCCAATCCAACCATCAGCAACATCATAACCTTGACCCCATACTCGAGTATTATGATTGATCGTTCAAGCCTGTTCCAACATATTATAAATTTATAGTATTTACGTTCATATTAACCTATGATAATCTTATTATTAGGTTAATGACTAAGGCTATAAGGGTATTTATAGATTAAGTTAACGTAAATATTTATATTAATATCAATCTTCCGTGGTTATCCGTTGAGTTGTTTGGGACCCTGGGCAGGATACCATTGCTAGGACGTACCTCATAAAGCTAGTTGACGAGTCCATTTGACTTTCAACTATATATAGTGCTAGCTTGACAAGTCGTCATGGGGACGAATAAGTCAGGTGAAGAATTTTATAACCTGCTTCTTTTCTGGTTGCTGGGCAGAGTTGTGTGTTGTTGATGTTCTAGTGACATTTTCTCCGCCCACCCACCACACTTTACATGCACACCCATCACTCTCACACACGACAGTGCTGGTGGCAATTCTCTTGTGCACATCTTCACTTGCCACCTTACGCGCACCTAGCACGCTGATTCAGATTTAATATTCTTGCACATCACATCCCCGGCTCTCCCACGTGAGCACGCAGACCACGCTGCTGGCCATTCCTACCCTTAGAATGTCCGGCCGACCTCTTTCCGAAGGCGGTTCTGTCCAAAAGATTCGGGCCCCTCAAGTCGACAGCCCTCGTCCCCAAGGTGTAAAGCTCAATTTACCATCGGGCTTCTGCCAACTCAAGCTGATTCCCACCGGCTCCTGATGCACCAGCTGCTTTTGGACCAAAGAAAGACCAGGCTTGTAAACAAGCCGGACAAGATCATGGAGTATAACCTCATCTTTATGTATCAAGCAATCCTGGCGCTCCAGTGCGTGTTGTTTGATTACCCCGAGGGCGACGAGATGTGGGAAGATGTCGCTCAGGCGGTATTCCTCTCCAAGGATCTGGCGCCTACAGTCAGATTCATCGCATACCTCTTTGGCAAGCTCCAGTTCCGCTACCACGAGATGGTCTGCGCAGGAACGGCGGTCGCTGCCCCCAAAACTCATTTCTTGAGCCTCGTCGACGAGTTCATACGATTTTCGGTCAAACGAACTGCTCTGCACACGCCCAATGCGGCAAGAAAGAACGGGCGCCGAGAGCTCGCCGTGGAGCACGCGACACGGTTGTTGGGTAATCTCGCCAATTATCTCCTTGCTGTCCCGCTACCGAACGTCAAGCGGCCAGCAGAAAGCCTCTTGACCATAGAACTGGGAAAAGGTGCAGACCAGGGTCAGTTCCATCCCAATTCCCTCCTTGTATCTAGCTTCCTGCTTTTTGCCGCCTGACGCATGCAGTATATCAGTGCAGTTGCTGGGTCTGGAATGAGCACTCGCATACGCAGCAATTTGCACCTCTGATTGCTATCTAACACTTGTTCGAGCCCGATGATCGCCTGAGCAATGTCTGGATAGTCGGTATCATGAAGAATGTAGCTAACATGGCTTCTACGCAGTTCTCGAGTTCCTGCCGAAGAGACAGCAACAGTCTTAGAAGGACGAGAGTAGGTCTATTTCGAATAACGGTCAGAGAATTCAGGTTAGCCCCAAAGTCAGCCCCCAGCACGAGGGTGAGACCGCCGAGGGTGAAGAGGATAGTATGTTCATATTGAGCGCCGAGGAAAGGCGAAAAGGAAGGCCGTCAAGAAGGCCGAGAAGAGGGGAGAGACACCGAGTACCCCTGGCAGACAGAGACACGCCGACGTACCAAGCGCCGCCGCATCGGAGCAATTCGCTTACTTATGAGGTTGATTCTGGTACCGAGGTCGCTGTGCGGCCTATGCACAAGGAGCTGCAGAGCCCGAAGAACGAGCTGACGCCTGTGAGGACGGAGCTCAATGCTACGAAGAAGGATCTTGACGATACGAAGGCTGAGATGAACGACTTCAAGAAGGAGCTGATCGACACAAAGAAGGAACTCTCCGTTGAAAGATCTCTGCGTGTGCGACTTGAAGAGAGAATGTTCGCATTGGAGAAGGTGGTCAATGAGCTCAAAGGCTCGGTTTGAGCGTCTTCCTGCGCTGTCGATGTCACGATGTCGAGTTTATCGGGAATCTTGGTAAAGCTTCGCGAGCCCCGTTGCAGATTATGCGTTGGGATAGTGCCCGCATCTTGCGAGGGCCATATTGTGTACTTACCTAGGTAGTCATCTCTATGACTTGAGCAATGCTTAACGGTATCAATGAACATACATTTGACTGATGCTCCACGCCTTCTTTTTATGTGAGCGTGTTTCTACGTTACAGTCAGGCCAATAGCTACTTCCTTGCATTTGCTTTCCTGCACGTACACGAGAATTGGGCGGGAGAGGCGCCCAATATTGAACCTGCCAGCCTCCAGCTGCGTAGGTGCCGGCCGGGTCAGCGGGTATCTAGCGCCCGGTAAGCGGACGGGGCTGCGGGACGCGCCGAAGGGAGGCCGAGGAAGGCCCACCTGAGCGCCGCCCTTAGAGTGGATAGCACTACCTTAGCCCCGGGGCTTGGCCGTCGAATCATGTCATGTCACGTCAGTTCTCTTGTTTTCCTCCAACTTCACGACTCGGGCGCTCACCACTGTCATGCTTCGCAATTTGTTCAAGCCCATTCAACAAATTCTACGCCCTACAACTCCTCCCGCCATGGACGAACTTTTCCAGAAAGCCGTCAAGCAGAACGAGGAGATGAGAAAACCATGGGGCGCGGTTCCGTGGAAGCCGGACGAGCCGCATCCGCAGCCTCATTACTCCTTTGACAAGACCACGCAGACCTGGGCTGTACCGAAGGCCGGGTCGCCGCACCCTAATGATGGGGTGGACATCACTCTACTCGCACTCTACAGCTGGAACATTGACTTCATGTTACCGAACGCGAAGCCCAGGATGGAGGCTGCGCTCGCACATCTGGAGTCCATGATAAGCAAGGTGTCCCCGTCAACAGCGGTCGTGATCTTCCTGCAGGAGTGCATCGCGGAGGACCTCGTCACCATCGGCGAAAAGGCATGGGTCAGGGACCGGTTATACGTGACTGACGTCGATAACTCCTTTTGGGCGTCGGGGCACTACGGCACCACAACCCTGGTCGATCGCCGCCTGCATATCACATCCTGCTTCCGCGCACATTACGAGAAGACGAGGTTTGAGCGCGACGCGTTCTGTATGGACATATCGCTTGGTAAAAGCAAAGACAAGACCGTTCGTCTGTGTAACACCCATCTCGAGTCCCTCGCGATGGAGCCGCCTTTCCGCCCACCGCAAATGCAGCTGGTATCGAAATTCATGCACGCCAAAGGTATCCACGGCGCGCTGGCGGCTGGAGACTTCAATGCTATACAGCCGTTTGACCAGACCCTCCATTCCGACAACGACCTGAAGGATGCGTACCTGGAGCTGGGTGGCGCGGAGGGCAACGACGAGGGCTACACCTGGGGTCAGCAGGCGGCGACCACGCTGAGGGAGAGATTTGGCTGCTCGAGGATGGACAAGGTGTACTTCTGCGGCGGCCTGAAGCTCGAGAGCTTCCAGAGATTTGGCGCGGATATCCAGCTGGCCGAGCAGGAACAGAGGCAAAAGCTTGAAGGTCTCGGCTTTGAGAAGCCCTGGATTACGGATCATTTGGGAGTCATGGCAGAGGTCAGCATAGTAGAATAGCAATGATACTCGTTCGAGTTGTGTATTGTCTCTACAGTATGTACCAAAGGATGTAGTCGGGTTGAATCTCATCCATGTGCAGGGTCATAGTAACGTACGCCACAGGGCACACACTCCAACATGAGAGCACCGGCATTGATTTTGCCCCTTAGCCCCAAGCAATGCAACAATGGGTGGTTGTGTTTATCATTTGAATTGAAACAAATTTCTGCTTGCCCGGGTGTCTGGTGGAGTGGGTTGATCGCCACGAAATCAGAAACCTGTTGAAATGGGGGAACTTCAGTTCGAGTCTACCTCTGACTAGGTATCCCAGGCACTTTAGGAGTCTTGTGCCCATTATGCGTACGCACATTCTCTACCCAATCTTTGAACCCTCTCTATGTTTCCAATAATTATTTTTATACATTGCTGAATTTCTTCTGACAAACCCTTATTGCTTCTTTTGAACCTTACATTGCTTGAGCCTTTTGTTTGTTTACCCATTGGATTTCCCCTTCTTCAGCCCGTCTTTACCTACACGCAACCCAGCCGAATCTGTCCTGCACCACCTGGCCTTCTCTCAGATCACTTCTGCTCCCCAGCCAATCTGGCACTTGGCTGCGTCTATATACCCCAATTTCTTTCTGCCGGACCAGTGCGTCTTTTCGCGTCAACACAGAAATCCTCCTGTGTTCTCGTGTCACTTGCATCTTCCGCACTTGCGCAGCCTACCCTCCGCGCGACTGTATGCATTGAATCAATTATCGCAACTCATACTGACTTTCGGACCGCCGGTCATCCTCCTCGCGAGTGCTGTCCGCTATTCACCTGCCGTCCTTTCTGTGCGACTGCCTGTTAGTCGGCGTCTTGCTCGCTGCGTCAGTCCGCTTGTTGTTTCAGCCGTCATCTTCGCTGTCAGTATGCTTGTCAGTACGTTTGTCAGTACGTTTGTCAGTACGTTTGTCAGTACGCTTGTCAGTACGCTTGTCAAGAAGAAGAAGAAGAGTAGGAGGGAGACGAGCTGCAAGCTTACGTATGAGACCACCACCGCCAAAAATGAGCACAATGAAGCGGAAACCGACCATGAACGCGATTTCAAACTACCATCCAGCAAGCTGGAAACGGAACATCACTCAAGCCATATCAAGTCCCCGAGGCCATTTGGAGCGCCATACAGAGGAACGAGGCATTTCACCGCTTGACATATACACAGTCAACCTACCCGTTGCCTCCGGCACTGGATTCATGATATTCCCCCTGAAGCATGTCTTGTAACGAGAGTGGGCCGCCGTTTGGCGAACAACTCAAGGTGGCGAACAACTCAAGGTGTCGGCGATCTGGCTCTAAACTTGGCAACTTCAATCCCGGCTTGCATCTGCGACAACCCGATCTGCGTAGTCAAGGGTATCTACATGTTCTTTTCACCCAAGATCATCGGGCTTGGGAGATTCTTCGGAAGCATTGCAATCAGGTTGATCAAGTCCATCCAGGATGGAATCAACCCCCGAAGCGTCGCCGTCTGAGCATCCTGCCGTTCTCACAAGACTCGGAAACGGACGCGGAGGCAACGGCCGACATGTCTACAAAGACGACCGCGGTTGTGCACCCGGCACCGTGTGCCATCCAAGGCACGCCAGAACGCCGATGCGGACGACGCAGAGAAAATTCGAATTCTAGAAACGCAACTTGAAATGGTACTTCCATTGCGAATGCGTGCAGAGGCGCGAGCTGCCGAGTTGGAACACATGTATGACACCGTTCGAGGACTGGTGTCTGAAGTATACTCTGTCAAAGGGTAAAGTGTTTATGTAAGCAGGGGTAAATGGGTCGGACCATTAACTCCTGGCATTTTCTGGACTATTGGTGAAACCCACCAATTAGATTTGTTACCGACCGAAGCTTCAAGCTCCCCGCTGGCGGTGGTCATCGTGATGTACGTTTGTGGTCTATGCCGTCATGACTGCCTCATCTGTGGTTGGAAATGCACCTTGAGGGCATCTGTTGATCGAGATTGTACTGTCTGTTTTATAATAGCTGCTGTTAGCTACACTGTTCGAGCACTTCTCCCTCTTTTCTGTACACCCGAGACGTCATGATTGCCCCAATCGTTCGAAGCTTCTCCCACCATAAGAGGCTCATCTCCAGCACCATCCTCCGTAGTGTTGCCTGCTCTTCATTCAACCTTCTCAATTCAACACCACACTCGATACCATCGACCTACTCACATACCCAATTACCCAAGTCGATACCCAAACAATCCGTCAGAATGGCTTCCAACAGCGCCAACGCAGCAATGACACGAGCCAAGCTCTTCGACCTGAAGGGCAGAGTAGCTCTGGTCACCGGTAAGCACAGAACCTCCGAATATTCCTTGATTAGTTTGGCACATGGCTAAATTTCCTACTTCACATAGGTGGCGGTTCTGGTATCGGTCTCATGGCGACACAAGCCCTCGTTTCCAACGGAGCGAAGGTATACATCACAGGACGTACCAAGGAGAAGCTCGAGAAGGTAGCAAAGCAGTACTCGGAGGGCAAGGAATCGATCATCCCGATTGAGTGCGACGTCTCGGACAAGAGCCAGATTGCAAACCTCGTGAAGGAGATCGAATCCCGCGAGAAGTGCCTCTGCATTCTCGTCAATAACGCCGGCATTAGTGGCAACACGCTACAGACCGAGGCCGAGTCCGCGTCGGAGATGAAGAAGAATCTCTTCGACAACGACAAGTCTACTTTCGAAGACTGGACAGACGTGTACCGCACCAACGTCGCCCAGATCTACTTCATGACAACCGCCTTCCTGCCCCTGCTGCAGCAGTCTTCGGAGCGCCACCCGGGTTGGTCTGGAACTGTGATCAACATCTCGTCGATCAGTGGCCTGGTCAAGACCGCTCAGCACCACTTCCAGTACAACGCCAGCAAGGCTGCGGCCATCCACCTGACCCGCATGCTGTCCAGCGAGATTGCCGGCAACAAGCTGAAGGTCCGCGTCAACTCTATCGCGCCGGGTGTGTTCCCCAGCGAGATGACGACCGACGGCAGTGGGGAGGACCAGAAGAGCTCCATCCCGAAGGACCAGTTCGAGGGCAAGGTGCCTGCCGGTCGACCGGGCAAGGACGAGGATATGGCGCAGTCGATTCTGTTTTTCGCCGCTAACCAGTACCTGAACGGTCAGACTGTTGCGGTCGATGGTGGGTACACCATCATGGCCGGAGAGTAAGGGATGACAGCCGAGCAGCGTGTGAGGTTGTGATGATGCAGGTGGTGCGTGCTCTTTTTGGTAGCTGAAGGTTGTAATATTAGGTAAAGGCAATCAATGCCGCCTCGGACATGCACATAGGGCAGTCCCAATCAATGAACAAAATTTCAAACAGAATCCCAACCTTTCCAGACTAGTCCTACATGTGAATTAGGTCATGCGTTGTCCTTTTGGGTCTTTCTTTCACACCGCCGTCAGAAATTGCGGCCATGACGACCGACCGCCCCCCCACCACCGACCGGTGCCAAGCCAGCCATAGACGCATCGTCGGAGACTCCTCCGTCGACGGATCTTCTTGAATTGAGTTTAGCATCTGCGCAGGCAATCAAAACATGAACCCAATCTAGTCGTCGCGTCCCGGTAGTCCGGCACGCCCGAACGCGTTGCTGCGCCTAAGCTGGAAGTTCGATCAATGAGGGCTCACCTGGGCTTGGGCTTGTCAGCTAGCCTAAATCAATCGATTGATACTCGATTTTGGTCGGGGGCAGGCAGGCCGTTGAGACAACGTCTATCAAATGCTACAAAGCGCAAACGAAGAATTGGACCTCCATCAGATCAATACCAGGCGACTGACTACATCGCAGCAGTAGGTATATATGTAGCAATTCAACAGTGGTTCAAGCAGGCATTTTATTAGAGTTCCAGAATCTCCGCCAAGCTTCCCCCATGCATCTTTCTGCCTTTAACTCGGTGTCCCTGCGTCCTTGTAGATTAATAACATGGATGGATGCACTAACATTATTCATTATCTTCCCGAAATAGTGCATTTGGATCGTGCAGCGGCAGCGGACGGGCGGGAGATAATGTACTGCTGGACCTGCATCACATCCATGTATACGGCGTAGGAGCAGTAAGGATCATGAAGTTGAATGTGACGGTACTAGGTAGCTGGGGTCTGGGCTGGGGGGGCCGGGCCTGGTCGGTCGGACGGTGCATGGGAGGTTCGTGAGGTGAGGTGACGCCACGATGTCGCCAGAGGCCACCGCGATACCTACTTGGTCATGAGCCCAAAGTGACGACATTCGCAAGTTGAAAACAACCGATGGCCTATGGCACTAAAATAAGCCCCTTCACCGTTCGGCAGAGGGATCCAGCGAGACTGTTTTTAAAGTATGGTCCGTAGGGCTGGGTCTACGACGCGGGATGGACGCCGGTCGCGTTGCAACGATCAAATGTGGAGACGACTACTACGCAGGGCGACGGGAGCAGCGGGGTGGCGCGCGGATGGGGCGATCTCTTGTGATTTGGACTCCGTTTTAAGTTTTGCATGTGGAATCCCATCTGCCAGAATGCCATCCATGTCACGATAACGCTATCGATAGCGACGAGTGCTGTCACGACTTGCACTCGATGCGCCGCATTGAACCTACGTAGCTGTTGGGGAGACCGGGCTTGGTTCCAGTCACATGGGCTAATTCAAGAGGAAGATTGGGTAATAATATCTGTCTGTTATTCATTGAGCACTATGATAGGCTCGAAGATGCTACAATCCTTCTCTACCTAGGTAGCGTGATATGCAGAACGAATTCTCCTGCCCCGAGTCGCTACATCCATCAAATTTCGGTGATCAAAGAGGCGTCTCCCTCAACCACTATAAACAAAATCGCTGTAGAGATGCATTCCGCTACTCTCTCGTTCTGTCCCGAATATCAACTCAAATCAAAGTGTAAGAAGGCCCATCTCAATCTCTTCTGAGCCAATGAAACGCCATCCGTGATGCAGATGAATCCTCCGTTGGAGAGCTCAGCCTGATGAGACCGAAGAGAGCCTCAAGCCGACCGACTGAGGTGAGATGAAAATGTGTGTATGTGGAGTGGAGTGACCTTTAGGGGAAGGAATCTGCGCACTCCGGGTATCAATGTAGGTGTATCCGCTGATGCTGTGATGTACCGAAACCATACCACACGGTGATGATGTGTTGACGCTGATGAACCATTAAATCAAATAGCCTGAACCGAGGCCGACAAAGACAAGTGTGTATCGCTGAGGCCATTCTGGAGGCGAAAACCGACCTCCTGAAAACATGAAAAGCCCTAAACTGAAGGGCGTAGATCGCGGGGGATGTAGTACTGTATGAGACCGTGCAAACTCATGAGTTCCGTTGAGATGAAGACGTGTCTGTTTAGTCCATGCCTGATGGACCACGAATGCGACCAAGAGGTGTTGCCTCAAATGTAGCGCTCGACCCAGGTCTTGTCGAACCAGCCAACCTTGTCGAATGCAACCCACAGCTGGGAAGCTTTGTTGACATCTATCTTGCAGGCTTGCTGCGCATCGGTTCTGCGGAACTCCTTGCCATTGCGAAGACTTTCAAGGCGTCTGATGAATATCCTTCGCTTGCTTGCCAGATACTGGGCACAAGTAAGACGCAGATTACACGCAACGGCAAGCTCGTCCGCGTGCAGCAAATTCCGGTGGGGATCCTTATCGAGATCGACTGGCTGTCCCTTCCACACCACCTTCAGACTATTTGGCTTGTTCGGGAGACTGTCCGTTGGTGGGCAAAAGTCGTGAAGTGCATTGAAATCCTCATCTGCTCGAGTGGTTGCAGCTGCACGGCGAGACGAAGGGTCAGGAGTTTCGCTGGCCTTACGCTTGGCCGGTTCTCTCGATGCAGTGGCTTGCGGTGGTCGAGAGCGAATGGCGCGCGGTCCTGTGGGCTTCGCCTTCGCTTGCTTGGTAACCATTGGCGCCTTTGTCGGGCGAGGACGCTGCGCTTCTTTGCGAATTTGCTGGGGTTTGGCTGGAAGAATAGGCTGAAGCTTGGACAGCTTGTTTCGTGATGCGCCCGCCCGCCTATCTGCGAGTAGCTGAGCGCGTTCTCGCTGCAGCCAGGACTTCGGGTTCTCGCTGAATTTCTTCATGACCTCCGACCGAAAATGCAGGACCAACTCATATTCCTCCCGCTTCGGAGGTGTCGCTTCTTGAAAGAGCTCCGCAGGCCGAGCAACAACATGATGGTCCACGACTGCCTGGGCCTCGACCGACTCGTCCCAGACGAACAGCGGCTGTTGTGCAGGCGAGTATTCAATACCTTGCGCAGGGTAGAGAATAGGGTCTCTCATCGGGATGACCGAAGACGATGCGACGGAGAGGGCATGATCGTCTGTGGTGGTCGCAGGAGAGATAGGCGGCGACAACGGCGGAACCACTGGTCCTGGGACTCGTCGCATGTCGGAAACCGTATGACCCATTGAATTCGCCGTACCGCTTTGCGAGAACGAGTCGAGTTGAGGAGGTTCGGGAGGTGACATCAGATTGCTGATGTCGAGAGGTTTCTTGGACTCTGTGGCCATTGACGAGCCGATTGGCGCCATTGCAATATCCTTGCTGGTATTTGGAGGATAAGTCGAGAATTGTAAAGGTGAGGGCAGAGTAGTCGGTTTATGATCGCCAAAGGCCATAGATAAACCAAAGGCAGCCAACTACCAAGTTGGTTTGTCAGCGATGGTTTGGAGGGCTGCAGGCAATGCGATGCGGTGCAGGTGCAGGTGGCAAAGACGCAGGCAGAAACCTAATTGCGACACAACTATGAGTCAATTGCTGAGTGGTAGCTGTGGCAGACTCAGTTGCAATCATGTGCAATGTGGCGGCCGCGCTTCTTATAAATTGGTGCTTGTGTTGGGTTGGGTTGACTCGATTGGATTGTCTGTGGGTTGGTGTTGAAGGTGTTGGAAGTGAGGGAGGGATTGATGAATGCGTACAATTATGGGCCTCCTTAATGTTGGAAGTTAGAAGGCGAGCAGAGTTGGTTTCGGAGGAATCGGTAGAAATAGGTTTCTGTTGGTTCCTGAGGCTTCTATTGTGTGCTGGTCCGAGAATGTGAATCATCCAACAATGGCAGCTGGACAATGGGGATAGGCAACCAAGATGTATTGTTGCTAGTAGGAGGCGACACATGCAATGGGCTGCGATGCTAGTTATCACCATTGGTGGGGTGACAAATCCAATTGAAGGCTCGATCAGAGTGGTCTAAGCACCAAGTCGGCAAGGGAGCACGGATGATAGATAATCGTAGAATCACCACCGCGCGTGGGTGGCAAATGGACGGGGCAGACAGTTCGATGCGAGTCGGCGTGACTGGAATCGCGAAGAAGGATGAGAAGAGGAAGAACGAACAAAAAGGTGTGGAAACTTGGGACTATCCAGCGGACGGATAACGCTCCAGTAGATGTAGGAGAAGGAAACTTGGGACTATCCAGCGGACGGATAACGCTCCAGTAGATGTAGGAGAAGGAAACTGAGGATTGTCACTGGCATCCCGATTAACGAACCTTAACCTGGTGACTTCAGGTATTGTTTGGGCTGTACCTCGTGCGGACAGCAGACGTGGATGGCTTCTGGTGGTGGTGTCGTCGAGGAGTCACACTCCTCCCCCTCCACGGCCAGAGTGCCCCTCCAGTAGTCATCAATCAGATAGGCAGCCATGGCAGGGCCGGGGCAGACGCGGCGTGCGGGCGCAGGGATCATTGGCTTTCTCAGGGACCGGCCCTGCGTGAGTGTTATGAAGGTTGTCTGTCATGTACCGCAAGTACCGCAGTGGGAATCGGTACTTGGGGAATCGGAGCAGTGACTCCGTCCGCCTTGGGCGCTGCGTGCCACGAGTGAGCCATTTGTGGACCTCATGCCCTTGGGAGAGACAGCACCACATGTAAAACTTAAAAGTCAATGCTCTCTCTCTTGTCCAACGTTGCCCAAAACCAACAGTGAACTTGATAAGGGTACGAACCTGCCGGGGTTGACTGCATTCTGCTTGTATGCTCTGCTGCTTTCGGCCGCATTCCTCAGAGTATCAAAGAGGGGTCGAGAATGTCGGTAAACTACCAACTTCATGCCAGGCTGAGAAGACTCAAGGCCTGCATTAGCAGGTCCAATCCAATGCCAATGCCATGCCAGTGGGCTTGTAGTGTGCTCGTAGCACCTAGTGGAACGGGACAGCGACACCGAGCTCGAAGAGTGACCGCTTTGGCTCAGCTTCAACGATGAGGATCGTGAAATGGATAACGCGGAGATGTGGCAGTGTGGGGGCGGATGACAGTCAAAGAAAGCAGAGCAGAGGCGAGAGGGGTGACACTTGTCTCCAGTGCCTCCTACATGCACTTCATGGACCGGCCAATCAGTGGCATGTCTGATCCAGTTCCCCAGCTTGACGCCCGACATCTTACCGCGCACCTCATTAGGTACGCACGATAGGCAGTCATACCTGAGCTTATTCGGCCGGGCGGCTCTCCGTATTGATACGTGTTGATCCGCCTCGAATTGCACGTCGTTGCGAAACAGAGACGACGAATCCGGGCAACACACGCGCACCGAGGCAATTGGTGTATCTTCCCCTCTCATTCTTGAGAGAGCTTATCGGCCAAATGACAATGAGGTGATATTGTTTGTCGAGAGAGCGTTCGCGGCACATTGCGTTTGGTATGTGAGGGTAGGCCTCGAACGTCGCGCCCTGCATTAGACGCCAATGGCACCATCGCGTTGCACAGGCTAGGGTGCTGCGTGATGCCCTTTCTAGGTATGGGCGAACGTTATGATATCTCGATTCCAGGTTCGGCTCGCTGGTTGAGAACCAATGTCGGGATGCCATGGTCTTCGCAACAGGCGTACAATACCGAGTGGCAAAATAAACGAAGCAATTACAACCATCGGCAGGCTATAAGATCGAAGTTGAGCTGTATCTGACATGTCACCCTCCTGTCAGCCAACAAAGCTGCCAAGCTACAAGTGGTGCAGAAGTACCTAGGCAAACTACTAGCATCATGTACGAATCCAATTGGTGTGGGGACAGGACCTCTACATCCATATGGGCCAGGGATTCGTTGAATGTAGCAGCAGGCAGCCGGGGAGCTGTAGGTAGGCAGGTAGGAGGTATGTCGTCGATAGGGGGAAAGCATAGACAGAGGCAGGCTGGGATACGGGAACGATCATCGACAGGGGTGAACTTGATGACTGGTCGTCGCATTGCCTCGTCCTTTGGCAGGAAGAATGCTGCCGTGCCACGACTGCCTGCCGTAGCGAATGCCTACTGCCTAGAATCCGGGAGCAACCGACGGGTTGACGGCGATGCTCAGTCGTCGTCCAATGGCAGCCTACCGCTATGACAACAAGGCAATTGCATTGGTATCCAGGCTCTGCAGTGTCAGACGGAGGACTGGCATCAGAGTGGGCGGAAACAAAGAGAGTCCGAGAGAGTTCGACGGGCGGATAAAGCGGGTAGCACAGGCTCTCGGGAGAATACGCAATGCCATTGACCGATCGCGAGCTGAGAGCAGACGAACTGCTACGGCAAGCAGAGCAGAAGCCCGACCGAAACAGCGTGTGGGCTTCGCCACCTCGGAGAAGTTGAGGAGGAGCAGGAGCAGAAGGACGAGGAACAATAGGGCAATTGGCCAATCAGGGCTGCGAATTGAGTTGGAGCTGTGGGCTGGATCTTCTTCTTCTTCATGCGCAAGCCCGGTGAGTCATATCAGTCATAGCAGAGCCCGACCGAAGCCAAGAAGGAGGTATCAATAGTAGAGGACTGACATTTCGCAAAGAGATCGGGAATGATTGCACAGCGAGGGAGAAAATTGTCGTGACAGGCGACAGAACAACGGCAATAACAGGCAACTCCTTCCTCTTCATTGGCTGCTGGCAGGCATAGTCAAAACACACTGGTCTCCTTTGAGCTTAGCGCTATCATATTTTATCGATAAGCTGCTATCGCCTACCCCTTTGCCTCGTTTTGCCTGATGCTGCTAGCAACCGCTTGGCAGGTCTCTTTTCCTTGCGTAAAGTACCTCTACCGACAGCCTCCATCTCCGGTACGTGGCCCTCGAGCCACTCACATCGTGTGTCATCTGGTGAAGTCACAAGCCACCGACTGCAACCACCACAACGGGGCGTGCCATTAGGCCGCCCACCTGGGTTGATAAGGTACTCCAGATTCCTGATCTGCCCGAGGATGTCGGCGATAACCATAATGAAACCACACATCTGCTTCCTATCCTGCCAGCTATCGATAGCGAGCCAGACGGCTGACGACATCGGCGCTGCCGCCGCGAGGACACGACATGGACGAGACGACAACAGGTATGACATCTCACTTCAGACGGATGTAGGCGGACATGTCATGGTCAAAGTCCAGTGGCCGCCGTCATCCTCAATTGGAATGTCCGCCCCCCGACGGATCCGGCCCTGCCGCTGCGTCTCGAAGCTGACCCATCCTGCTGGAATTACGCGAGAAATGCTAATAGATAACCGCTTCTCTGACGTTCGCGCCAGCTACGCCTCTAGCTGCTTCATGTCCCTACATTTAGCACTGCGTGACGTTGGCGCTAGCTCAAGATGGAGGTGAGGATTCGTAATAATAAGGTTCGCGAGCGAGCCTTCGTGCAATTTCGTCGCAGAAGACAGAGTAAGACATTGACTTTCGATGGCGTCAAAGGCAACGGCTGTCCTTCGGCAACCTGAAGCTAATCTAGGTCCGTCAGCTCTGGTGCTGTTACATGGTTTAAAATCTAACGGCAAAGCCATGTACGACAAAATACCTTACCCTTCGACGAATCGGTCCCGGGACCTGGTTTCCGATCGCCTCACCTGGTGGTAGGTAGGACGGCTCGCCCCATTGAACTCTACCTCATGAAGCTATCGCCACAGAGCGTACAAGCCTGTGGACCTGCGGTGTGCTGGGATTCCTCGACCGGGACACAAAGCACAGAACGTTAAGAGCGCGCGGTGCCAGTCGACATTCACGGACGCCTAGCTGAACACTTCAGAGCACCTGTAGTTCCGTTTATCTGCTCTTCTCGGTCAGTAACGCGCCCCCTTCCCCGTTCAAGGGTCTTGTCTTACTCCACCACCATTTCCTCATATTCGCTTCCCCTCCGGTTGCGCCTCGGGGATGTACCCACCACATGATCTCGGCGGCACGAGCCTTGATGGACCGGGTCGCTTAGATCCGCGACAACGGTCCCACCCACATAGTCTGGAGGGCGTCGTCTCTCTTATCGTTCGTTATCTGTGTCTTGACAGACACACCTCCTCCATCACCAGCTCCCTGATCACGCTTCACGGATAGCAGAGGTCACTTGACCCTCACTTTCCATCAACCAAGACATGGGCCGTGGCGGTGATACCTCCAGGTAGTCATGCGCCACAGTCGTCGTTTCGTGATGGTGTGCAAATCCACTTTCACATGCCACCCCGTCCCACCTCTGTGCGAATGCCTCCAACTCCTCCTGATGACTGTCTAGAGATGTTCGTACCCCGCCATTCATTTGACGTTCCATCGTGCCGCGATAGTCCGCCCAGCTGCATGCGTTATCGATAGACTATCGTACCCCTTTCACCCCTGTCTCACCCTTCTTATCGTTCTGTTATCGCAGCATCATCAATCCCTTCTTTCTTTGCTCCCATCATCAGTCGTTCTTTGAAGGACGACGATGGCTCCCGACTGCATTTTGTCAGCCGGTATCATTGATATCGGCATCCACCTGGAACGCCATTGAGATGGCCACCCATGACTTCCCAGGGGCATCTCTCGGGACTGTCATGAAGGCAAATTACCTACGTTGCAACCAACCATCCCACCGCCGTTTCTGGTTTCTTGTCAGCCTGCATTGCAGCTTTGGTCGCCGTTGGTTCAACTTCGCATAACCCCATTCCAGTCTCTTCTAGGCCGGCCCGCTGAATCGAAAGGGGCCCTCTCATATGGCGTCGAGAGGCTCTCCGGCTGTCTACTCCATTGTGAAGTCATCGCTCGAATGAGGTCGATTTGTCGATGATCAATTGCCCGCCCGGTAACTACTTGCGACGTGTAATCGAATGAGGTCAAACGGAAATTTGTCCTATGCGTTGTTCCCGCGCCACACCTCTCACCGTACCACATCCTTGGCTGCCCGGCACTGGCATTGCGGCTCGAACCTCGATGCTCTACGTAACTCCTCTCACCGACGTCCTCGGCCAATCTCATACCCGGTGCAAGATGCCCAAGACAGCATCTGTCAGTATTTCGGTTCGCAGGCAGGTTGTACCAAACAATGAACCGTTTGCAAATCCCTGGTTGAGTCGGCATGAACCAAACTCCCATCTTATTGTGATATGCGCAACCACCTCCTGGATTCACATTGGCTCAAACTCCGTTTGGGTTTCTACAGAATATGACAAGTAGGGTCGCACCATGGCTCTGTCGAGTCAGATGGTTGTTTTGGGAAGGAACCATGGCCTAGGAGGTCCTCGTAGGGAAACTACATACTTGAGGTCTCCTCCTGCCGTTGTTGTGCGCTTTATATTACGCAAATCTTCAACCCACACTCTGCGTTAGCCGGTGGGCCTTCTACTGCAAACGAATACCATATTTGCGGAGACCACGATACCTACCTTACCGATTGCCCGCAGACCTCATCCAACCCCGACCCGAACGAAGCAACGGACGCTAGTGACAAAGGCCTGCCTCCTCGCGAGCTTCGCTGGCCGAGATCCCGTTTCACGATAACCCCTCTGCCACGTCACGAGCAACTTGGAAGTGGCATCACAGACTGGGACCAATGGCAGCATCAAGCTGGACCAGCACGCTCTACCCATCCGACCTGTTCGTCGAGGCGTGCGGCGCCATCGTCTTCGACACCTCGAAATATCCGGAGGAGGTGTGCCTGCTGTACGACTTAGAGGACGACGAATGGCTACTGCCCAAGGGCCGGCGGAACTGCAACGAGACCCGGCAAGCCGCAGCGATACGCGAAGTCAGGGAAGAAACAGGCTACGGCATCCATCTGCGGCCGGTGACCCTGGCCACGAGGGCGCCCTTACAACGCGAGGCAGCGAACGTCGCAGACGTGCCGCGGACGTACGACGGGCTGACGGAGCCGTTCATACTGGACGTCCGGGACTTGGGCCAGGGGAAGGGCGTGAAGCTCGTCTGGTGGTTCGTCGCCGAGGTGGACGGCATGGTGGGCGAGGGCGAGGCGCAGTTCGAGGCGCAGTTCGTTCGGTACGACGAGGCGGTTCAGAGGCTGACGTTCCAGAAGGACCGCGAAGTGTTGGCGAGAGCTATACAGGTCGTGGAGCGTCCGGAGCACAGCAATGGAGTTGCGGGGACGAACTGAAAAGTTGGTGTACACAGGTTCCCCCGAGTTCAGTCTTCATGATACCTACTATTGCATGAATTAGCAGCCTATGAAGGAGGCGTTGAATCGAACCATCTCACATCTCTACATGAAGACCTTCGCCAAAAGGTATTGAGTAACGCACTTCTCATAGCGAAATATTCGCTGGCGATAGTCACGCCGCAGCAAACGTATTTCATTTGAGGGACTTGTCGGCGTCTTTCCTTGCTGATCTCGTTTACTGCCCCGACAGGACAGGACGGAACGACGACAGGCCGGCTTAGTTACCATTCACCACTCCAAGCCCTTGGACAGCGCGACGGTGCGCACCGCCAGACCGCCCCCGCCCGCAATGTGATTCACGTAGAGTATATAACCTCATTCTCTGCCGGCGTTTGGTGCGCGCCACCGCCACGGTGTAACATCTTGTCCGCTCGATCGCGAAAGCACCGCGCGCTCTTGACGTTCTGTGTATTGTGTTCCCGGTCGAGGAATCCCAGCACTCCACAGGCGATGTTGACGTTGAAGTTGAAGAGGATTGGTCGGTTTCCTAGTGATGACTCGATCATCTCAAGGACTTCGGGACTGGGCGGCAGGATGGATGTGTTTGCACACTACATGTTGCTGGCGGCAGTGAGGGCTTTTGGGTGGGCACAGTAGCCTCTTCGCCCAAGAGTTGAACATAAGGGGCAGAGAGCCAGACTGGGAGTATGTACTTGAAGCTTAACTCTGTGATGATGTCGTGCACTTAACTTCTGGCTGGTACCATACGCGGACGTTCTTCTCTTGTTCGGGTCATGAAGGGGTTGAATCGCGAGTTTCCTCGCGGCCCTTGGATGGCCGCTAAATACCTCCCACAGCCGGCTCAGGGTCGTCGCCGCCCCCTCTTTAGAGATGATAGATGGTACGACAACCCAGCCGTGCTTTTGCTAGTAAGCCTTTGCCTCGGCAAGCCGGTCAATCTCACGTCTTCGGTAGTGCCGGTCATGGTGGACAGCTGTGTTTAGGTTCAGATGTTGACTGGAACGGAAATGATGGGTACACTGAACTTCCACAAGTCTCTGTACGCCCCTTGTTCGGCAACCAAAGGGTGTATTCAACGGAAGTGGAATAATTGTTCTGGAATAAGCACAGCAGTTGGGTTATTGGATTCAATCTGCTGATTCTGAGATACTTATTCCATTAATATGAATGTAGCACTAAGATCTAAAGACTGATAGAGGCATGCCGAACGTAGACTTATGAGGGTTGAGTGTAACGTGTATAAGAGCCCAATGTAATTTCGCGATTTGACACCGGGGATCTTGTAGATCCTTTCAATGCTGCCTTCACACATAAGTTACGCACGCAAGACGGCCTTGGATCTCGGCCAACGTTCCCGAATCCTCGTTCTCGACGTCATGGCAGGCGACAACACTTGCGACAACCTACATGTCAGCCCAGAACAGTAAGTAAGTTGGTGTGATCATACGCGCATATGCAGTAAGCAGTCTTGCATCCCGAGAAGCGTGTTTCGCGGTGTAGTCGCATTCAGCATACGGATTCTACGTTCCTGATGTGGGACTATTGCTTGATGCACTTCACAGTGACCAGGAAAAGGCCTTGTGACGGGCTTCGACGAACAGGAATAGATGCAGGTATCGCATAGCTAGAGGCGTGCTGCGGTGTCAACCTTATTCGTCATGTTGATACATCCTCAACGTCCTCTTGTGCTGGATGTAAGATACGGAAGGGGAAGGTCATTTCATAACCTTAGATCATCATTTTCTCCTTTTGCCAGCCCATGACCATGCCTCCTGGAGCCAGAGTGTGATATGAGCTGATATACTCTACGAGAAGGTCTCCTTTCGTGCACACCAAGGGACCATCAGGGACCGCTTGAGACCGGAATGAGCAGCCTGAAATGAGCAACGATTATCGTTACGAACAGCCGTGTTGTTTACTCCCATGTGCCTTATTCAACGCGCTATGTGATGTCCATACAATGATGTTTATAGGTGGTTAAGATGGTACATAAAATCAAGAGCACGGTGTAGAAACGCTACGGAAGGCTTATCACAACTTTTCGCGCTGGTCGCCGTCACTGCTTTGGCCCGTACACGCGTCCTCGCAGCCATTGGCATTGCCTCATAAACTCCAAGAGAACTGCAAGATGCCCCATCTTAGAGACGTCACGGACGCCTATTTTCGTACATTCGCAGTGGGAACTAGGCGTGCTGCTGCATCGGAGGGTCACCAAACCAACGCCTTGACATCAGCGAGTTTCTATGATACACTTTGAATTTCACAAAAAGGGGCTTGAAAGGACGTCCTTGCAACTGGCCCGTACTGAAAGGGGGTCAATCACGGTTGAGGCAAGATTCTTCCTGGAAGCTAATTAACATGGTGGAATCGAGCGCGAGGAACTAGAAGTTCATCAAGCTCAAGACCAGTATCATATCACGCTGGGAGCCGGCTTACTATGAGCACATCGGGCAATGCTCACCGAACGCATGCAGTCTCGGTATCTGTGTTTGCGCCCCCCCCCCCCCCCCCCCCCCCCCCTTGCGGTCGAATGGCTTATAAAAATTCTCAGTCTCGATGCGCCTCCGCTTGTTGTCGCCAATTTAGGTACCGCGAAGAAGCGGATCCGTATGGTCCGCGTGGATGACTGATCGCCTGGTGTTGATCCCGTGTCTGGTATTCCGGGCGGAACGGCTGTGACTCCGCTTGTCAAGCCACCTGCACCCAACAAGACAGAAGCCAGGCAATATGACACATCGATGGCTAGTTGAAAATTTTTAAATGCCCCGCAAGACTTGGTCCCTGGGATGGAACGCGATTGCGCGACACCATTGACATCAAAGGCCTGGGGAGCCAAGGGTGACGTCGATGAGGAAACATCCATCACTAAGTTACTCTTGTGCAACCATTATCTTTTCAAACTTGAGATTCTCGTATTTGTTTCCACTAAATGCACAATTGTGTCCTTCGAATGCCATGTTACCAAGAATAGGTTCCTTCGGTTCCTTCGGTTCCACCAAGACACCATGTTCTCATGCTGGCAGGTTCAGGATACGGGTGGCGCGAACCAGAGGTCCTTCATCCTTGAGATATCGGCCACTCTTGTAGCTGGACCGGTGGTTGTCAGTTCTGGCTCATTCTTTCTTGAATCGATAGGAAACTCACCTCCAGTACAGATTGTCAAGGGCGATGTTACGGCACCCTTCCACATACCTCAGCACCTCCCTGTCAATCTCTTCTCCCCAGATATGCATCTCCCCCAGTGCGCAATACCACAGCCTCCTGGTCAGTGAGACCTTGGTTCTTGATCAGAAGGATGAGATTGTGCTCGACACCGAGCTCCTATGGATGCATTAGATCAGATTTTACTTCGTTTTGCCGTAGGCTTACCAGGTCTTTTCTTAGTGACAGGACATCGTTGACCCTCGCATACTGTCAGCTAGATGACTATTCTCTGAGAATAGAGTAGTGCTACACACAGGAAGACAAGATCTGCTGATATTTTCTCGCATTCTACGCTTGAGGGGTGGTCGAGCACCGACTGCGAGATCGTGATACCACATGCGTACCTAAACGATTCGTGGATAGTTAGACCCATGGTGATCGACGTATCGAGCGACATACTCTACTAGAGAGCAGGAAGGCATAGCCCCAATGGACTGCCTCCGGAAGTCGATGTATTCATCGACGGTGAGTCTCTTTCGTGTCTTCTGGATCTCCACCTGCCGGATGAGACCTGTACAATAGTCTTTGTAATTCTTGATCCAGCGCTCTTGCTGTCCTGCTCAACGTTAAGACCTCTGCTACAGAGCGGTTGCTGGTGTCGGCGATGTTGGAATAGCCAGATGTTTACATACCTGGATCAGCTCGCTATGAAAGACGCATGTCAGCTATGCCTTCATTCAGGCTATGTAGAAACTCGATACCTCTGACAGTCTCTTCCATGTGGTCTGGAACACATGGCGGATAGGACATGATTCATTCGGGATGGGTGGATGCTCATCTGTCATGATCGCTATCGTGGCATCGATCTCGCGCTGAGCTAAATAGGCGTCTTCCTTGAAGGGGCCCTCGTCGAACTCTACACGGGGGTATGGTCAGATCCTACCCTTGAACAACGGAAATCCACGTACGGTCGTCAAAGGCGAAGACCTACTGCTGTTAGTAAGTGGACTAGCCACAGATACATCTTGGTCGTGGTTCAGACTCACCCAGTGATGCCAGTCCACCATCTTCCGGTATGCTTCCTCGTCGGCATGAGATGCCCAGATAGCGTTCATATAAGTAAAATTGGCTTTTACATTGCGCTTGGTCATTCGCTCGTCCAGCCCATAGATCCTTCAGGAGGTTTAGTCATGCGTCTCAGGCTCCTGTCATGGTAACTACACGCACATTGCAGCCCAAGCATCAGCTTCCACCTTGACTCGCTCGTAGTATGGGTTGAGCAATGGCTCAACAGACATGATCGAGGAGTACATATCTGGAATCTTGACCGAGGTAAATTTCCTCTGGGGGTGATCATCTCCCAAGATGATATCGCTATCGGTGTCAGATACGAGGTTTTCTGCAGAGAAGGCCTCGGAAACGTGGGTCTCGGAGGATGTTGACCGTGCCAAGGAGCTGTTTCCTGGAGGCGACTCTAGAGCATCCATTTCAGAAGATCCTCTTTTCCGCCCGACGACGAGGTATTCCTCCTCAGTCAGACCCTTCATAGCTGGGCCATCAACAGGGCCGGTTGTCCGTGTCACTCCAACAAGAATCCACATCAGCGATCCCAACTACTCCAACGAGTGCGTCAATCTGCACCCCATCAACTTCTATTTACTCACGGTCGCACAGAATATACAGCATTGCCGGCGCAGCCAAATACCTCAAGGACCCAAGTTCTTCTCCACCAGCGGGGGGATCAAGCATTCGGTCATCATGCTCACAGACCCAGCGGTGCACAGGGTGAGATGGAAGACCATCCAATACCTTTTCTCGCCAAAAGGGATGGAAGAGCTGTCTCCTCGAGTTGAAGAAGTCGTGAAGAAGGGGTTCGAAAAGCTACGGCTCTCCTACGAGGAGAACACACCGGTGGACATGAATCGTATCATCAAAGGAGTCACAGTCAGTGTTTTCTACATACCCCAAATTAGCCCATGTCTCTAACGCGTATTCTCAGGTGGATACTATCATGCGCCTGATGTTCGACAAAGCATTCGGCCTGATTAGGAGGAACCGGCATTCGTGAAGTCAATGCGCATATTCGCCGAGAACTTCTCCTGGCAGAAACATTTTCCGTTTCTCAATACTCTCTCTGTACTCATTCCACAATCATGGGCCGACCTGCTTGTACCTGGTTACGCGTCGTTTCGAAAAGCAAGTCGCAACCTCCCGAAGCCAGGGTAATGACTTGGCTGACTCCCTAGAAGCAATGTGGTGGGTGGATCGATGAAGTTCATGAGAGGCATAGAGAGGGCATAGAGAGGGCATATATACTGGTGATGATGAACGTGGTACCATATTCGACATGTTCCTTCGTCCAAACCCCGAAAAGGGCCAGTTGATGCTAAGCAAGGGCATCCTGGTGGATGAGGCTTTCACGTTCTGTTTCGCCGGTGGGTCACCCAGCTCCGTGTGATCACCACAAAGCCAGGACTGATCCAAACCTGCAACAGGAACGGATACCACCAGCTATGCCCTGAGTATGGGGTCATACTACCTCATGTCAAAACCCGCGAAGCTCCAGAAAATGCGCGAGGAGCTCCAGACGGTGCCAACGAATGGGGATGGGCTTCTGGAGTACAATGACATCCGCAACCTCCCGTACTTGGTAAGTTGCGATCGTCCACCCGTGACCCGGGGGCCTTACTGACGGCTGTACCACAGTCAGCGACGATCAAGGAAATCCTGAGGCTCGCTTGCCCTGTTCCTGGTATCACGCCCCGCGTGGTCCCGGCTGAGGGTATGACAGTTGCGGGGCATTACTTCCAAAAGGGGTCCGTTGAATCCCACCCACTAGAGGGCTGCAACCATACTGACTAGTATAAGACGATCGTATCACTTTCCATGCGGATGGTACACTTCAATGAGTCGATCTACTACGAGCCCTACAAGTTCATACCTGAACGCTGGCTTGGCGACCAGGGCAAGGAGCTGGATAAATGGTTCGTGACCTTCAGCAAGGGCCCACGGATGTGTCTCGGTCTCAAGTAAGTGACTCACTCCTTTGATACCTCCGGCGTGGAGCCATCATTGCTCACAGCATACCAGCATGAGCTACCTTGAGACCTATCTCTGTCTAGCCAACTTCTTTAACAATTTCAACTTTGAGCTCTACGAGACGAACGAGGACACCGCGATGTGGGTTGACATGGTGGCAGCCGCCAAGTCAAGGCAACACATCAAGGCCATGGTCACCGGTCCAAGGTAAATAGATACAAGACCAATCGGAATTGTCGCCGTTTGGGTGACAGGGTTAGGGATGGGGTATGCTATTAGCTACAAAACGATATGGTGTGAAGGGGCAACAGGTGATAGGGCTTGGCGCAGGATTCCGGAGTATCTAGAACTTCACGCAGAATGACAAGATGGATGATCGCATTTCAATATCCGACTACAAAACTTCCAAGGTGTGATTTCGCAACGTGCATGCATATACTTGAAATGCATGAAGCCAGTCCTTGTCAGACATGAGAGTATCCTTTTCGTACAGATGTAGATAAGTTACTGCTCTCCTATGCATATTCAGGGGCAGTGCTGAGGGTGGTTTCCGGCTTTTCTACCATAACACGTCCCTGGTGCACTCCCACACACGACGTAGCTTCTTGGGTCTTGAGAAATCTCTTGTGCCCGCTCATCCACCTCAGCTGCCTTCTTCACTAGCGCGAATACCTTTAAGTGCTTCTCGCCCACGACACCAAGGCAGCAGTCAGCCATGCCCATCGTCGTCGACGGGTCCGGGCAGTCGCCGTCTTCGGTCGGTTTGAAGTCGCTTAGCCCTCGCGCACAGAGGCGCATGAACTCCGAGATGGTCTTCTTTGCATCTCGAATGGCTAAGGGATCTTCCTCCTTGTCCTTGTTACCCGTGGCTTGGGAGTTATCATCAGCACGCCCGGTGTTGGCACCGTCTGTCTTCGTATTCTTCTCGATCGCCTGTGTTCTGACCTTCTGAGTGGTTGAGCGATGGTGGGTGGTCATCCGAGCCTTCCATTTGCTGATGTCCCGTTCGTACACGGCTACATCTTCGTGCTTCTTCGCCGTGCCTCGCAAGACCTCGATGAGACGGGCGGCTTCGTCGAACTCTTCTAAGGCGTTCTTATAATGGTCCTCAGCAAGGAGCCTAGTAACTACTACCCTGCATGTACATCCTTGCAGTGCACATGGACTGTTCGGTCACAAGAGAGGCATCGGCGTCATGGCTCCGACATGATGCGCCATTTGGCCGTTGATATGACTATTGGTCTAGAGCGATTCTAATTGCGTTGAGAATCAGATACCATGTTCCATGGGGCCACCGAGATCATCTCATCGAGAAAGCAATAAACTTCAGGTGCCGGCCACTTCACTAGTCTCGCGAGTTCGGGCAAAGTGGCCCCTGTAGGGCGACCGTTAAGCTAGTCCACGGCAGTCTTTAAGGTAGCTTTCCCAAGGATCAGGATCGGACTAGTGATCCTCATATTCCTCTCAGACCACCACGTTGTCTTGTAGTCGCAGGGATATTGCATACTTGAAATGTCGACAAAGGGTTTCGTCTTGGTTCTCCTGCCGTGAAAAGCCCACTTTGTCTGATAGCATTTCGCAGCTTCGGTAGACCGAGGAGGGATCCTCTCCTCAGCCCAGGGCCATGCCGGGTGAGTCCCTTCAGAATACGGCTTGAACCACTAAACAAGAACAACAACAACAACCTTACACGCCGGGGACCATACATCTGCAGTGAGTGCCCGCCGGGCCTCACATCGCCCTCCATCAGTCATACTGTCTCGGGGATGATTGATTAGCGTGGAGACGACGCCGCATGCTGCCACGCTATCTAATGATTTGCGGTCAAGGGCTCTACTGCCTTTTCTCATCATAGAAAGACATATCGACTGCACTGTTATGTGATTGTGTAGTTTCATTGAAGGCTCATCAAGCAACAAGGCAGCCCCTTGGAACGGGCAAGGTGTGGATGAATGCTAGCAAGGGCACTCCACGAAGGATGAAGGATCCAACCGTGGAGAGAATTTACCTTCCATGACCGCTGACCGAGCCGAGACCCGGCTCAGCGATAGAGGATCGGCTCCGCCGAAAACCAGCCTGACGATAAAGAGACCCCGCCTCGCCCCTTTCGCTAGTTACTCTTCACGGCTGGTTCGTCAATCGAGTCCCGACCGACATTGTGGTTGAACGCTTCCAGCAAGGCCAGCCACAGAAGCAGATCATACCGAACCCTCACTCACCGGACCAGTTGCTCTACGAAATGGCTAGTAATGAAGGGCTGCAAAACCTAATCGCGGCTACCAAAATGCTCGAGGAACCGGTACCGCAATGGAATCATAGTACGACAATCGTGAGTCTCACAGCGACTGCAGTGGTAAGAGTGCCATAGAAACTCCAGTTGGAACTTTTCTAACTGTGCTAGGTACTTTCGGTCGCTTGTGTTCTTTTCCGCCTTTACGTGCGACTCTTCATGGTCAAGATGCCAGGTTTTGATGATCTTTTCGTCTTCCTCTACCTTGTAAGTACAGTGCCCGGTCACCCCTCACGAGATGAGTGGCTTACATCTGGAACCAGCTCTCAGGAATCGCCGGCGGTGTCGCCATCTGTCTCGGTAGACTCGTACCCAGTTCTTAGCACAGAACCACGCTCATTTCTTCTCAGGTCCGCAATATGGGCTTGGTAAACACTTCCTCCTGCTCGACGCTGGAGAAAGGCGGTCCTATTTCAAGGTAAGTTTCGTTTGGAGTGGAACATGGGTCACAGCTGCTGGTTCACATATCTGACTTCGTCCTGTCATTGTCAAGCTCTTCTACGTCTGCATGGTGTCTTACAGCACCTCAACAACGCTGATCAAGATCTCCCTGCTGTTCCAATATCTTCGCATCTTCGACCGGGGTACCATGAGGTATATCTGCATATCTCTGATCGGCCTGATCGGGCTCTGGGGCTTTGCCTTTTCATTCTTGGCAGTGTTTCCTTGCTTCCCTGTCAGCGGCTACTGGGACTGGCCGTTGGGTCCAACGGGGGCCCGGTGTTACGGTTTCGGAGGAACGGCAGGGAACGAGGACTACGCGACTTTTACTGCCCAAACAGCCAGTAACATGTTGTTCGACATATTGGTCCTCGGCGTGCCCATACCACTCTATTTCTGGAAAGATACAGAACGTCGAGCGAGGCTCGGGCTACTAGGCCTGTTTGGCATGGGTGGAATGTACGTCTCAAGTCAGACTCGTCTCATTGACTCCAAATTGCTAATGTTGTATAGTGTGAATGCTTTATCCATCTGGAGGCTGGCGACGATTGTCATTCACGGTGCCGATGGCGCATCGTTCGACCCGACTTTCAGTAAGTATCAATATCTCGGGTTATCGTCGCGCGATAACTCGAAAAGTCTATACTTCAAGCAGATCCGGGAAAACACTTTCAAAGGCCTTGAATGCCGTTCATGATATTGGTTACTAACACACGATGTGTTCTAGCGAGCGTGGCGTCCATCATACTTGGTATGCTAGAAGTCTGTGCTGCCAGCATCTGTGCTTCAGTTCCAGTATTCTGGCCAGTGCTCGCCTCTGGCTTCGAACAAATTCTGGTGACTCGGGAGATCAAAATCACACGGGAATACATGTATTCAAGAGATGGCGATGACGAGATGGAACTTCGCCACAGGTCGAGCGATCTCAGTCATATGGCGATGCACAGCCGGGTGCGGAGGGTGGACAGTGAGACGAGCCTTCGGAAACCTCACTACAAAGATGAGTTCAAGAAACCCTCTTTCGCTGTGGAGTCGGAGGCAGTACCAGCTGGTTGGTCGTAAGGTACAGAAGGTGAAAGCGAACCTCAGGGGGGAATTCTTGTATATATATATATATTACTTTGACGGACATTCTCATAGGAGGTGTTAGAGAGCCAAACCACAAAAGCGGTGGGCTAATTAATATCACGGTTGTGCACACGATCCCCATGTGCTCTGGGCGATACCCGAACTATCACATCGGAGGACAACCCCATGGTCCGTCTTACAATGGCACAACGAGTCTCAGTGTTTTCCACAATTTCCAATAAATTCCCCGGGAAGTTTACTTCTTCCTACTCGAGCCCACGCAGCTACTTGTGAGAAACTCAGAACTTCTACTAAGTAGAAGCACCGAAGTAGATTGAGTCTGCCTACCGCTCTTCGCCTATTCCCGCAACGCATCCCCCAACTTCTCATTCACAAACTCCAGCGTGAACCTATTCGCCTCATCCGCCTCCCTCGTCCCATGAAGCGCATCAAAGCCATGAGCACACCCAGGGTAGATCTTGGCCACCGCCTCGCTCCCAGCAGACGCCGCCTGCCACTTGACGCCCATGAACAGCGTATCGTCCAACAAGAAATCCTCCGTCCCGCACAAGAACAGCGCTGCGGGCAACTTCCCGGTCGCCGACTTTTGTGCTAGCGTTTGCATGTCCGCGTAGAGCGGCGAGATGCGCGGATCGCGCTTCTGCTCGCACGTTTTTTGGTTAGGTAAGTACGCGTCGCGCAGGTGCTCGAGGGAGTCGCGCGTCAGGCCCAAGGGCCGTGTAGAGGTGCTGCGCATAGACGGCAGCGACAGGCTGAGGTCGTAGCAGCCGTACGTCAGGACCAGGCCGGCGAGCCGGTGGGCGGGCCGCTCGCGCAGCAGGTGGAACGCTGCCAGTACCGCGAGGGTGCTGCCGGCCGACTCGCCGGCCACGAAGCGCAGGGGCGCGCCGTACTGCGGGACCGCGTGGTCGGCGAGGTACGTCGCGGCGTCGAGGCAGTCGTCGGGCGCGGCTGGGTAGGGGTGTTCTGGGGCGAGGCGGTAGCCGACTGAGATGCAAAGGACCTGGCAGGCGTTCGCGTAACGGCGCAGGTGCGAATCGTGGCTTTTCGCAGGAGCCTCGCATTAGCTTTTGGTCAAACGGTTGATGAGGTTTTCGAAGCCCCATGCAATGTTAATTGACCTAGAAGGTGTAAGAGAGAGATCGTACTGCTTATGTGATCCGAGAACCCAACCACCGCCATGGAGGAACATCAACACTGCCTTGGGCGGCGCGCCATTATCAGGCTTGTAAAGGCGGATAGGAATGCGGCGGCCAGGCTCCCTTGACGGGATGGTGTCCTCTTGGGCCTCGGGCAGGTAGACGGGCTTCGGGAGCCATGTCTCGCCTGCCTCGTGGAGTTCCCGATACATGGGTGCCCCAACGTCATACCAGTTCACGCTGTCGACTGTGTAGCCCTCGAGAACCTTGTTCATCTTCTGGACTTCTTCGCTGGTAGCTGAAGAATAGAAAGATCTGGGGTCCACGACGATGTCACTCTGGATAGGCATGTTGAGGGAATGGGTCACAAGGTAGATTGGGTGGTAAGTTAGTAGGTAGTGGGTATAATATACTAATGAGAATGATACGAGTTCACGACCTCACAAAGAACACGTCCGGGGAAAGGTCGACGCACACCCTACTATTATACCCAGCCGTTGAGCATGGGTCACGATCCCCCGTCACGTCCTCACGTGCTACCGCGTCAGGGTGAATTATGCCGTCGGCGCTATGCCGAATGTCAGAACGCCGATAAGTCGTCTGCCTTTACTAAGCTTACCGAGCCCATCCGCGGCGTATCAGTCAAGGTTGTAGGGTTGTGGGTATGCGGCGCGGTCGGACCTCCGGCATGAGTCACGCGGCGTGATGGCCCCTATACCCTGTCGATATTCCACACCCCATTTTGCGAGGTTCAGGATTATGAAAGATGGCACAGCTTATCTAGGAGTAGAATGGCTTATAAATGCGCCTGGATCCGGTAGGCAGCGCTATCTTAGACGGCACAATTCATTGTCCGAACGGGACGCGGAGGAATTGCAAAGGACCAGGGTGATGTTTGAAGTAAGCCAGGTTAAGAGGTTGACGGGTTTCTTACAAGCTAGATCAACCCCATGTTCACCATACCCACCACCATCGTTTATTTGCTCAAGGTTGCGGCAGAGCCTGAATTGATTCCACAACATCAATATCGTCTCAATCTGCTGGGTTGGGAACACGAAGCCACCACACCCACCAACGTAGTTGATAGTGTTGCTGCATCATGATCTTGGGCAGGCTCAAGACAAGACAAACCCGGAACGAGTGAGAATAGGGGCTCATGCCCCTGCGGCAGCTCCGAGCAAATCTATAGCAAGCCATCGCCCCGCGCTGATATCATCACCATCACCATCATCATCATCCTCGCTGTGATATAATCCCTAGTCCCATTACAAGCAACAAGCAGCACACGAGTTGCGCCATGACGTCTCAGCCACCCTCCGTGCCGCGTCCTCATCGTTTCGGGGTTGTCGTCAGCGGTCTGTCTGGCAGTTCTCGCAGTGTCAGATAGTGGGCGACGGTCTCAAGTGTGGCCCATTGCCTAGGTACTTATTACCTATCTGCCTCCTGTCTCGCACGTATTTATCAGGTCAGGTCAGGTCTATGACCTCAGCCTCATTGCCAGCAGCTTGCGCACTCGACATCGTAAGCTCCCAATGGAATGGAATACTATCGACTAGGTTGATTGATGTCTCCGTGTGCCAGAGAGAACTGCAATGCCAAGAAATCCGACATCTGGTGAGAGAGCGGCTGGATAATTTCGTGTGGTTCGGGGGGTTCCAGCCCGTGAGAGGGCCGTCTCGGAGAACGACACGGTTCGTGCTGTAGCAGGCAGTCTGCTGGGTTGGGAACCATGAACCAGTGCTGTGGGATCGTTCTTCTTTCCGATTCATGACCTAGGGAAGTTCACACGCCCGTATACGTCATCTCCTGGAAGGGTCTTGAGAGCAGTGCCCCCGACCGGTATGCTTTCATATAGGCAGTCGCGATTAATAACTTCGCTATCACACGGCTCCGATCTCTCTAAGATAGAAGAAAGGTAGTCGGCTTTCCTGCAATCAGTGTTAGCAATAGCTCGGACGACGGTCATAGCCGATTGTACGGCAGACAGTACCGAGAGGTTCACAGTGCTTCTGCTCAGGTCCTCCTTCCTGTCTGTCTGCCTTACCGAACGTGAAGTAGCTACGTGATGGTAGCCGTCAGGATCTATTAGCTCGAGAACACCGTGGGCAGAACAGCGTGAAGTGATTTGATTCATTCTTTCGCAGAGAATTCCCCATGAGCCCTTGGAATGCGCAATCCAGAGATGATCCTCGTGCCGTAATTATTATAATACAATGCATATGCCACAAACACAATCTATAGCTTCCCTGTTCCTGATCCTATACTCTTGGCATCATGTCTATTCTCTTCCTATACCCTCAGAAGCTTAGCGGCATATTGTTCGATCAGAGCTTCGGTGGGGAAACTCATCTGCTCGAGTCCCTGGGCGTAGGGTGTGGGGACCTCAGCACCGGTGATACGTTGGGCGGGGGCATGTAAGTAGTCGAAAGCGTACTCCATGGTCAGGGCCAGGATCTCGGCGCCCATACCGGCGAAGGGGAAGCCGGACTCGACGGAGATCAGGTGGCCGGTCTTCTTGACGGACTTGACGATGCTCTCGACGTCGAGAGGCTTAACGGATCGCAAGTTGATAACCTCAACCTCGACACCATACTTCTTCTTCAGCGCCTCGGCGGCAACCATGCACTGGCCAACGGTTCGAGAGAGGGAGACCATGGTCAGGTCCTTGCCCTGTCGCTCGATCTTGGCCTTGCCGAAGGGCAGAACGAAGTCGTCCTTTTGCGCCGCCTCAGACATGGGGAAGGAAACACCGTACATCAGCTCGTTCTCGAGGACACAGACGGGGTTGGGATCCCGGATGGCAGCCTTCAGCAGACCCTTGGCATCTTCGGCAGACCACGGAGCGACGACCTTGAGACCGGGGATGGAACCGTACCAAGCGCTGTAATCCTGAGAGTGCTGAGCACCGACACCGGAAGCGAAACCGTTGGGACCGCGGAAGGTGACGTTGCAGGGTTGGATACCGCCGGACATGTAGAGGGTCTTGGCGGCACTGTTGACGATCTGGTCGATGGCCTGCATAGCGAAGTTGAAGGTCATGAACTCGCACTGCGCATCGTAATGGTTGTTTAGTAATGGTTGTTCCTCTTCCTATTTGCCCTCAAAACTTGGAGCCTTCGATGGCTTGTACTCACCACAGGGGCCAGTCCGGCCAGCGCAGCACCAACAGCCAACCCAGTGAAACCGCTCTCCGTGATGGGGGTATCAATGACACGCTTATCGCCGAACCGATCCAACAGACCCTTGGTGATCTTGTACGCGCCGTTGTACTGGGCGACCTCCTCTCCAAGCAGGAAGACCTTGTCGTTCTGCTCGAGCTCCTCGGCCATGGCCTCGTTCAGGGCCTCACGGACGGTGTATTCCTTGCCGCCCTTCGCATCGGCAAATGTTCTTCGTTGCGAGACGGAGAGAGTGGCAGAGGCGAATCGGGGGAGAGCTCGGGGAGCCACGGCGCTGCGCGCTGAAGCAGTGGCAGCTAACCGAGCCGCCGGACGGAGGAAGCGCGACATGTTGTCTGAGGGCGTGGAGGATCGGGGTCCACGGAGGAAGAGGTCGCGGGCTCGCGGAACGGAGTGAAGTCAATTGAAGAGACTCCTGGCCGTCTGTGGATGTCGGAAGGGGCGGGCGGCGGCGCGAGGCGTTCCGGAGGGTAGGTAGGTGAGGATGGGATTGAGTGGTAGAGGTGTCAGGAGGTCGAAGATGAAGAGTGATTTTTAGCTCCGTAAGCTTTTCTGGAGTTGCTGGCTGCACTGCTGCTGTCGCGAGCTGGCGGGTCCCAACTTTTTTCCCGGGCCTTTTCTCTCTTCGGATGGAACAGGAACAGCAGCTTGTTGAGCTGCGCTGGTGCGCTAAGCCGTAGCGGGTCTAGCGCTGCTGGATTTCCGGTGTCGCTACTGCAGTCCTCCCCTTATCGCCCTATCAGAACATGAAGACCCTTATTGTGGCTTCCAGTACTCCCACGACTTACACCTGAATAAACTCAATCACTGTCAATTCAACATCCTGCAGTTTCTTAAACTCAATCGCAACATTGGGCTCCGTGAATTGCCAGCTCGTAAGCGAATCAAAGGTCCAATTGCTTTCAAACCCCTGTACTCGTATACCTTAGGTACGTTCAATGTTTGTGTGAGGCTTATCAGGAGCGTCGGCGATGATAGCCGCCGATGGGGCTTCACCTCCCGTCTCCGTTGGGGGTAATCCGTCGGCTGAGTAAGCCCGCGAAAGGGGTCGTGAATATTAAGTTCGGACACCGAGTCTCATTCTTCGACATCCGTAGGTGTCCTGTAATACATAAGATAAGTGATCAGATCCCGAGGATGTCTAGAAAGCTGTGTTTAACCAGGTAGGCGCACTTTCTAGTATAACGCGGTAGCATTCTCAATACCATCATGTCAAGAGGCACTGGTTTCTTGAGATGAAGTTCGTAAGTTGGAGTTCAAACACTCACAGTGCCCTCGGGGTGTCATAGAATTATCCGTTGGTTCCCGTATCACGTTGCCTCTACGAATCTAGGCTACGGCGCCTGGCTGGATTATTAACCATTCGTTTCAACCGTTTGAACTTTCGCCCTCGGGCCATTAATGTGTTTCTTCTATAATGCCTATGCAACGCAAGTATACTTGAACTATAATACAGAGAAACAGAGAGCCAAAGCCATAAATCCAAGTCCGGCGCCAGTCATCCACATGATGCGGCGGCGACTTGGCCATTCGCTCGGCAATTAGTATGTGGGTATCGACGTTGCTGGCGTCCTCGCAGGCGGTGTTTGAACACCCCGTTACATCCTCCTTCTATATTGACTGTCAAGCACAAGGATATCGCTCCCAGCTCATCTTTTATTGCTCGGGCTTCTTTCCAACCATCAGGTACATAGGTGTGAACAGGTTCTGTTCCGCTCCGGCGACGAGACAATCGGCAGCCTTGGCCAGACTGTCGGCCGTCTTCTTGGTGCCCGCCGGCGCAAGCCTCGCCATCTCCAGGAAACCGGCGAGGTTGTGCGCAATCGTACGACCCCACCACGTCATGCGCCCGATGGTGAACACGTCGCCCATCGACTGCATGTACTTCCATCGACCGGCAAGCGGCCAGTACCAGGGGATGGGGTCAGGCCGTTGCGCCATATCTTCGTGGTGGAGCATCTCGAAGCCAGCAATGTTCATGGCCTCGACACCTTCGGATATATTGACCATGTTGGAGATACCATCACCCTCCTCGATGCCGAGTCGGATTTCGCGGTGCTCCAGGTTGTCGTTGTCGTAGTCGTCTGTCATCAACCACTCGTACACACCAAATATACCGCCGGGCTTCAGCACGCGGAAGATCTCACTGTACACACCCGAGAGTTTAGGTGCGTGGACGGTGGCCTCGATAGCGTAGACGGCATCGAAACTGTTGTCGGGGAAGTCCATTTGCTGTTGCCCACGTCATTAGTACTAGACCGCCTCTGGTTCGGCACCAAAGGGTACAACTTACCATGAAGTCGCCCTTGACGAAGGCCAATTGCTTCGCGAGACCCTCCTTCTGTGCGTAGTGTGTAGCGCGCTCAATCTGGTAGTCGTTGTTGTTGAGACCAGTAACGTGGCAGCCGGTGAACTTGGCAATCTCCCGGGCAGGTCCACCCACACCGCAGCCAACGTCGAGCACCTTCATCCCCTCCTTGATGCCAATCTGGTGTGCGAGGTAGTGTTCATGGCGGGCAATGGCCTGATAGAAGTTCTCGCCGATGGAGTATCGGCAGAAATGGAAGCACTGGCCCCAGCCGTATTCGTAGATGTCGGTCGCGAGGTTGTAGTAGCTGGGCACGAGTCAGTGACTGTGCGTGGGGATGGGGTCTTGATTTGCGCGGTGCCAGGTTACATACTGTCTCGTTAAGGTGGCGTATTCGGCAGTTCGTTTCTGTCAAAGTCCGCTTGTCAGTCTTTGCTGACAACTTCTGGCGGGTTGTGTGCGCGTGGACTTACAGCGCGGTCTTCCTCGGTCTCGTTCTTGGCAGGTTGGTTTTCCCAGTGCTTGAAGTACTCGTCGACAGCGGCCTTTTTCGCGTCACTACCCTTGGCGAACATGGCACGGATGCCACCAGTTGCCTGGGCGGATTTGCCGTGCATGGCCTTGTTGAAGGCGGCGTCGCGCTCCCTGTCCTGCATCTCGAGTCCTTCCTTGGTGGGTGCCATGTTGAATGATTGTACGGCGACGTTTGACTGTTTATATACGAAACTTGACTCAGTAGGATCTCGAGAAGACGGTTTAGGAGGTCGATTGAAAAGTCGTATTCGGTACCCTTCGACTGGGAGGTGATGAGCTGGCGGTTCGTAATCGCGTTCTCGTTGCTCAGGAGGGAGGGAAATAGGGAGCTGGGCACATTTTATGCGATTGACTTTCGCATCGCCAATTCCATCGCCAATAGTCCAGGGGTTTACTGTAACCGCAATATCGTGGCGGGCTAGCCGTTGAGGGACTAGATCGGGCCAGATCCACCAATCACATGCTCAGGGACCTGCATCAAGGGAAGGCGGTGACAGGGTCTGCCAATTCTTCAAGAGCGCAACTTCCCTTGAACCCGAATACGAACTCGACCCAGCCACAGCACGCGCATTCGGCTGCTACCGTGGCTCAAAATGAGGCTGGTACTCTCGCTTCGGCTCATGCAGTTCACCACCAAGCTTACCAAGCCAAACCATCCGCCATGCAACAGCATCACTGCCTCTGCTAGCATTGCCCGAGTACGAACACTCACCCCATGCAGAGATTACTGCCAACTCAATACACCAGGGCCAACGTTTCTGCTGTTGCATTTTCTTCCTTGGCAGCCACCCAGGGGATTTCTTGTGGTAAGGAGGCCAGCAAGGCAGCCAGGCGTTTGTGCTCCATGAAAGGCCGTCTCTATAACTTACAGCTCACGCTATCATTGGCGTCTTGACGTTGCTTATTCTAGATATATATCCACCGCATCGTCAACAACCCCAAGATCCCGTATCCCGTAACGGCCTGTACGTAAGCTCCAGGATCACTTCCCGGTGCAGTTGTATCTGCAACCATCGATGAACTTGGGCAGGGCGCGGGTCATTGCCTCATCATCTGAGTACTTCCCAGCAACGTTTGCGCAATAGCATCGAACTTCTGAACAGCCTTCTCGATGATCTCGATCGACATTGCCACAGCCGTATCTATGTCCTGATACTTGTTGTACAGCAACGGAACCAGACTCTCGACTGCCCCGTGCTCCCAGGACTGGATGAGCATGGAAGCACAGTCTCCTGGATGCGTTCTCACCACTTCTACCTTGATGGACAGCAGGTCGTTGATAATTGCGTGGTGTAAGCTGCGTCCTTCTGCTGTATGGGGATAATGACATTCGTCTCGTGCCAAAGACCCTTCAAGGCAGGGTCCGTTAGGACTTGTACCAGCAATGTGAGCTCTTCAACGAAGCTATAATAATGGTTAGACAACGTCTTTTCAACGTTCGGTTGGCCCTTACTCTGTGAAGAATGTCGTAGCGTTTACGGCGCTCGTCCCTTTTCGACACATGTGATATTCCGGGAGAGTTGGCAAACTGGCACTCAGCCGGCGTGTTCGCTCGAGCACCGTGGATTGAATGATGAATGCCAACTCAAGGAGAAGTATGCGTCTGGGATCTTCGTGATAGCAAGTTAGCTGTACGATATACAGCATGCAACATAACACCGGCTCGAGCGTGGGGGATACATAACGCTATGTCATGTGAAAGTATGAATAATACCTTATTAAGATCTGTTGCGTGGTCACGTGACCCACTTGGGTTGGCATATTGCCCACATCCACTGCAGCTACGCACCACCTCCATTCTTGACACACAGCAGAAAACCACATCATTGCAGTTTTGCCCTGCAACAAGATCATAATATCGTCCTTCTAGTTAAAATATCATAACTCTGTATTTCACCTGAACTCAACTCGTAGAAAATACATCTGTTCCCTATTCGCCCTCCTTCTACGACGTGCTTTCTGTATCAGATTGCCAATGAAAAATTCCTTATTGTTCCACTTTTCATCTTCGGCTCTCAGAAAGCTGCGTAAATAGATGAAGAAGGGCTACTTCAGAGTCATCGCACTAGGTAGCCCCGCAGGACTGACCCCTATACATTCCAAACCATGTCTCCTAGCTAGCATCGTAGTTTCTTTTCTTCTACACGTACAATAACAAAAGTCATCCTGGAGTCACTAGCAGTCGAACTGTAACATGCAGTCATATGTAAGAACAGGGGACGTTACACTCTAGTACACTTGTGCTTCCGAACCCGCGATGCCCTCACGATCGAAAGCCCTCGTCTTTCACTTCATCTTTACCGATGCTGATATTGTCATTGCAGCCTATGGGATAGTTATGCGTGGATAAGCACGATATGTGGTGTCGTAACACTGAGAATCTTCGGTGGCTCAGGTGAGGATTGGAATTGTTCTATGACATCCGCTCCTCGAAGCCTCGGTAGCCCCAGAATGAGCCCAAGTGCATGGCGCTAAATGGATTCAACATTTTGGCAGCCTCGTGCGACACCATTGGCAGGATGGTAACGACGGCAGTCTTCCAGCTTCTACCCAGTCCTACTTGTTTCGGTCGACTGATAGAGTGGCTTGCTACACTTATGCCCAACTTAAGAGTTGGGCGGACTTTAACAGTTTCAGAGGGTCTGCGATGGCTGTAAAATCTTCCGGGCATGTGATGCCCAGCTTAGAAACTGACTATCCCATCCGAAGAACATGATCTTGAACGAAAGCCTTCGTGTAAGTGCTCTCATCACTTCGAGAGCCGTGCTACAAGGACCGAAAGAGGGGCTTGCATATCACAAAGGAGCCATCCACCCGACCGAAAGTCCGATGTACTGTTATATGAAACGGCAATGGCAGACCCGAGGGTTTGCAAGAGTTCCGACCTTTCACAGACCCCGGTTGGGTTGACGCTCTCAGATGTCATACCGGTATTTTTCCTAACCCGTACGTGTTTGACTTATATCGATGGTCGAAAGCAAAACTCATCATATTCCAGGAACACACAGCACTTCGTTCCGTTCCATAGATGACACCGGCATTGCATCACAATGGACTAATCGCCTTTATTCGACATTTTCGTTCTGCTCACTGCGGCTGTCACTCCTCAAGTCCCCCACGCTGCCACGTTGCACAGTCCCGATTGAGCACAGACGTACCCTGCGATGTTTGGGAGTACCAGGGACCTTCCTCTCTGCTTCTCTAAGATTCGCTGCGAAGTATTGGAATACTGGAGCTCTTTGAAAGGCGATGTAAAAATGTAGTCTGCTGGTGTCGCTGGTCTCCAATCCAGTGTGCGGACGTAACGTTACCTTACAAGGCATAACCGACCCCATGCCGACCCCATGGGGACAGAGGTGCCAAGAGTAGACGCCTGGCATGCCTGGTTCTTCTTCTTCGACATGTGTTGCTGGTGCTGAGCCAAGCTTGGTGACCTAATCACTGCCTGCTTTTGGGAAGATGGAAGATTGGCAGTCCCGATATGTCCGGAAGGTCCTTCTTCCTGTTTGTTTACTCAGATTAGCAATGCGGAGAAGTCAGTCAAGCCAAAACAACCGCAGAAAGGACCGGGACCGCCAACGCTTCATCTTTCCAAGAAGATACCTAAATAGGTAGGCCGGCAGCTGGCCGTACGCTTTTCCGCTGTCCCCACCGGGACTGGCAGCACTGCAGCAGCCGCCCCTGTTTCTTCCTGGCCCCGTTCCCGACCTGAATGCAGATTGGCCCCGCTTATAATGAATGCCCAGCGGGGGGTTTCGGCGTCTTGACCCGAGTCAGAATCCTTCACGAAAATGTTCATCGGGGTCGTCGTCGCCTCCATTGGCGAGCCCGAAGAAACGCAGCGTCAACTGTGTCGGTAATATAGGCAAAGACTAACAATGTTTCACTTTGAGCAAGTGAGTATCTAGGTACATAACGATAATCGCCGTCGACGCCCTGGGACGCCCCGACGCCCTGAGATGTGCATGACTTATAAAGTTGCATCATTTTATGGAAACGAGCCCACCAGCGCATCATCCCAAAGGCCCACAGGATCCATATTATAGCCCACCAATACGTCATGGGCCATACGCTACTTCGGGCTCATCACGGGCCCACTGGCTGAACTGGCCACGGCGGTTATTGCGTTCCGAGGTCAAGCCTCGAGGTATTCCGGGGTCCTGAGGGAATTCCAACCTTGGACCCCTCAACTCACCGGCTCACTCACGGCGACATCTCCATCTCCATCACCACCACCACCACCACCACCACCACACATACATGAGTCACCAGCATCGCCATTCGAATACCTCTAACGCGTGCCGAATATTGGTCACCGTTGAGACCATCGGGCTGACATAGTCCTTGGAGCATAGATGGAAGAAGAAAAGAAGATGGACCAACAGAGCGGCGACGTGGGCGACGTGAAGGCCCCGGAGGGCGCTTCCAACCGAGGGCGGAGAGAAAGTTTCCTCGTCCGCCTGCCGTCAAGGTCTTTGGACACGTCGAACGTCAATCCCACTACCTCGCACCCATTTACCCCAATGGGTGATGGTAATCCAACAACACCCTTTGGCAGTCAACCTCCGCCTCCTCAATACGACATGGTGAATTCAAACCAACCCGCCCCGAGACCAGGCGGTCTGGAGCGCCAGCAGACCACCTCAGTCGAGCAACTTGTGAGCATCTCTGACCGCCAGCAAGCCGTCACGAAACTGGGCATTCACGATACGTCGGTCGAGGCAATCATGCCCGTATTGCCGGGGCAGGAATTCCACTTGGCGAGCTGGCTCACGAGTGGCCGCACTCTAGCTGAGCCCACCTGGGCATTTCGCACCAAGGTACCTATCGACGAGCACCGTCTGCGCGGCGCATGGGCCGTTCTTCGACGTCGCCACCCCATCATGCGGTCCACGCTGGTGGCTGTACGTCCGGATGAAGCCTTCACCGTGGTACTACGGCAAGCCAGTGGTGCAAGCAACTATGCCACCTTCTCCAAGGCCCCCTATCATGAAGGCACACTAGAGGAGCGTGTCAAACATCAGATGAGGCAGCTGGCAACACACCCTTCTTCCTTGAAGACACCACCTACCAGACTCACGCTTGTGCAGGGTGATGTGGAAGAAGGTGACGCTGTCTTGATCACCATACACCATGCAGCCTGTGACACGCGCAGTATGGGACTTCTCATGCAAGAGCTCACGGATCTGTATCGGGGAAAACCGGTGGTTTCCAAAGCGCCATCGTTCCGAAACTTCGTCAAGGAGACGCTATTCACACATGACCGTGAAGCTGAGGAGGAGTTTTGGAAAGACACACTACACGATTGCGAACAGACCATAGTGCTGCCAGAGATGGACCACGAAGGAAACCCACTGAAGAAGAACGAGATCTTTGTCCGGGGCACCATGACCAGCTCTGCAAGTCTTGAAAAGGCAGCCGAGGTAGCTGACGTGACACCCCCCACTATCATATATCTGGCATTCAGTCACATTCTGGCCGAGAAGACTGGCTCTAGCCGTCCTGTCTTTGGATGCTTCCACAATGGCCGCGAATCGGTTGAAGGAGTCGACAGAATCAAAGAATTGATCGGTCCCTTATCCACCATGCTGCCAACCACCATCCCGGAAGGCGTGGACGTTTCTCACGAACTCAACAACAGCAAGTCCAAGCTCATCACGACCCTCCAGTCGGTCCACGAACATCTCAACTCCCAAGTGCCGTACGAGCAGTCTCGCCTCCGCGACGTGCTGCGCTGGGCCGACATGGGCGACACCGTACCCTTCAACACCTATCTGAACATCCTCTGGAACACCAAGCTGCAGGGCGCTGCTGAGGAGACATCGCCCGTCGTCGACGACCTGGCCTGGGAGCGCATGGACCTGGGTATGCGAAGCGACTACAGCTCCGCGTCCGCTATACCTGGCGCAACGATGGTCGACGTACTCGACACGAGCACTGTCATGCGCAAGCAGAATGTGTTTGTCGATGTGGGCAGCGACCGGGAAGAAGTGGGAGGAGGCGTTCTTGAGATCCGACTCAGTGCCAATGAGGTTCTTATGAACGCCGCGGAGCTGGAAGCTTTCGCCCAGCAAATCGACACCGAGGTGGCCCAGCTAGTTGATTGCCTGCTATCGTGACAAGACGGAGATGTGCGCGGCACGTACTCAGAGTGATGATCTCGTGGGAAAGGTACCGGTTGCGTACTTGGAGGACAGGCATGGGGTATGCGTTGGAAGACTGCCGCATATGGGATATGACCTTGACGAAAGTGATGGCTGAAACATAGAATGGCGCTTGAACGCTGAAGCACTCAATTACAACACGTTGGATTCACCTACTAGTCCTCTTGCGGGCAGCTTTCACCGCCATCGGTATTGACCCGTTTACATTGTGTGCCTTCGTGACAGCGCTTCTAGAAGCGTGACCTGTTATAATTGCTGCCGTATTACGAAAGAACACAAACAATTGGAAGCCATCAGTGTAAGATCAGATCGACGATCAAGACCACGACGAGACCGAAGAGGACCCGTGCGTATCGACTTAATGGCACGAGTTCAACTTACGCTCAGAATAAGGAGCGACTCGATCAGGGCGTCACGGCATTCCTAACCAGACGAACGGAACGCATGCTGACCTCGATGGAGGCATCAACCCCAACTCTTTGACGAAAGAGCATGGGAACGGCATCACGAGAGAGATGGCCACTGCCAGACTCGCGGCAAGGGAATTCTCGAGGATAAACAGCACGGAAGTCCTCCGAGAGAGGAAACAGGGAGACCTCACTTCGGCTAGAGGCACATGATTCCTCGCCAATGCGGCTGGAGACAGACACGGAGGCATCAACGCCAGAGCGCTTGGTGCCAGTATCACCGACAGAACAGAAGGGTTTGACGCCGGCAACGGTTACGGAAGTCCTTCACGGTGAAGGTCACGGTAGGAGAAGTCCTCCCAATACGACGGGAGGCAGGGTGCAACGGTCAAGCCCTCCTGGAGGCCGCGGTCAAGCTCTTCTCAACGGAGAATGCACGCACGCACACACACACGCATCTAAGGATGAGGGCGCTTCGGCGAGCGAAGAAGCACCAAGGGGAGTCTGAAAACAACTAACGCTGTCACCTCCATACCGCTGTCACTACGATTCGGATATAGCCCTCAATTAGTAATACTATTGGGCTCAATTAAAGCTTAATATATACACCACAGCTTTGCACTATTATGCCGCAGCCAACCACGCCGTCCGCATCTTCGGGAAATTCGGCGTCCCCAGCCCCGTCACCGGGTCCCAACCCTCCACGGCCGTGAACCCGTCTGTCCCACACCCGGGATTACTGCCCGAGGTGATATCATTAAACATATCCGCGTTGGCGTAGATGAACGGATTGATGAACCCCACTGTGCTTTTGCCGACAGCCAGACGCGCCGCGTTGATCAGCGTGATGATAGCCCCGAACGTCGGCGACGCGGCCGACGCCCCGTAGAACAGCGTGAATTCCCCGTCGTTGGCGGCGGCGTCGACTGACACGACATAGTTGACCCCGTTGGCGCTGACGTCGGGGTACCCGCGCGTTGCTTGCGAGTTGTTGTACTGAGACGCGGAGTACGACAGCGCGTTGCTCGAGTTGCTGGCGAAATACGCGGCCACGGCGTCGGCCTGGTAAGAAGGCAGCGCAAAGACGTTGCTGAACCCGCCGCCCGAGTACGTCGAAGTCTGCGCGGCCTCCTCGGCGTCGGCCACGGAGCCGCCGGCGGGGATCTGCGTCGCGCCGACGGACGTGATGTACGGACAGCTGCTGGGGAACGTCGGGTTGAAGCGGCCAGACGTGCCGTCGTTGTACGCGCCGGTCTCCTCGTCGATGCAGGCGCCGCCGTTGCCGGCTACGCCGGACGCGCCGGATGAGTAGAGCACCGTGGTGCCGAGCAGGCCGAGCTTGAGGTACTCGTTGCACTGGCGCTGCTCGTAGAAGGCGGACAGGGCGTTCTCGTCGTAGTCGTAGGACGTGGAGATCACCTTGGTGATGGGGGTGCCGCCGCATTGCTTGGTGCCGTGGTAGGCGCCCGCGGCCGTGCTGGGGTCGGGGTACGAGATGTCGTTCACCGGGTCGTCGCCGCCGTCGGACGTGCAGTAGCTGGCGTCGAGGACGTCGAGGATGTCGTTGAAAGAGGCGCCGAGGATGGGGTCGCCGGCTTGGTAGAGGGTCACGTTCTGCGGGTACACGAGCGCCATGGCGTACTCGAGGTCCAGGTCGGATTCCTGGTTGTGGCCGGCGTCTTGGGTGGTCGTTTGGGGGAAGCCGCCGTCGATGGATTCGAGAATCGGGCTTTGGCCGACAAGGCCTGGGGCGAAGCTTTTGAAGAAAGCGTCGAGATCGGCCTGTAGGTATGCTTGAGGACTATATTCCACAATGCCGTATGAGTCTGTTGACCATGTTAGTCAGCCTCCTCTAGGTTTATCGGGAAGATGAGCAACGGACTGTTTGCCGCTACTGGAACATCGGCTGGAATCCCATAGAGAGCTCGGAGGCAATCCGGGACCATCAGAGTGTCGCAGTGGGCCAACTCGGTAGCATTGTCCGTGGACGTCTCATTGACGTTGATGCCTCTCCGATAGAGATCCGCTGCCTTGCGGGCCTTCGACTCGGAGATGTGGCGGTTGAGAATCTCCGATCCGTGCGGATCAAGGGCACGCTTTGCGTTGCTGCGGTTAACCTTGACGTCGAAGTGGACGGTGGGCGTGATGAAGTCAACATGCTGGCGCAGGTTCTCGGGCAGACTGTAGTCCTCGCAGGCAACGTGGTATTGCCCGCTCTCGTGCTGATACGCGAAATAGGAGGTTTTCAGGAGCTTCTCGGCCTCGGCGATGGTGATGTTGGTCTGCACCCAACTCGAGGATGGTGACAGGTCGACATTGCGAATACCCGCGTCTGCGAGCCAGCTCTTCACGGCCACGACTGTAGTCGCGTCGGGCGCGAAGGTCTCAGCAACTTGCTGGGGTGTCCAGTGCTTCCCGCTGCAGGACAGCGTGAGTTTCTGTCTATCGCACAAGCTGTTGGTGTTGGTGGTAGGGGTAAACTCACGAGTTGGCGGAATTGGGATGTGACACGTCCATGAGATAGTCGTGGGCTTGAGCCAGGTTGCTCTGCGTGAGAGCAATCCGCAGTGGGATGACCAGCCCATCATCAAGCCGGCCGCGCTTCTCCCAGCCGCGAGGAAGCTGAGAGCGGCGCTCGTGGGTCTCGTGCCGCTCTTCATGCTTGCCCATAGACAGGCTCTGCGCACTGCCGAGGCAGCAGCAGGCGAGAATATAGGTAGTATAGGTGCGCATGCTGACAAACATACCTACTCAGGTAGGCAAAGAGATCTGGATGTCTCGGCGATCGTGACTTGGCGATCGTAACAATCATGACTTGGAAGTAGCACGGGGGCTTGGCGCCTTTTGAATGAAGCTGGACATACATACTGTAACATACCATCCCCCACCCACATCTCGTACACCCCCACATCTCGTACACTCCCATACAAAACTACCATATATAACGACCACTTTTTCATAACTTTTGATATATAAGGTCTATATATATAAAACTTCGTATATATATAGTTATCTAAACTAGTATGTAATATTTCAAAGCCGGTCTATTTTTTAGTATTTTATTTCTTGAATTATTCATGGTCGCGTAAGATCTAGTCCTCCATACAATTTGTATAGGAAACAAGGTCGTCAAAGACCTCGGGCTAAATCTTTTATAACTTTTTATTGCCGTGCGCCACGGCTTTAAGGGGTATATCATTTTGAAGCCGTATCATTCTTCTACTTATAGTAATTTTGCTAAATTTACACAATGTGAATAGCCTCAGTTAGGTGTAGGTGCAAAATGGGATGTTTTGGTGGTGATAGTGGGGTTTGGCTGTACGAGATGTGGGGGTGTACGAGAAGTAGGGGGGGGGATGGTACAGACCAGGTTCACGGAGCACGCTACTGCAAGGATTCGCAAGGAACTCGATATGTTCAACTGGCAAAGGCGAGATCTCAGATAAGTTATGTCGAATTCGGAATGCATCTCGCTGAAGAACTCCTGCATCGTGCTGGCATGGGTTGTGGTCAGGGGCACTTCGCAAGTCTCGGACGTCTTTAGAAGTATCTCCGACTCAGTAGCCGAGGTCGACAATACTCGGCACTATTCCTATCTATTGAATCTGGTGGCCAGGTTTTGTCTGGGTTATTGTTTACAATGCAGCGACTATCTTGCTGGTTGTTCAGTGTTCACGGTATTCGATTTTATTCGATTGATGGATGCAGGTTGGCGGTGTGAAGCGGGTGTCTATAGATAGATCACACACTCAATGCGGAAGGTCTGGGCACAGGAAACAACATGCATGCGAGGGCAGGATTGGCTGGTAATATCCGGCATTACGGTGCTCGTTGTCACTGTAAACCGGTCGGCAGATTCGAATAAACTGTAAATTGTTTGACACCTCCTCGATGCAATCCTTACGGGGAGATTAGGTCAAAGGGTCAGGAGTCGTAAATTCAAACTCGTCACTCCTCATGGCATACACACTGACAACAGACCGTTGTAGGCTGGCTTCATCTTCGCCTTCAGCTGTACGGCAGGCATCGTCTCGTTCAACACCATCTCAGAGATCGTGACCGAACCGCCCTACAACCTCATCACCACGGTCATCGTCATCAGGGCTGTCACGGCTATGTGCGATCAGTGCGATACAGATTCTAGTAACTACTTAATAACTATCCTACATACATGATCGTGTGAATATGAGTGTGAGTATCTGCCGAATATTAAATTGATGAAGATACGCTCCCAACCTCCAGTACAATACAATTCTCCAAAACTTCAATTCACCACCCGGTCGTCATTCGTCAAGTCCCTCCCCGCCCCCCCTCTGCTCCCGGATGATTCCGCCGGCGCATGACCAACCAGGACTGTGCGTCGACTGGACGGACACATGTACGTCAAAACGCATGAGCCCATAACTGCTGGCGAGAACATGCCTGTGCTCTAGACAGCAGAATTGGGACTCGCAAAAGTGCGGAACTCATCCAGTGGCATGTCGCTCGAGTCACCGCGACTCCTCATGAAGGTTCCGCTTCTGACAGTGCTGTCGATAGTGTTGACTTTGATGTCCTGGGTTCCCCGGCTACCGAATGGGTTCGGACGTGATCCGTCCGAAATCTGTGCCGCCTTGCGCGTCGTGCTCATATTCTTGTGCCACAACCAGATGGAGCGGATGGCCGGGACGTTGTACGCCCAGATCATCGTGTGCATCTCGATCTGCGTGTAGGTCGACGTGCTGAAGTCCGCCAGGTTGCCCGTCTCCACGGCCGAGGCGTGGCCGAGCCAGATCGCCTTGACTCGCAGGACGGAGAAGACGACGGCCACGGAACTGGAGAAGATGACGGCTAGTGAGAGAAGACGGGTTTTGTTGCTGATCTTGAGGGCGAAGATGGTCGGGATGGGTATAAACCTATCTCCAGATTAGTCGGAGATTCAGGAGGCGCTTTGGAGAAGAAAGAGGGGGGAAACGGGAAGGAGAAGAGTGCTTACCAGATGAAGATGTCAGTAATGATGTTGGAAATACCAACTCCGAACACAAACTTTCCTCGATACGGGAGACAGGTGTAGTCAAGCCAATTGTTCCAGTAGTCGACCGGAGTACATTTGAAGAGCTGGAAGAAGAACCCGGCAGTGTTCGTGGCAAATGACACGAATATGACGAAGTAGACAAACATGCGTTGGACAGACTTGGGGTGTGTCATTTCGCAGTAGAACAGGAGCAGCGACATCTTGATGAGGAAGATTGCGAGGTGGTACACCACTATTTCGATCTCGGCGTGCTACACGATAGGGTCAGTAACTACGGATTCGTGCTTTGGTTGCGGGATAGGTAGGACCGAATGCACGCACAACTTGAGTCAGAGTCAGAGTCTTGAAAGTCATCAGCCAGATGGAGCCAGTCCCCTCATTAGCTAGAACGGAATTAGTCTTTCTCTATAGTGCATGATCGGTTCATTGCAATGACATACTGAGCAGTGCGACATCTGTGTTCGCCGGCAATTAGCATCCCTCTTGACACTGACGACGGACCGGGGCAGGTAATGGGGAAGGGGGCACTTACTATTTCCAAAGTCCCCACTGATGACCGTAGCCACCAGCAGGGCGGCAACGATGCAATAATCCACAGGCTTGATGCCCTGGTCGTGGAATCTCCATCTCGACCACAGACGCAGTCCAGTGGTGATGTACGACACAACCAGGAATATGATGATCATGGCTAGCAGCCCACCCTCGACGGGCCAGTCGGTCGAGGTCTTGACGGCACGGGAGAACCAGAGGACGCTCTGCATGAAGGTCTCGTTGCCCCCGAAGGCATTCTGCAATATTTCGACGCGCTCCGTGCTCGCGCCGAGGTTGTCGGCAATGGCGTGGATATCAGCCGTGCCGTTGGTGAGCTCGAAGAGCCGGGCGAGGTTGATGATGGTCTCATTGATGCGCATTGCCTGGACCGAGGCGTTGCACACGCTCACCACGTCGAGAGAGACAGTCTCGAGGTTGGCGAGCATGTCCGGGACGAATAGAACCCCCACGAGGCTGTCCGGAATGGAGTAGTTGAGAGCCATGGCGTCTAGAATCTGATGCCTGGTGCTAGATACCTATGATCGAACCAGACTGGTGCCAAGCGTGGGTGGGATCTCGGTGGCAACTATATACTCAATCATGTTCACAATACTCTCTGGTATCCCATACACAACGCACCGCCGATCTATCTCTGCTCTTACTGCTATCCTGATGGAGGGTGACGACGCTCACACTCTGCGTCTTGCATATGTCTATAGAGCAGGCCCCGACCTGCATCACGGGTGAGACACGAATTGCGCGCGATATGCGCGCTGCTGACATCGTCACATCCATCATGAGAAAGGCCAACAGTCAGAAAGTCAGAAGCCAAATGCCAAATGCCAAATGCCAAAAGCCAAAAGCCAAAAGCCAAAAGCCAGAAGCCAGCTGCCGGGCTGACAGGTCAGAGACCGGGGCTGAGATAAGAAGAATGGTTCGTGCCATGTCGTGCATGTGTGCCTGGTGCCTCGACCCTCGTCAATCTTGCCTGCAGCCGGAGTCACAGCGAAGCCCCAGCACGAGGGGGGAGGGACGGGAAGCCGTTGCAACCCGGCTTTCATGCCCGCTTAGGTTGACAGATCGGCCCCCGCCGCCCCCCACTGTCTATACTGTCCAGTATTGCCTGCAGCCGGACCCCTGACGAGGGGAAGCCGTTGGACGTTACGGCTTTCACGACCGCTTTGACACTCGGCTCCCCCTTACCCCCACTGTCCGGCCCACGTGTGATCATCAACCACTGACAACGGCAGATGGTATGCAGTATAGTGCAGCGCTCCATTCCCGTCATTGATTGCTTGCCAGCCCACGACGCGATAAGAGTTCTTGGCCAGCGGTGACGATTGCCTGATTAGTCGAACGAACAGTAAGCCGCAGTAAGAGACGCCGCTTTGAGCACGCCCATTTGGGAAGTCAATGAACGCGTCCTGGTTGCGAAGCACGACTACCACCTTTCCCAGGCAAATCTTTACTATCCCATACGGATCACCTGCTTACACCTCTGAGCATGATTGGCTTCGGTAATCCGGAGAACCTTGTCGTAGATCTATCGTCAACACGATAAGGGTTGGGTGTAAATTGTCTGGCCGGGTCCGTATGGGATAGTAAAGGTATGCCTGCAAAAGATGGTATAGGTATTGAAAAGGTGGTTCGTGCTATCTCTAACATAGGTACTCACATCAGCGAAGCTATAGTTGGAGGTCACGGCAATTGCCGAAACTGCACTTCTTGGGATATTGGATAAGATTGACGTGCACATTTTGGCCGGGCTTTCTGGACCTCATCGGGAGACCCCGGTGGACTCAGCACCCCGTGTCTACATGTAGGTCGTTCATATCGCTTGCCAAGTTGCGGGGAAGGTTGCGTGAGTGGTTGTTACTTATCTCTAAAGGTAACGGTCACGTTGCATAATCTATGTCACCTACTGTATTCGAATAGCCATCCCGTGAAACAAGGGAGCGTTTAGTACCTGCATGCATAGTACATAATCTGAGGTTGTGGGCCATTCGCCTCTCAGAGATCTTGCCACACCCAAGCTCTGATTCTTTCACAATAGTTACTCAGCCAGCACAGACTGACCGCGAGCATTTCCAAGGTTGGTAGGGTGTCTCCTTTCCCATGCTACACATATGACTGTTCACGCGCGACATCATGACGATGATACGCAGGGGGAAACATCGCTCCGGGACGGAACGGCCTTAGAAAGAGACCGTTTGGTAAAAAAAAAATGTAGACCCTGCCCACTACTCTGCTTTCCCCTGCGCCGATCCCTACTATAAGCGTATCTATAACTTCACCGTCTCCTCCTTCTACGCGTGTCAGGAAGCATACAAGGAACAAAATAACCATTCATGGACATATACGGGGTTTACACACCTGATTAGTATTGCGTCTCCCAACCGAACAATAGATCACTTACCCCCCTATATGGTTGGCCTTCTGACAACACGTCTCTACACTGGAGTTTTACTCCTAAGACCTTGCGTACAAGTTAAGCTGGACCTTGTAGTAACCTTAGTCCTCGTAACTTAGATAGGGATAAGTATTACTCGAGAACCCATTCACAGAAGCCAATTTCTGCATGCCTGAAATCTCAACCAGACCAGGTAGCGGGAAGCAGTGAACTTAGAAGAAATTGCACGCCTCCAGCCCAAAACAACTTGCCACGCAATCTAGAGTGGTCCACCCCCGGCCCCACAGACATAGAATTGACCCGGCACATGATACATTATCATGCTCCCCGAAGGTTTCAGGATGCTGTTGCTTGGCGGGCGTAGCTCGTAACGGCTCTTCTTCCTCGACTGCAGGCGCATACGGTAGTTACATCATGAAAACTAGTTCCCACGTTTTCTACCAGGATAAGCTCTTCATCCCAGAGGATGACCACACACGAGCCTCACAAAAACAACTATTTTTCTTGGCGCCCCGCTGTTAGGGCGCAACCTTGATATTTGCATTAAAGCAGGCACTTCTCTTAGTAACTGATTATCTCTGTTAAGGCACAAAAGAAATTTTCTCACAAGCCGGATGGCACCCTTCCACGACGGGCCCCCAAACACGCCCGTGGCCGTCCCAAAGACGACCACTGGCGGCGTGCTCAAATCCCCGGCCCCTAGAAAGACATACGGCCCGGCAACTCTGAGCAGGCTCCGCCAGGCGCTGCTTGACGACATCAGCAGCAGCCCGTCACAGGTCTCTGAGGCTGACTTCACCGTTATTTCCCCTCTGAAAAGAAAATCCCGAAATATCAATGACAACAGCACCACTGGAATGAAACGATCTCAATTAAACGAAATCTCAACAGACCAAGCCATTACACGCGATATAGAAAATAAAACCTTCTCCTCAGAGTGCCAGGACCAAGTTGCCAGAATACTGGCTAAAGACAAGCAACTTTATGAAGCCAGGATAACAATATTTCAAGAATGTGCTGCAGCGGTTGATAAGACACTTGAGAAAGCTGGAACCGAACTATACTCTCATGCCAAGGAATTCAGCGCTTTCTTCTCTAAATGTCTAAGCAAGTGGCTAGAAACCCGAGATCCGCCCAAAAGGAAGACCATCCCTGGGGGGATAGGGATGCTAAAGCCCACCATGACCTTTGCCCAAGCTGTCTCCTCTAGCCAACGACAGCATCCATGGACAGTCAACATTACCATAAAGAAAACACAGCCTGGCGCCCGCATCACTACCAACCAACTGAAGAAGAAGCAGGATGATCTCCGGGTCTTTGTCCGCATGGATAATAGCCACCTAGAGCCTTACAGAATAAAGTCTATACTGAACAGAAGACTTAAGCTCCACCCTTAAGAGCTTAGAGAAGTGACCCGGTGCCCCTCCGGATTTATCTTACACCCAAGGGACAAGCCAACTCAGGCTAAGCTCCTGGTCTTCCAAGAAAAAATCACCGATATTCTCAAGGCAGAAAAGATCAAGACCCACACGGTCTGGCATCACTATAAGGTCGATGGATACCCAAGAAAGGTCATCAGTACGGAAGGATTGACAATCGACATTACCGATATTGCTGTTGCTGATGAAATTGAAGCCCAAACAGGTGACAGACCTTTAAGGTGCATACTCTCAAGGAACACAGTTGATTCTGATCCAGAGACCACATGGGTGATCTCTCTGCCCCATACAGCAAAGAAACCATTCACGCTTTTTGCTCACTCAATGACCTCAAGGCACATTCAATACTCCCCCAAGGTTCACCAGTGTGCAAGCTGCTTCAGATACCATGGTAGGAACTACCGATGTGAAAAGCAAGTATGTGCACGTTGCGCCAGTACAGTACACCAGGGGGAGTGCGAAAAACCAATCCCAAAGTGTGTCAACTGCAAAGGACCTCATGCTGCCAACTTGGGGTTGTGAAAGGCACCATCCACAAGCACACATGGGGGCAAATCCAGGAAATAAGGCTGGCTGGAGAAAGAGCCAGATCCAAGGCCTTCAATGAAACAGGCAGAAACCAAGCTGGGTCAACACCCAGCAACAATAACGAAGACATCACAATACAAATCGACACAACAGATACAACTCATCCCAGAGATGCCGATACCATTGTTGTCAGTCAATGTTAGGTACATCAAACGAAACACATCGACACGGGCATCTAGTCATCCATTCTGTGAATACAACAGGAGGACAAAAGAGTGCAGGCCCTACAGAGTTAGTCATCAACCTGGCTGACTACAAAGGAGAACAAGCAGACATTATTCTGATGCAAAAGCCCTGGGTTGGCATATCACCAGGCAGGAGAATGGGAGTAAAGACACACCCTAATTACGATATATACTCCCCAGTGGATTCCTGGGACAGCGACAGTACACGGCCCAGATCTCTCATCTATGTGAGAAAACACCTTCAAGCGGATCAACTTTGGCCCTATGCTACACGAGACATCACCTGGGTCAAGGTACAAGGCATTACATTTGCCAGTGTCTACCGGCCATGTGACAACCCACAGGAAATGGATGACATTCTGGAAGTATGGACTCCACCTTTTGGCTGCGTTATAGCTGGAGATTTCAATGCTGGCGACACGTCCTGGGACTCGAGCAATCTAGGATATCATGGTGGTGTCATACTTGCACAGACTATGACAGACCACAGACTGGATCTGATTTCTAAACCAGATGTCCCAACACATGATGACAGAAATATACTAGATCTGGTGTTCTCAGATGTCCCCATGGCTGAAGCCTCAGTCAATGATACACTTCAGTACACCTCAGATCATAAGACATTACGAATAGTCATTCCAATTCAGGGAGATCTAGACCGAGTCCCTAAGGCCAATCATTGGATAGTACCGGACAATAAACTATAAGAGCTGGCAGATAATGTATAAACCAGGATTCATGAACTCCCCCGGCTGGGTGTATCCCCTGGCCAGGTAGATGCCTTTACACAAAGCTTGATCAACATGATCCAAGGCTGTATCAGGACAGTGGGCAAGAAGCCCTGTCAATCTAGGCCCACTGCTTGGTGGAATGATGACTGC